CGGGAAACCGGGAAACCGGGAAACCGGGAAACCGGGGAAACCGGGAAACCGGGAAACCGGGAAACCGGGAAACCGGGAAACCGGGAAACCGGGAAACCGGGACACCGGGACACCGGGACACCGGGACACCGGGACACCGGGACACCGGGACACCGGGACACCGGGACACCGGGACACCGGGTCACCGGGACACCGGGACACCGGGACACCGGGACACCGGGAAACCGGGAAACCGGGATACCGGGATACCGGGATACCGGGATACCGGGAAATGGGGAAACCGGGAAACCGGGAAACCGGGATACCGGGCAACGGGGCAACCGGGCAACCGGGAAACCGGGAAACCGGGATACCGGGATACCGGGATACCGGGATACCGGGATACCGGGATACCGGGATACCGGGAAACCGGGAAACCGGGATAACGGGATACCGGGAAACCGGGAAACCGGGAAACCGGGAAACCGGGAAACCGGGAAACCGGGAAACCGGGAAACCGGGAAACCGGGACACCGGGACACCGGGACACCGGGACACCGGGACACCGGGACACCGAGACACCGGGACACCGGGACACCGGGACACCGGGACACCGGGACACCGGGACACCGGGACACCGGGAAACCGGGAAACCGGGATACCGGGATACCGGGATACCGGGATACCGGGAAATTGGGAAACCGGGAAACCGGGAAACCGGGATACCGGGATACCGGGATACCGGGAAACCGGGATACCGGGATACCGGGAAACCGGGAAACCGGGATACCGGGAAACGATACCGGGAAACCGGGATACCGGGATACCGGGAAACCGGGAAACCGGGATACCGGAAAACCGGGATACCGGGATACCGGGATACCGGGATACCGGGATACCGGGAAGCCGGGAAGCCGGGAAGTCGGGAAGCCGGGAAGCCGGGAATCCGGGAAGCCGGGAAGCCGGGAAGCCGGGAAGCCGGGAAGCCGGGAAGCCGGGAAACCGGGATACCGGGATACCGGGATACCGGGAAACGAGATACCGGGATACCGAGATACCGGGATACCGGGATACCGGGATACCGGGATACCGGGATACCGGGAAACCGGGAAACCGGGCAACCGGGAAACCGGGAAACCGGGAAACCGGGAAACCGGGAAACCGGGATACCGGGATACCGGGATACCGGGATACCGGGATACCGGGATACCGGGAAACCGGGAAACCGGGAAACCGGGAAACCGGGAAACCGGGAAACCGGGAAACCGGGAAACCGGGAAACCGGGAAACCGGGAAACCGGGAAACCGGGAAACCGGGATACCAAGATACCGGGATACCGGGATACCGGGATACCGGGATACCGGGAAACCGGGATACCGGGATACCGGGATACCGGGAAACCGGGAAACCGGGTCCGGGATACCTGGAAACCGGGAAACCGGGAAACCGGGATACCGGGATACCGGGATACCAGGATACCGGGAAACCGGGAAACCGGGATACCGGGATACCAGGATACCGGGAAACCGGGAAACCGGGATACCGGGAAACCGGGAAATTGGGATACCGGGAAACCGGGATACCGGGAAACCGGGAAACCGGGAAACCGGGAAACCGGGAAACCGGGATGCCGGGATGCCGGGATACCGGGATACCGGGAAACCGGGATACCGGGATACCGGGATACCGGGATACCGGGATACCGGGAAACCGGGACACCGGGAGACCGGGAGACCGGGAAACCGGGATACCCGGAAACCGGGAAACCGGGATACCGGGATACCGGGAAACCGGGAAACCGGGAAACCGGGAAACCGGGAAACCGGGAAACCGGGAAACCGGGATACCGGGATACCGGGATACCGGGATACCGGGATACCGGGATACCGGGATACCGGGATACCGGGAAACCGGGATTCCGGGATACCGGAATACCGGGATACCGGGATACCGGGATACCGGGATACCGGGAATCCGGGAAGCCGGTAAGCCGGGAAGCCGGGAAGCCGGGAAGCCGGGAAGCCGGGATACCGGGATACCGGGATACCGGAAACCGGGATACCGGGATACCGGGATACCGGGATACCGGGATCCCGGGAAGCCGGGAAGCCGGGAAGCCGGGAAGCCGGGAAGCCGGGAAGCCGGGAAGCCGGGAAGCCGGGAAGCCGGGAAGCCGGGAAGCCGGGAAGCCGGGAAGCCGGGAAGCCGGGAAGCCGGGAAGCCGGGAAGCCGGGAAGCCGGGATACCGGGATACCGGGAAGCCGGGAAGCCGGGATGCCGGGATGCCGGGAAGCCGGGAAGCCGGGAAGCCGGGAAGCCGGGAAGCCGGGAAGCCGGGAATCCGGGAAGCCGGGAAGCCGGGAAGCCGGGAAGCCGGGAAGCCGGGAAGCCGGGAAGCCGGGAAGCCGGGAAGCCGGGAAGCCGGGAAGCCGGGAAGCCGGGATACCGGGATACCGGGATACCGGGAAACCGGGAAACCGGGATACCGGGAAACCGGGAAACCGGGAAACCGGGAAACCGGGATACCGGGATACCGGGATACCGGGATACCGGGAAACCGGGAAACCGGGAAACCGGGAAACCGGGAAGCCGGGAAACCGGGATACCGGGATACCGGGAAACCGGGATACCGGGATACCGGGATACCGGGATACCGGGAAACCGGGAAACCGGGAAACCGGGTCCGGGATACCGGGAAACCTGGAAACCGGGAAACCGGGAAACCGGGATACCGGGATACCGGGATACCGGGATACCGGGATACCGGGAAACCGGGAAACCGGGATACCGGGATACCGGGATACCGGGAAACCCGGAAACCGGGATACCGGGAAACCGGGATACCGGGAAACCGGGAAACCGGGAAACCGGGAAACCGGGAAACCGGGAAACCGGGAAACCGGGATACCGGGATACCGGGATACCGGGAAACCGGGAAACCGGGAAACCGGGATACCGGGATACCGGGATACCGGGATACCGGGATACCGGGATACCGGGAAACCGGGATACCGGGATACCGGGATACCGGGAAACCGGGAAACCGGGTCCGGGATACCGGGAAACCTGGAAACCGGGAAACCGGGAAACCGGGATACCGGGATACCGGGATACCGGGATACCGGGAAACCGGGAAACCGGGATACCGGGATACCGGGATACCGGGAAACCCGGAAACCGGGATACCGGGAAACCGGGATACCGGGAAACCGGGAAACCGGGAAACCGGGAAACCGGGAAACCGGGAAACCGGGAAACCGGGATACCGGGATACCGGGATACCGGGAAACCGGGATACCGGGATACCGGGATACCGGGATAACGGGATACCGGGAAACCGGGACACCGGGAGACCGGGAAACCGGGATACCGGGATACCCGGAAACCGGGAAACCGGGATACCGGGATACCGGGATACCGGGAAACCGGGAAACCGGGAAACCGGGAAACCGGGAAACCGGGAAACCGGGAAACCGGGATACCGGGATACCGGGATACCGGGATACCGGGAAACCGGGATACCGGGATACCGGGATACCGGGATACCGGGATACCGGGAAGCCGGGAAGTCGGGAAGCCGGGAATCCGGGAAGCCGGGAAGCCGGGAAGCCGGGAAGCCGGGAAGCCGGGAAGCCGGGATACCGGGATACCGGGATACCGGGATACCGGGATACCGGGAAACTGAGATACCGAGATACCGAGATACCGAGATACCGGGATACCGGGATACCGGGATACCGGGATACCGGGATACCGGGATACCGGGATACCGGGAAACCGGGAAACCGGGCAACCGGGAAACCGGGAAACCGGGAAACCGGGAAACCGGGAAACCGGGAAACCGGGAAACCGGGATACCGGGATATCGGGATACCGGAAACCGGGATACCGGGATACCGGGATACCGGGATACCGGGATACCGGGATACCGGGATACCGGGATACCGGGAAACCGGGATACCGGGATACCGGGATACCGGGATTCCGGGATACCGGGATACCAGGATACCGGGATACCGGGATACCGGGATACCGGGAAACCGGGATACCGGGAAACCGGGAAACCGGGAAACCGGGATACCGGGATACCTGGAAACCGGGAAACCGGGATACCGGGAAACCGGGAAACCGGGAAACCGGGAAACCGGGAAACCGGGAAACCGGGAAACCGGGATACCGGAAAACCGGGAAACCGGGATACCGGGATACCGGGATACCGGGATACCGGGATACCGGGAAACCGGGAAACCGGGAAACCAGGAAACGGGGAAACCGGGAAACCGGTATCCCTGTTTCCCGGTTTACATCCATCACCGCAAACCCCAGCAGGCCTGGACTGGCACTGCTCCTCATAATAGCGGTTCTAGAGTTCCCACCTTGCCAGCCACCTCACCTTGCCAGCCATGTGCCATCGCTCCCTGCCATCCTCCATGCGCCACGCGCCATAGTTGGGCGTCACATCCATCACCGCGAATCCCAGCAGGTCTGGAACCGGTCCGCCTGTGACTCCCTGCTTCACCAGCGCTGCTGCCAGGTCCAGAGCTGCCATGTGCCACATGCCACGTGCAAGGTAAACATGCAAGTTATGAGACCCCAATCCATGTTATTTCAGACTCCCCCACGTCCGGCACCGGTCCTCCTGTGACTCCCTGCTTCACCAGCGCTGCTGCCAGGTCCAGAGCTGCCATGTGGAAAAGCACAGGGATGGGTTGAAGAGATATGAGCTGTTGAAGAGGTATGCGTTGGAGAAATATGAGCTGTTGCACCTCATATCTCTGAGGGCGCTGTTGAGCTGTGTTTCATCATACGCCTGCCTCTCACTCCCTGCTTCACCAGCGCTGCTGCCAGGTCCAGAGCTGCCGTTTGAAAGAAAAGAAGGCTGGTTTGAGTTGCATCAACTAAAGACTGGGAGCGAGGGGAGATGTGGGCAAGGTGGGATGTGGGCGAGGTGGGATGTGGGCAAGGTGGGATGGGAGAAGTGCATTATCGGGTAGGGCAGAAAGGAAGACAGGAGGGTTACCTGCGAGAGTGAAGGGGAAGCTTCCCAGTGGTTGCTCGATCTGAAAGCACAGCAGGTGCAGAGGGCTCGTGGCAGGGCCTGATTGGCTGGGAGCAGATGAGGGGGTGGGGGGGAGGTGAGTGGTTACGAAGGGAGAGTGCAAAGGGAGAGGAATGTATAGGGTAAAAAATGCTTGTTTAGACTCTGTCTTTGGTATCTCAATCTGCATGTACCAACATCCGCATTTAATACAAAGGACCGTGTGAGAGCAAAGAGAGGAAAGAACAACGTCAATCTTCTTTCAAGAATTCACAGGAGAGATGTCAGTGGGAGGTAGGACGGGCAGGGAGTGAAGGTGGGGATACAGAGAGTCGGGGTTATACACACAGGGAAGGAGGGATACAAACTCTCAAGGCGCCTCAACAACAGTAGAATCTTGTTTCACGGGTTTCAATAGGTGCCGCAAAATGCAACAGGCAGAGGGATACGCACAGTTGAAGGTCCGATGATAGGGCTGATGGGGAGAAGACGGAGGAGGAGAGTGCAGCAGCAACCCGCTCAGGATGGCTGCAGGGAGGGAGAGGTGAGGGGAGAGAGGGCAAAGGCAGCGAGTATTCGCAGGCAGCAGAGGTGAGGGTGACAGCATCAGATGGTGAGAGGGAGGAGGAAGTGACATTTGAGCTGATTCAAAAGAGGTAGGAGGGGAAAGGAGGGAGGGCACTCACAGGAGGGCAAAGGCAGCAAGTATTCGCAGGCAACAGGCAGCAGAGGCCAGGGCGACTGCAGCAGATGGTGCGTGGGAGGTGGAGGAGGAGGAGGAAGGGGAGGATGAGGAGGAGGAGAAGGGGGAGGAGGGGTTGGAGAGAGCAGGGGAGGAGAGCAGGCCGTCCAGTATTGCTGTGATGAGCGCAGTGGGGTCCAATCTGGGGTTTACATGGAGGAGAGGGAGGGATGGGGGGGGAAGGGAGTTGGGCCAACAAGATTCTTTGAGGCGCCTCAGAAGGAGAGCAGGGGAGGAGAGTAGGCCGTCCAGTGTGGCAGTGATGAGCGCAGTCGTGTCCAATCTGGGAGTTACAGGGAGAGATAGGCGAGATGGAGGGGGAGGGGGAGAAAGAGTTGAGTAGCATGCAGCAGAAAGAAGAAACGAGAGGAGCAAAGCAGAGGGAGTTTGGAATTAGGAGGAGAGCAGGAGAGGAGACGAGAAGAGGAAAGCAGTCCCCGTTTGAGGAACAGAGAAGCAATTGCGAACATGGGCAGAAGAACTTTTGGGGCGCCTGAAAAAAAGGAAATGCGAACATGGGCAGAAGAACCTGAAGTGGGAGGGAGGAGCTGTCCAAACCCAAGCAGCGCATGCGAGCAGCAGATACTCGCACGATTTGCCAGGACCTGGTTACCACACGTACGTCATGCCACGTGGCAGCAGCCCATTGGCTGATGCAGCTGCAATGAGGGGCGAGGATGGGAGATGCAGGAGCGCCCCCACACATGCCTGATGGGCAAGAGACGGGAGGTGCATGCGAGGCAGGGGTGACTTTTGAGTCGACTCAAAATGATCCCAAGCATGCCTGATGGGCAAGAGACGGGAGGTGCATGCGAGGCAGGGGTGACTTTTGAGTCGACTCAAAATGATCCCAAGCATGCCTGATGGGCAAGAGACGGGAGGTGCATGCGAGGCAGGGGTGACTTTTGAGTCGACTCAAAATGATCCCAAGCATGCCTGATGGGCAAGAGACGGGAGGTGCATGCGAGGCAGGGGTGACTTTTGAGTCGACTCAAAATGATCCCAAGCATGCCTGATGGGCAAGAGACGGGAGGTGCATGCGAGGCAGGGGTGACTTTTGAGTCGACTCAAAATTATCCCAAGCATGCCTGATGGGCAAGAGACGGGAGGTGCATGCGAGGCAGGGGTGACTTTTGAGTCGACTCAACATGATCCCAAGCATGCCTGATGGGCAAGAGACGGGAGGTGCATGCGAGGCAGGGGACAGAGATGGGAAGAGTGGGAACGATGGGATGGGGAGGGAGAGGGAAGGGGGAGAGAAGCGAGATTGGAAAACATGGATTGAGAGGGAAAACGGGCAACGAGTGGCGATGCAGGAGCGCCCCCGCCCACCACACACGCCTCACGAGTCGGCGGGCGATGGACATGGGCGGGAGAGAAGTGGGAGAAGGAAGAGGGGGCACAGGTGCGGCTCAGGGGTGGGGGGGTGCGACGTACTAAAAAGCATGCCTGATAGGCCAGTGCCAGTCCTCTTCCCCCAGCCCTGTTGTTGAAGTGCCTCAACAGGTGAAGAGGTGTTCACAGGTGTACCTGATTGGCCGATAGCAGGTTAGACAGCAGCGACAGCCCCACTGAGAGCTCCTCCGCTGCTTCCTCCTCTCCCCCCAGACCTGCAGCACTGGTGCTGACGTCAGCTCCGCCGATGGCGGACTGCCACGTGGCAGCAGCAGGCGACGCGTCCTGGTCCTGCTGTGCTCGGTGCACGAGACGGAAGAGCAGGATGAGGAGCGCGCTCAGGGGGACCTGGTGGTGGGAGGGGGGGGACATGCATGATCAGGAGGAAAGGGCTGTGTTGCTCGGTGCACGAGGAGGAGGAGGATCAAGATGAGGAGCACACCTGGTGGGTGGAGAGAAATTGCAGGGGAAGGAGATGTGGGGTTGTGCTCCTTACAAAGACCTTACAAGTGGAGTGACAGTTCAAGCAAACGATCCGTACAAGATGCCCTGTTTCCCTCGCTCCTCTTGCCCCCTGCCTCTCTCCCCCCCTCCCCACCACCTCTCCCTTTCTCCATTCCTCACCTCAAAATGCACAAGTGCAAGTCAATCCCTCCCACCCCCTCCCCCCTCTTCCCCCCCCGCCCCAGCCAGCATCAGCAGCCCCCTCCCCCTGCAGCACCAATAACAGCCCCGATTTCTCACCTCAAAATGCACCAGTGCAGTTCCATCCCTCCCTCCCCCTTCCACCACCTCCCCCCGCGCCCCAGTCAGCACCAGCAACCCCCCGCAGCGTGGCAGCAACAGGGGCTGGGGAGCGGAGAGGGCGGAGAGGGAGGCACAGGCGGGCGGGAGGGGGAGGAAGAGGGCCGCCCCCATGGTGCTCTCGAGGAACTCAAAGCTGAGAAGGAGGGGAAGGGGGGAGAGGAGAGAGAGGAAGGTCAGGAGAGGGCGTGTTTCAGAGGGGGGAGGAAGAGGGCCGCCCCCATGGTGCTCTCGAGGAACTCAAAGCTGAGAAGGAGGGGAAGGGGGGAGAGGAGAGAGAGGAAGGTCAGGAGAGGGCGTGTTTCAGAGGGGGGAGGAAGAGGGCCGCCCCCATGGTGCTCTCGAGGAACTCAAAGCTGAGAAGGAGGGGAAGCGGGGAGAGGAGAGAGAGGAAGGTCAGGAGAGGGCGTGTTTCAGAGGGGGGAGGAAGAGGGCCGCCCCCATGGTGCTCTCGAGGAACTCAAAGCTGATGGTGTAGCCATAGGCGGGGTTGAGAGGCGAGAGGAAGGAAGGGGGGGAGGAGGAGGGTGGGGAGGGGAAGATAGTGAGAGTGCGAAAACGTTTCTTTGAGGATTCAGAAAGCGTCAGCTGCCTCCAAGGCAGGTCAAATGGGCAGATAAACATGCGATGCGAGAGGATAGGAACTCACGTGCAGAGAATGGGCCTGGTGGGAGAGCGCTGAGGGTGGAGAGGGCCGAGAGGAGGAGAGCAGAAGACTGCGGATGAAAAGCAACAAGCATGACGCACGCACGTGCAGCGAGCAGGTCAGGAGGCGTGGGAGAGGGCGGAGAGGAGAGAAGGAAGAGAGGAAGCAACTCACGTGCAGCGGGCGGGCCAGGAGCCATGGGAGAGGGCGGAGAGGAGGCGCAGGAAGGGGAGGGGGCGGGCGGGGAAGTCGCGTCTGGTGGCGGCTAGGAGCGAGCGCAGAGGGGCATCGGAGGGAGAGGCAGAGGCGTCCCAGAAGTCAGTGCATAGCGACTCCTGTTTAAATAAGACGGGGTGAGAAGAGGTGAGAAGGGGTGGGAAGTGGTGGCGAGAGGTGATGAGAAGAATCCAAAGGTTATATGTATGAGTGACATGGGGAAAACAAGAGGGGCATCAGAGGGAGAGGCAGAGGCGTCCCAAAGGTGGGGCGGAACGGGGGTGAAGTTAGGGCGGGGGTTATGAGATACCTCTAAAAGAGCAGAGAGGAATCTGGGTGAGAGGCAGAGAGGTGTGCGGTGCGGTGACACGGCAGTGCACAACGGTGAGATGGTGTTGGGACAGGTGGCTACATGCCACGTGGTGCATCTGGTGCCATGCGGTGCTGTGCGGTGCCACACGGTGACAAGGCACTGACCTGCTCTGAAAAGGTGCGGCAGATGATCTCCAGAAGAAGGGAATATAGCCGAGTGCCCTTCTGAAATGGGGGTAAATGACATCAACAAGATGAGAGAAGGTTTGGAAAAAGTGACATGAAGAGCCAATGGGAGCAGTACATACGTATCAATAAGTAGATATGGTAAAACATAAAATTTGTGGGTGTAGCTGACCTGGTTGGAAATGTCAAAGGCAGTGAGGTAGGCAGTGCACAGCCCCTTGACGCACCTCTTCACCACCCCCTGCATCACCTGCTCTCGCACACACACCACAAAGGGACGGTACGGGTGGGGACAGACGTCTCTAAAGGCAGTGAGGCAGGCCCAGAAAGAAAGCACCTTGTCAAGAGATAACTATTAGAACGGTGACCTTGAAAGGAGTTGACTGCTGAGAAGTCGACTGAAGGTGCTGAATGTGAAGAAGTGGACTGAAAGTGCTGAATGTTAAGAAGGTTGAATACAAGCAAGTTGCTCACAAAAAAATACATCCAAACAAAAAGATTGACTCACAGGGTCGTTGGAGGGGTGGGAGGGGAGAGAGGAGGAGAGCAGCGAAGAGAGAATCCAGTCCAGTGCCCCTGCTGCATAGGCTGCTTGCACACACACACCCGGGTTCAACGAGGGTGCCTGCAATGGTGTGGAAATGGGAGCAGAGGGGGGGAGAGGGAGGGGCATGCAGACAGGTGAATTCAAGGAGGGCGGGTGTAGGGACGAGGAGGGGGGGGGAGAGAAGAGAGGAGAGAATCCAGTCCAGCGCGCCTGCTGCATACGCTGCTTGCACACACAGACCCGGGTTCAATGCAGGAGCTTGCAGTGGCACGGAGAAGGGAAGAGAGGGAGGAAAAGTCGAAGGGGCAAGCCAACAGCTCTGTAACAATATTTTCACATTCTTCATAAGATACTTCAAATCTAATGGCACAGAAGGGAGAAGAGAGGAGCAGAGCAGAGCAGCACGTGAGTGTGGCACCCACCTACCACCTAACTCCCGTGTGTTACCGTACCGGCAGGTGAGAGGAATCCGGCAGCCACTGCAACAGCATGCGGAGGAGACCCCACGCGAGCAGCATGGGAGACACGAGCATATGTGAGCAGCACAGAGCACACACAGGCCCGATGATAGCTGATGATAGCTGATGATAGCTCACCGGCAGGTGAGAGGAATCCGGCAGCCATTGCAGCAGCATGCGAAGGAGACCCCACGCGAGCAGCACAGGAGAAACGTCTGACCCTGCAGCACCACGAGTCCCCACCAGCGGCACCACTGCATCCAACCCAATGAGCCTTCCTCCCCCTCCTCCTCCATACACCTCCTCCAAATCCTCCTCTGCCATCCCCCCCACTCCGCCATCCAGCTCCTCGCTTTGGCCTCTACCACCCGCCCCCTTGGCAGCAGCGGCAGCAGCAGAGAGCAGGCAGGAGAGCCACGCAGAGAGGCGCTGATCCACTTCCGTCAGTGAGGAGGTGGACGAGAGGGGGTGTTGGGAGGCGCTGTGGGTGGGAGTGGGCCAAGAACATGGGGGGAGAGGAGGCGAACACATGAGAAGGCACACATGAGTTAGCGTTCTCTCCCTTGGCGGCAGCAGGAGCAGCAGAGAGAAGGCAGGAGACTGAGAACGTACCTAAAATGCATCCCTTGCGCCAGGGCCACAACCACCCCTTCCACGTCCACAGCTGCAATTAGCAGGAGCACAGCGCGGTGCAGTGCGGTGGAGAGGAGTGACTCCGCCGCTGCACTAATGGCTAGAGAGGCGAGAGATACGGAGGGGGAGGAGGGCGAGGAGGAGGAGGAGGAGGGAGGGGTGGAGTATGGAGATGAGGAGAGGGGCGGTGGAGATGGAGTGAAGCCAAAGAAAAGCTCCTGGTAAGGGCCAGAAGGGTCGGCAAGGGGTTAAAAGGGGTTGGCAAGGGGTGAGAAGGGGTCGGCAAGGGGTCAGAAGGGGTCGGCAAGGGGTGAGAAGGGGTCAGGTAAGAGGATGGGAAAGTGGAAGGGAATTTCCCGTTTTGGATTATTCGGGGTTAAACATCACTTAAAAAGTGGGCATTGAGAGAGAGAATGGAAGGAGCGAAGGAGGGAACAAGAGGTGGAAAGAAAGAGGGAGAACGGAAAAGGAGAGAATGAAAAAGGTGAATTGAAAGAGAGTGTGCCGAACCAATCGAGATTGAAATCAATGGTAAGACTGAACCAAGGATGGGCACCTGAACGAGTTTGATTATATCTGGGATGTCTGTGGCGCGGCATCCATTAGAGGAGGCGATGAGGATGAGGATGTCTAGTAGCAAGCATGCTTCTAACGAGGATGCTTCTGCCCATCCCGCCATTCCTGCCCGATCCTGACGAAAAAAAGGAAGAAGCCAAAAGCATGGGGGTTCAATCAAGATGGTAAGCTGAAAAACAGCTTGAAAGATGGATTTCGATCAGTTTCAAGTCCTTGAAAGAAGGAAACATTGGTTGCGGTCCTCAAGTCCTTTGGGAGAGTTCATACTTCTTTCAGATTTAGAACCTAGAATTACGAGGTATGAAGTCGTCATGCGACAAACAGCAGGTTGCTCATCCAGGTTGCTGTGATGCTGCCATGACATCATGTCAGCATCACAGCAGCACGTACCAGAGCCTTGGGGGGTTCAGACCGTGGGAGCAACCTCACCTAAGCTGACGTTTGACAACAGGCCCTCCTTCAGCAGCGCGCTCACCTCCCCCTCAATGGTAACAGATGAGATGACCTTAGAGTGAGTCTACTCGAACGCTCTCAGGGCGTGTGAGCATGTCATTTGAGCAGCACGTACCAAGGCCTTGGGGGGTTCAGACCGTGGGAGCAACCTCAGCTGAGCCATGACGTTTGACAACAGGCCCTCGTTCAGCAGCGCGCTCACCTCCCCCTCAATGGCAGCCGCATATGGGGAGGAGGAATCAGCTGGAGATAGGAAAACACGGAAGCAGTGCAGGGAGCAGCAATTGGGGTGGGGATGAGTTTCACAGCATGCTCTCATCATGGTGGTAGCATCATGCAACGGTGAATTCTGAATGAGAAAGAAACACCACGATAGAAGCATCATACTCTAAAAGCAGCATGGATGAGTGAGAAACGTCATGCTGCCATTATGGTATCCTGCATTGGCGAATGCTGCAAAAGCACGGCACGAGGCACCTTGCATGGCTAGCACAAGGCGTAGGCACTTGAGAAGGCTCTGCGTCTCCTCCTGATACAAAGCCACTAATGCAACAGTGGCTACTGCAAAAAGGGCACACCTTGCATGGCCAGCAGGAGCCGCAGGCACTTGAGCAGGCTCTGCCTCTCCTCCTGATACAACGCCACGACCTGCACGCACACAGTGCATGCATGTGAACGGAGGTAAGGAGAATCAGAATGACTCTTGAGACGTCTCAAAAGCCCTCTTGATACAATCCGCAACCCACACATACACACAGTGCATGTGGACCGTGAATCCGCTACAAGAGCGGTGAACGAGCGTGAGGGGAACAGGCTGCCTTCTGAGTCAACTCAAAAGTCAACGTTCACACACAGAGTGCATGTGGTTGGACTGTGGATTCGCTACAAGAGCTGTGAAGGAGCGTGGGGGAAACGGCAAGGACATCTGTGTCGCAAAGCATGAGTCGTAAAGCCGTGCCTTCATTCCAAGAAGCACAGCATGTGTTTCACATGCAAACCCACAAGAATCAAGACACATTCTCAAGCACCCATCACACACACATACCTCTTGCACCAATCTCCGTTGCTCTTCCTTCTCTTCCACGCCCTTCTTTTCCTCTCCTCCTCCTGCGCCCTTCCCCGCGCCCTCCCCCTCCGCCTCCCCCACGAGCGCCCTCTCCCCTCCGCCCACCCTATCCGCCAGGAAAAAAGCCTGCGTTTCATCCAATCCCTGTGAACACCAACAGCATACACACGCGCACATGCATTGAATTGAAAGTTCTGAGAGGTTTCAATTCTGAGAGGCTTCAACCAGCGCGCCCTCTCCCTCCCGTCTGAAGGTACGAACCCTGCATGCCCATGGCCTGGTTCCTACCATCCCCACTTACAATCACAGCGCTTGCAGTCACAGCGGCTTCTCTTAGCCGCCCCGTCACGGGGATGGTCACTTGCGGTGCGCCTGGTGCTGCTCCTGCTGCCCCCACGCCCACTTCCAGACGAGCCGCGCCAATGGCGTCGCGGGACCGGCTGCTGGGAGGCTTGAAGCACGCCAAGCCGTGCAGCAGCCACGTGTGATGCTCTGATAGGCTCCTGGCCTGCCCGAGACGTTACGAAAGGAAGGGAAGGGGAGGGGCAAAGGTGTTACGAAATTCGATTGCATGGGTATGATTCCGAGCTATGAAGGCTGGACTCGGGTAATGGCTGGCCTCGTCAGAACCAGGACCCTGAATCTGAATCTGAAGTGTCACGGTCAAGGTGTCTAGACTACAAGCGAGTCATACAGACTTGTTGATGAGCTTGACTTAGGGCTCTGATAGCGTCAGGCTCACAACCAGACCCCCAAATCCTCAGGGTCACTGCGCATACGGACTCTGATTGTGAGACTGACGCGATGAGGGAGATCACGTACGAACCAGACGCGATAGCTAGTCTCCGTCAGTCTCCGTCAGGCCTGTATCCGACGCGCTTTGCACCTCGATTTGTGTACGAACTTCAACCGGCGACAAACCCCGCTGGTTACAGAGCTTGTTAAAGACTTTGCTGACTCTCGTAACACGTACCAGCTCGCGACCATCCTCCTCGACATTGTCACTTCCACCACTGTCAATCGCCTCAAGTCGCGCCAGCAAGGCGCCGTGTGGGGACCACCATAGATCCGCGTCGACTTTCGACGACGACGCTCTATTGATCGCCGCTGCCACGCTGGCCATGACACGTGTCGAGCTAATGACCTGGCGATGTGACGCGATCGCGAGGCGCGCGAACGGACTAACGGTCGGACTTTTCAATCTCGCAATACCTTCCCGCAGCTAAAGTAGCACTCTAAGCGGAGTGCTGGTTCAAATCGAGCTAGGTCTTAGGGAAAGAACTCCGCGAGGAGAGGTCGCTGCGAGAAGGATACTGTAGCATTGAAAAGGTAGAGCGTTCCGATGACTTTGCAAACAGAATCTATGGTTTCGCAAAAAACGCGACGGCAAAGCATCGGTACTTTTTCTCATCGTTAATTCCTGCCTCGTGCGGGGATCACGGCGCAACTGAAAGTCAGAAGCATTGACTATCACTGATAACCAGGGTGTCATGTACTTCTAGCTCAAAACCGTACTCAACCGTCTTGTAAGCTATCAAAACGTTCTGATATATACAATTATCACAGCCAACCGCATTCCAGTTATGGTAGAGCAAACTCCAAGGCCAGGACAATCTCAAGCCAGTGCTTGAAATCGAGAATCCCGCTAGTGTCCGATGTCAGAGTCTACAGCACACCGCCTGAAGTATCTACGGTATCCGCTAAGAAACTAGATCATACTTGAAATACTTTCCCCATAATCGAACCACCCCTAACATCCTCCTCCGGAACCGATTCCTACCACTCCAACTCATTTTTGCAACTCTCCCTTCCCCATTCGCCCCGAAAACCCGCCCCAACCTCCCCACTTTCCACACCCCGCTTCACAACCTCCCCGCTTTCCAGCTGCAGTTCCGCTTCCTGCGCACCCCCACCTTCGTTCCCCTTTCTCCCCATGCTCTTCCCCCCCCGTGTGCTGCCCGCGCACGCCCAGCCTCCCCTCCCCTTCAAATCCCCTCTCACTTTTCCTCTTACCTCATTCTCCCTCGCCTCTTCTCACTACGCCCTAGAACCTTACCTCACCCACGCGGGTGTAGGAGCCTCTTGACACGTCAGCGGCAGCCATCGTCGGCGTAGCACGCACGAACCTAGCACCATGGGCGAGCGCTTCACATACCGCCGCAGGCACCCCTATGCCACACGCTCGAACCTCCGCCGCACCATCCGCACCCCAGGCACGATCCTTTTCTCACCTTACCTTTTCTTCGGAAACCCTAATTACCTCCTGTTCGTTCCGTTTTAGATCGTTCCGCGCACGCCACGCTTGCGTCGCAGTATCTAGTTAACGGCATCTTGCGGACTCGTTATAAGCGCACGCTGTATTCAAAGGGCCTGAGATTTTTAATCCTGGCTGACTGCGCTTTCCCGTGCGACCGATCGCGGATCATATTTTTACGTCGCATCTCGGCATGTCGATGGAGTGGCGCGTGAAACGAATATTGCACCACCCATATCCCCCGCTTATCCCCTGATTGAGGAATGTTGGGGCGCAGAGAAAATCGTTCGTATTCTCCCGGTTATCCCCCTCTCAACCGTTGTGTTTCGACCATGTTACATCTGCCCATGTTTGTCCTGCTCTGTTGTTGCGCGTTGACCCGGAGCAGGAGGCAAGCTCACAATCCAGTACATCGCCAAGAGAGCCAATGGCGTCAAGTGCGGCAAGTGCCCGCGCATCCTCCCTGGTGTAAGTCCCGCTACTATTACAGCCGCTCTATTTTTTTCCTTCAACAGTCAACTTTATCACGTTTAATATCGCGCGACATGGTCAAGTCCCGCTGCCCGCGCGCGCGCTTATGTGTCGCACGGCGTTCTGCAGCGCGTCTGACTGTTTCGTTCCCGTTCCCGTTCCGCCTGCGCGTTCCCCCATGCGCGCAGGTCCCCGCGCTCCCCGCGCACAAGCTCACGCGCAACCTGATGTCGCGCAAGCAGAAGAGCGTCACGCGCATCTACGGCGGCGCCATCTGCGGGAAATGCGTGCGCGAGAGGTGAGGCGCGGCGAGCATGGTGGGGAAGAGGGAGCGAAGGGGGGAGAGGAGGGGAGCGAATGGGAGGGGGATGAGGGAAATGGAAGGGGGTCGCACGGGGTAAGACGGAAGGGGATAGACGCGGGATGCGCGGTGCGCGGGGTGCTAGAAATGATGCGGGTGAAAGAGGCGCCAGATCGCGGGAGGTAGAATGCATAAGGATGCAAAAGGCGGCGGAGGGGAATGGAAGGGATCAGTTAGGGGGAATCGGAAGGATGGCGGAAGCAAGGCAGAATGAAGGGGAGAGGAAGGGGGAAGCGAGAGGGGATGGGGGAGGAAGGGGAGACGAAGAGATGCTTGTACGCGGAAGCTGATGCAAGGGGAAAAGCAAGTTCACGTCGATAGCACTCCATTGCCTTATTTGCTAATTGCCTCATTTTCTAGTCACCCTTTCTCCGTCAAAGTCGTTCTGCCCTGAGCCCACGTTCTGTCCTTTAACTTACGCCCCTCCGCCCCCATCCCCCACCTCCTCAATTCCCCCCTGCCCCATTCCCCGTCCCCTGATCCCCGTCCGCCGTTTCCCGCTCTCCCCTTCACATTCATTCTCCTCTGCCAATCACCACTCTTGCGACTCTGTTCACGGTTCTCTCCGCCTCCCTCGCTGCATCCCCTTGCACAGAATCATCCTGTAACCCTAACCTTACCTTTTCTCTTTGCATTGTTCCTCTACACATCACATGGCCAAACAGAATCATCCGCGCATTCCTGGTGGAGGAGCAGAAGATCGTAAAGAAGGTGCTCAAGCTGCAGAAGTCCAAGGAGAAAATTGCCTCCAAGGTCCCCGCTTAAACCTTTCAGCTGAATGAAACTGCACACACCGCCGAAAACCACCTGAACTGCCTACGTTTCTGAACTGCCTGAACGGGTTTGAAGTGCCTGAGGTGCCTGGGTTACCACCACAGGGTTAAGCTCCTGCAGCAGGCGCGTAGACAGTGAGATGCCGCAGGGAATGTTAGGCAGGAATTTTGGTTTCGTTGGTGCGCTAATGTCCATTGTTCATTGGATGTATGGTTAGTAAGCAATTATGGTTTACGCCACTGTCCTGCTTCAGCTATTGGCTTTGCTTAGTATTCTGACTTCAAAAACCACCTTGCTTGCTTACAACCTACAGGTCACAGAGAGACCAGGTGATGAAATAGAATTCCTGATCTCCAAGACTGTTCCGGAATTATTTTTCTGGTCCATTAAATTTACTCAATAAAGTTGAAACAGCAAAACCAAACTTAAATTAAAATAATGAAGTCGTACAGAGAAGATCTAAAGGCCACCAAAAATTCCTACATGTCAGCTCCAGAAACTTCTAGAATGTAGAGAAGTCTTCAAGTGGAATCTTCTATTCTGGAACTTGGATCTTGGACTCTTGAACTTCGATCCTTGGAGAGAAGTCTTCAATCTTGGACCTTGGTCGTCGGTCTTCGCATGGACCCCTCTTGGCCACTAGAGGACAAGCCTCTAGCGTTCACCCTAACACCACGATGAGGTGGAGGTCCTTCGTTAGGGAACCTGCAAGAAAAAACACTTAACAAAGAGGAGGGACGGTTAGTACGATTAATGTAAATGCCAGCCAGCAGGGAACACCTCTGAGCTTGTTGTCAGGTTGTCAGGTTGCCGTGGTGAGCCACAAAAAGTGGCGGGAGAAAAGAGGAGGAGGAAACCCAACCGACCCCGTCGCGTCGCGTCGCGTCCCCATCGCCTACCACCCAGTCGCGTCGCGTCCCCATCGCCTAACCACCCAGCCCACACCGCCCTCGTCTGTCCAGTCGGTGCTGATCTAACGCTCCTACGGTCTGATCTAACGCTCCTACGGTCTGATCTAACGCTCCTAAACAGCCCGCCGGTGACCATGTACTGCTGTTGCAGTTGCTCCACCTTCTGAGAAAGGGAAGGAGGGGAAGCGGGGAGTCAAGCTCCTCGCTGCTCCTTGATCCTCGTTGCTCCTTGCTTCTCCTTGTTGGTACTCGTTCGATCCTCGCTTTGCGCTGCTCCTTAGCTCCCGACTTCCTGCGGGGAGAACGACTTAAAAAGACGTTAGTACGTTTTAACACAAAGCCATCGTGAAACGAACAAGCGGAATAATAATAAAGCTGAAAGAAACGATGACGAAGCCGAGAAATAAAACCGTGTGAGAGAGGTCCGCCGCGAGATTCCTTGCTCCATGCTCCTCCAGCTTCAAGGCAAAGTCTTCTCTCCTCGTTCTTCGGTCTTCACCTTCGTTGTTCCGTCTGTCTAACACACACAAGGAGAAAAGGAAAGACGTGAGTAAATCGAATAAACAGAAACACTAAAAACGGACAAAACTTACCAAGGCGAAGTCTTGTCTTGTTGGTCGGTCTTCATCTCCGTTGGTTGCTCCGCCTGCCTAACACGCACAAAGTGAAAACGAAAGACGTAAGTAAATCGGATAAATAAAAACACCAAAAGTGGACGACACTTACCAAGGTGAAGTCGTACGTGTGCTCCTCGCTCCACCCGCTTCGCACACCACCAGCGCGACTCCTCCTGGACTCCTCCTGCTGAACGCACCAAGAAAAAACGAAGTAAGTAAGTGATATCGAGAAGGTTAAGAATAAGAAACGAACAAGCTAAAAAACAATGAAGCAGAAAAAAAAACTGAAAGAAACGATGACGAATAAGAGAAATAAAACCGTGCGCCGTGCGTCGTCCTCGGAAAAACGCCGTCCGACGGCAGAGGTTCCGCCACCATGCGCCACGCGAGAAGGACCACCATTCCGCCGCGAACGTCGCGCCGTGAAGTTGTGCTCCTCGCTCCACCCGCTTCGCACACCACCAGCGCGACTCCTCCTGGACTCCTCCTGCTGAACGCACCAAGAATAAACCAAGTAAGTGATATCGAGAAGGATAAGAATAAGAAACGAACAAGCGGAATGATAATAAAGCTGGAAAAAAGCTGAAAGGAACGATGACGAAGAAGAGAAATAAAACCGTGCGCCGTTCGTCGTGCGATGGGAGAAGCGCCGTCCGACGGCAGAGATTCCGCCACCATGCGCCACGCGAGAAGGACCACCATTCCGCCGTGAAGGTTTCGCCCGGCCGTGGAGATCGGTTTCGAGAGACTCGCCGTGGAACAGAATCTTCCTCAGGCAACTAGCGAAGTAAAGGTTCAACCCAGGCAGCAGGCAGCTCGCTCTCTCACGACTCTCTACCCAACCCGTCCCGAAACCCACTCTATAGACTCTCAACGCTGCCGCGTGCCATTGGGTTTTCGCCAGTACTAGCCGGAAGCCTTTCGGAAAGATTAGCTTGTTCGGTGAACACAATGGTTCATAAGTAGTCATGGAATGGATGTGTGGGAATGATGGAGCTGGTGAGAGAAGCGGTGGCGCGCTGAAACACGAGTAGAAGCGTCCTCGGTGATCCATGTTCTTCCGACTCGACCTTTCCCTGGCAAGAGTCGCTTAGTCGGGTTGGGTGGCGGCCGCTGCGCGCGAAGTAGAGCGGTTTCAAACCATATCGTGTGGAAGTTCTGAAATGTTTAACCAGTTTGGCTCGGCTGCAGTGCGGTGCGACGCGACACGGTGCTGCATTGGCGGCTACGTCGCGGATACTTGGAACAATATGAACACTTGGACGGTGGTGGAGTTACGCCTCGAACGGTGAGGATCTGCTTTGAACCATGGTATGGATGTGGCTTCATGGCATGACATGGTGTGGATGTTTTCAAACCAATTGTATTGAGGTGTGGCACTTGTGAAATGTTTACCCAGTTTGGCTCCGTTTGCTGGGTGCAGTGCGGTGCGACGCAATGCTGTGCTGTAAATTTGGCGGCGATAGCGCGGATATCTGTAGGAACAGTATGAACAGTTGGAGATGGTGGTGGAGTATCTCCTTGAACGGTGACGATTTGCTTTGAGCCATCATGGCATGGCATGGTGATTGTGTGTGTAATTGTGGGCCAACAAATTTCCCCGCCCATGACGGCAGACACTGGATGCCTCAGGAGGGAAATTCGAGCGGCGGACTTTTTGCGGCGACACAATTTTTGTACGCTGTACGAGCGGACCCAACACCTACCCAGGTTTTCAGTTTATATTGGGTTCGAAACACACACACGATTGTTGTCAAGTTGGGCTGTGCCTTGGTTCACACAGGCAGGTTTAGTTTGGTTTCGTTTAGTTTGTTGCAATCGAAACTGTCGATGGCGCGTATTGCTGTTGTAGAGTTTTGGCATCCACCGAGGTTTGGATGATGGATGGAATATGTTTGGCACGGATGGACCTAGGGCAGGCTGGAACTTGTTAGGAGCCGTGGCATTTGGTAATTATTCTCTTCTCGCCGACGAAATTTTGCTGCGTGACGTGCGGGACGGCGTTGGTTGGGATGGTCCAGAAATTTGTGCGTGATTGAACAAGCAGCTATTCAGCTGCCCTCGCAACCGGTTTTGCTGCTCGCAATCCGTGCTGGGCAGCTGAAAATGCAACAATAAATTTGCGCGAGCCAATAGCAGTGAAGGGCGTGTTTGTTATCGTGGCACAGCCAGCTAGCACAGCCTTATCAACAACCTCAATCATCCACCTCACATTCTTCGAACCCTCGTTGCCTAGTTATGCTCGTGAAGGGTGGCTTGGATTACCTACAGTTAGTTTCGTCAGATTGAGGCACCTTGGATTAGTTTCGCGTCGCATTCATCAGATCTACTCGGCAATAGGTTAGCCTTTCGTCTTGATCCTCATGCCGCGACTTCAGTGTCAGTCTAATGACAGTCGCGCTATCCGTGGTCCTTCACACGTCTGCTACCGTAACTATCATTCATGTCGGGTTTTTTTATGGCGTGGTGTAAGTTGCGCGATTCAGGCGTTTGACTGGTAGTCACTAGTTGTTTATACCTGACGTTGTTTGGATAAGATAGCGATCTCAGTTTGCGGACTCATTCTCAGTATTTATTTCAGATGCTTGTAAGCGTCGCTTCAGTGCGTCGCCTGGGTCCGTTAGGCAGGCGGAGGAAGCCTCAGGATGGCGCGTTTCTGGAAAGCCTCAGGATGGCGCGTTTCTGGAAAGCCTCAGGATCGTGTTTGCACACGATGGTTGGGGGAGAAAGAGGGGAGGCGAAGGTAGCGGGAATGAGATGGTCAGAACCTGGCGGGAGGCCATTTTTCCGTGGCGAGAGACGACGCTGTGGCGAGCGGTAACGCTGAGGCTCCTCGTTGAACCCCCTTCTCCGTTTTGCATCTCGTGACAAAAGACTGGTGAGAGGCAACGTGGCGGACCGCCTTCTTTCCCCAGCATTCGAGGGTTTCGACATTTGAGTCGACTCGAAAGTCTTCCTCAGCACGTCTGAGGGTTTCGCTCCCATGCCCGCGTCTTCGCATTTCTGCCTGCGCTTCCCCCCATTGGCGCAGGTCTCCGCGCTTCCCGCGCACATGCTCACGCGCAACCTGATGTCGCGCAAGCAGAAGGGCCCCACGCGCATCTACGGCGGCGCCATCTGCGGGAAATGCGTGCGCGAGAGGTGAGGCGCGGGGAGCATGGTGGGGAAGAGGGAGCGAAGGGGGGAAGGGGAGGGGAAGGAGGGAAATGAAAGGAGAGGGAAGCAGGGAAGGAGGGAAGGAGGGGAAGGAACGGGGGGGAAGGTGAGGGAAGGGGAGGGAAAGGGGGGAAGGGGAGGGAAAGGGGGGAAGGGGAGGGAAGGGTAGGGGAAGGAGGGAAATGGTGGAAAAGGGAGAGAAGGGGGGAAGGGGAGGGAAGGGGAGGGGAAGGAGGGAAATGAAAGGGAAGGGAAGGAGGGAAGGAGGGGAAGGAAGGGGGGGGAAGTGGAGGGAAGGGGAGGGGAAGGGGGGAAGGGGAGGGAAGGGGAGGGGAAGGAGGGGAAGGGTCGCACGGGGTAAGGCAGAAGAGGATAGGCGCGGGGTGCGCGGGGTGCGCGGGGTGCGAGAAATGATGCGGGTGAAAGAGGCGCCAGCGAGCGAAAGGCGGAATGCATAAGGATGCAGAAGGGGAGGGGGAGCGGTAAGGCGGCGAAGGGGAAAAAAATCAGACAGGGGAAGTGGAAGGATGGCGGAAGGAAGGTGGAGGGAAGGGGGAGGAAGGGTGAGGAAGCTCACTAATAGCACTCGTTTGCCTCACTGTCTCATCACTCTTTCCCTGCCATCGTCATTCTGCCCTGAGCCCATGTTCTGTCCTTCCATTTACGCACCTCCTCCTCCCCCCACCCCAATTCACCTCTGCCCTATTCCCTCCCCCCGTTACCCCCCTCCAACGCCATAATTCGCCGTTTCCCACTCTTCCCTTCTCCATTCATTCTCGTCTGCCCATCACCACTCTTGCGACTCTCTTCACCGTTTCTCTCCGCCTCCCTCGCTGCATCCCCGTCCACAGAATCATCCGCGCATTCCTGGTGGAGGAGCAGAAGATCGTGAAGAAGGTGCCTCAAGCGTGTTGTTAGACATCTCAATTCAAGACACAGATACCGTACTGAAGAAGAAGGTGCTCAAGCTGCACAAAGTCCAAGGAGAAGGTCGCCTCCAAGGTCCCCGCTTAAATCCCCCAGCTGCCAGCTGAGATGAATGAAACCGCTCACACCGCCAAAACCACCTGAACTGCCTGCTGTCTGATCTGCCTGAGCGGGTTTGAATTGAAGTGCCTGGTCTGCCTGAGCTGCCTGAGCTGACCTAGGGGCTGTCTAAGCTCCTGCAACAGGCGCACAGGGACACAGTGGGATGCTGCAGGGAATGCCAGGCAGGAATTTTGGTTTTATTGGTTGGTGTGCCAGTGTCCATTATCCATTGGATATATGGTTAGTAAGCATGTACAAGGAATTTTTGTAAAACCTGTGCTGTCAGAGGTTGCAGTCCCAGGAGGAATTCAGCAGGGCATTGCAGCAGTGGCAGTATCAGCAACAGCAGCATGTACGGTACAAGAAATTCATTTTCGACCTGCGCTGTCAGAGGTTGCGCTCGTGAGGTTCCAGCCACGGCAGTCCCAAGAAGTCAAACACTGCTCTCTCACTCCCGCATGAAACTGACTTGCCTGCTGCTGTGCCTGGTACCTGTTGGGGGGTAAGGGGTGGGCACAGCATGTCTTAGGGAATCCTGGCAACCTGAGTTGACTCATACTATATCAATTGGGAATGACATGGAAACAATTACGATGGGGGTGATGGGGTAAGGATAGCATGTGTGCAATCCTGTAGGGGATGCGAGGCATCAAGACTGTGGGGTTGCAGTGATGCACACAGCATGTGATGGGATGGGAGGGATGGGATGGGAAGCATGTGACACAGCATATTGCATTGCAATCTTTGGGTGCCTCAGAAACTTTTTCGACTCACAGCATCGCGCAGCACGAGCCCATGGTCGTCCAGTCGGTACCCCTTGGCCTCTGCAAACAGCCGCATGCTGGATGGGTGGGGGGCAGGGGGGGCACGGGTAATGTGTTGAATGTGTTTGAACTACGGCCGAGAGACAAGGATGCTCTTACTGTTGGATGTCAGAATGTGCCGAACCACGTCCTCTGGATGCTCTTGCGCTTACCGTAAGATGCATTCGTAATTTTCTTGTTCTGTAACGATTGATCCGATTCCACCTAGTAACTGCCAAGCCTGGAGATGCACGAGTATCGCGCAGCCATCCCCGCCTATGGCGAACAACTTGCGATCCTGGCCATCCCTTCCGATCTTCCCACCTTCCTTGCGGCCTAATGCTGCCGTCTCATCATCTTAGCCGTCTATTCCCAGCCCCCCACCATCCATCCTGCAATCCTCATCGTCGATTGAGCACATCGTTGCCCGTCCACTGTATGAGCCCGAACGGGTACTGCTCCCATGGGTACACCTGTAAGTAAAATCATAATCATATCACATATGAGGAAACAAAAACATTCCATGGCAACACCACACCACCATCCACATATGCATCCCAAACTTCTGAACTTCCAGCAATCGCAGGAGGAATACGCTGCAATAACAGTGGCGCCAGCAGCAGCACTTTGAAGTCAATGTGGTGCCACTGCTCCCTGCTTGCCTGCTTGCATTGCTGTATTGAGTCGCCTCAGAAGGCGACTTATGTGCCTCAAGCATATTACACAGCAGTGGCGCCAGTGGCGCCAGTGGCAGTACCTTGAAGTCTATCCGGTGCCGTTGCTCCCTGCCTGCTTGCCTGCACAGCCCAAAGTAGGTGTCAACGCCCTTGCCCTCCCCGTGGGGCTGTTGGGGGGAAGGAGGGAGACGAGGGAAGGAAGAAGGGTGTCTTTCAGTTAGTATACCGTTGCTGCCTCCCTGCCTCTCTGCCTGCCTGCCTGCCTGCACAGCCCAAAGTAGGTGTCCACGCCCTTGCCCTCGTTGTGCGGCTGTTGAGGGAAGGAGGGAGGGTTGTAACGAGTGGTGAGACCAGTGGCGAAGTTACCTCCAACGCCTAACCTCACATGCACCCTGCACCTCTCATGCTCGACTAGTGAGAGCGCATCACCTGCTGCGAATGTTGTGTGCCCACCACCAGGTCTTTCGTTTGTCACCAAACTCATCGCGTGCCTCGGTTGAGCCGCCTACTGCACCTCACACCCTCTCACATGCACCTGGGCGTTAAGCGTGCAATCACCTGCTGCGAGTGGTGCGTGCCCACCATCAGGTCCCCTGTTAGAAAGCCCACGTGCTTCAGATGAAACACCGGACGCAACACACCTATGCTCCTTAGTTGCCCACACAGCCTCACAAGCCCTAACATCACAAACACTGGGTGCACTTCACCTGCTGCGAGTGGTGTATGCTGACCATCAAGTCTTCTGCTAGGAACCCCACGTGCTTCAAGCGACACATCAGCCCCCCCTGACTCGCGTCCCTCTCGGGCCCCCACAGCCCCCCGTGCATTGATGAAAGCTCACCTGCTGTGAGTGGTGTGTGCCGACCACCAGGTCCCCTGTCAGGAACCCCACGTGCTTCAGTAGACCCATCAGCTTCTCCAAAGCTACGTTCCTCCAGTAACCTCACAACCTCACAACCTTGCAACCTCACAACCTCACAACCTCACAATCTCACAACCTCACAATCTCACAACCTCACAATCTCGCAACCTCACGATTTCACAGCCTTGCAACCTCGCATCACCTGCTGCGAGTGGTGTGTGCCGACCATCAGGTCCTCTGTCAGGAACCCCACGAGCTTCAGTCGACCCACCAGTCTGTCCAAGAAGCCACGGTGGCTGCGATTACATGTGAGGGCGATGTGGAGGGGACACAGCGGGATGAGATCGGAAGGAGAAGGAGAAGGAGGGGACCACGAGGGTCCTCTGTCACCAAGCCCCGATGACTCTGGTGAGATGAGAGGGAGATGTGAGGGTGGGGGCGCGGCGCACAGCAGGATGGGATCGGGAGGAGAAGGAGAAGGAGGGAACCACCAGATCCTCTGTCACCAAGCTCACGTGCTTCAGTCGACCCACCAGCCCCTCCAGGAAGCTGCAGTGGCTGTGGTGAGAAGAGAGGAAGGTGTGGGGTTGGGGGGACCACACAGGGACAGGAAAGAAGGAGGGGACCACCAGGCCTTCTGTCACCATGCCCACGTGCTTCAGTCGACCCACCCACCAGCCTCTCCAGGAAGTCGCAGTGGCTGTGGTGAGGTGGAGATGTGAGGGAGGAGTAGAAGCGTTGCAGGAAGGAAAGGATGCATTGTGGGAGGTGGAGCGGATACACACACACACACACACACACACACACACACACACACACACACACACACACACACACACACACACCTATTCACCTTCTGCGATACAGACCACATCCACCACACACTCATGCACCGCACTCCCACCCGCACACACGCACACACGCACACACACACACACACACACACACACACACACACACACCTGGCACCATCGGGGTGTGTGATGATGAAGTCCATGTCGCCTGACGTCGCCTTGCCCCGGCGATACGACCCGCCACACACAATGAAGATCTGCACACATGCGCGTGAGGGGTATGAGCGGTATGAGCGGTATGAGCGGTATGAGCGGTATGCACAAACATGCGCGTGAGGGGTATGAGCGGTATGCACAAACATGCGCGTGAGGGGTATGAGCGGTATGCACAAACAAGACTAGCCACAAGCAGAACCCTGGCAGCACTCACCCCCGGCAGCACTCACCCCCGGCAGCACTCACCCCAGGCAGCACTCACCCCAGGCAGCACTCACCCCAGGCAGCACCCACCCCTCGCAGCACTCACCCCTGGCTGCACTCACCCCTGGCTGCAGCGCCTCTCCTTCCTTCACCACCAGAGCTGCCATCGCCGCCACCTCATCCCTCGGGATTCGCTTGTTCATATCATCGTGGAACCGCAGCGCGATTTGCTGAGTTGGCGTGAGGCCGGGATCGCCCGCCAGCTGGCGAAGCGAGCGGTGGCCTGCGGAGTAGAATCAGCGGGCAGTGCGGGGGCCCACGCCCCAGACCGTGCCAAAGAGAGAGAGGGTGCGAACCTGTGGGGGAGGGAGAGAGGGGAAGAAAGAGAAGGGAAGGGACAGTGTGGAGATTGAATGCATGAGAGGCAGTGCTGCGAGCGGTGGTAAGCGGAGTAGAACCGGCGGGCGGTGCGGGGGCCAACTCCCCGGACCGTGCCGAAAAGAGAGAGAGGGTGCGAACCTGTAACGGAGGGAGGCATGGGGCAAAGAGAAGGAAGGGCATGTAAGGCAGCAGCAACGGAAGCTGGCGCAGCGAGCGGTGGCCGGCGGAGTAGAAGCGGCGGGCGAACCTGAGGGAGATGGAATAGACATCATAGGTGCGAGCAGCGTGCGTGAGCATGACTTTTGAGACGTCTCAGAAGCCGGAAGAGTAGACGAGGTTGTCAAACTGGTCTAGTCCCTCACGCTGGTGGCCCCTTATAGGTGCGAGCAGCGTGAGCATGTGCGGACGAGGGCCCATCGGTCGCAATGGCAGCAGTGGGAATAGGTAGGGAGCAAGGATCCTGCCTGCCTGCCTCACTCACTCCCCACCATCCCCTCCCAATTATTTCGTTTCATACATTCACCTCACCATGTCGTCTGCTTGATACGCCCGCAGCTTCTTGATCATGCCGTAGGACAGTATCTCCTGAATCTGCATGCGAACAGCACCATGCATGCACGTGGGCAGAACCAAGCACACATGCACACATGGACTCATGCACAAAACAAGGGTGGCAAACGTGCAATGTTAAAGGCATATGCAAGGTGAACCGACGCCAAACAAGCATGGCTCCCAAATAACCATCTCCTTCCTCTCTCATCTTCATATATGTCAGCGAATAGATCACCTTAACGTTTTTCTCCATCCTCCCACTCACCTTGCCCTGCAGTGAAGACCCTATGGCAGGCAGCCTCTGCACCTGCTGCGCGGAGCGGAAATGACAACTACCTTTGTTAACATCTCCTCTGGTCCCTCTCCCGCCTCCCACTCACCTTGCCCTGCAGTGACGGACCTATGCTGGTCAGCCTCTGCACCTGCTGGGGGGAGATGGCACTTGAGCTGGCTAGAAAAACATCTCTATCTTATCCCGCTCCCGCCTCACCATGCTCCCATCTCACCTTGCCCTGCAGGGATGAGCCTATGCTGGGCAGCCCCTGCACCTGCTGGGCTGAGACGATGCGGAACGGCAGCTTCTCAAGCACGCTTAGCGCCTTATAGTAGCTGAACCAGCGCCACTCATCGCCCAGGCCTGAATGGGAGGTGATGGGGGGAAAGAAGAGGGAATGGAGAGGATGTGGATTGCTTGTCAGGCTTCTCGAGCACGCTGAGCGCCTTGTAGTAGCTGAACCACCGCCACTCATCGCCCAGGCCTGGGGGGGGGGCAAATAGAGGGGATTGTTCCGGATGTGGATTGAAGGGCAGCGTCTTGAGCACGAAAAAAAGGGAATCGAGCCATTGCCTCTTGTAGACACATCCCCCAGCAGAAGCACACCCCGCCATACCAATCCCACCACACACCACACCCCTTTGCACCGCACTTGTAGATGTTCTTCAGCTCGTTCATCTGCCGACAGATGCCTCTATTCTGGTCAGGCGGCAGGTACAGCCCCCAGCTGAAGCACACACCGCCATACCCATCCCACCGCACAACACACCTCATTGCATTGCACCGCACCGCACCGTACCGTCCTTGTAAATGTTCTTGAGCTCGTTCATCTGCCGGCAAATCTCTTTATTCAGGTCAGGCGGCAGGTACAGCCCCCGGCAAAAGCACCCGCGCCCTCGCAATCGCTCCCACCCCGATGCCCCCTGGGCTGGTTCAGAAGCTGCCCCTGACAGTTGCGAGACTTGATACACGTCATGGCATGAGGCCAGATATGAGTCCTGTTGTGATTCTTTTTGAGAGACCTGTTGTGAGTCCTGATGCGTTTGTGAGTCCCCATGCGCCTCAATCAGCTCACACTGCGACCCATCTCTCTGCGTCTGCGAGCCTGCACTGTCATAGCTGCATGGGAAGCATTGCAAGTCCCCACATGTACGCTGATGGTTGTCACGCTCTGCGTTTTCACCTGACTCCCCTTCCCTCCCGCTCTCCATCCCCCTCTGCACCACTTCCCCACGCTCTCTTTCTTCCTCTTTCTCCCTCTCCCCCCCATTCTCCCTCTCCCTCCCACTCTCCCTCTCCCCGCCAGCCACGCACAGCCCCTGGGTGTGACCCAGCACCTCCTCCCCCTCCCTCGCACCCTCCCTCCTCCCCTGCGCCACCTCCTCCCTCCCACCCTCTTTCTCATCCTCTCTCTCCCCCCCCGCTACGCACAGCCCCTGGGTGTGACCCAGCACCTCCTCCCCCTCCCTCACCAGCTGTATCACTCGCCCGGACAAACCCATGCCCCCCACCCCATCAATCTCCTCATCTCCGCGTCCCCCCTTGCCTCTCTTTCCCCCCTTCTCCCCTTTTTCCCCCGGCTTCCACCGTTTCCATTCCGCCCCAAACCTGTCTGTACCACTCACGTACCTCCGCTTCCCCCCTCCCCCTCCCCATTTCCCACCCCCTCTGCCTCCTCCCCCCCATCCCCTCTTCCCCCCATACCCTCCCCCACTCCCCCCCTCGCGCCCGCCCCCTTCCTCCTCCCCCACAACTGCCGCCCAGGCTGCACTCTCAAATATCACCTCCATCCAGAACGCCTTCTCCTCCTCAGAAAGCTCCGAAACCTGCCGCCCACCCTGGACGGTAGCACAGCCCGTCGCCGCCCCGTTTTCTTCCTCCTCATCACTGCCCTCCTCCTTCCCTCCTATACTCCCCTCCGGCAACTGTCGAGCCAAGGTCAAACCTGGAACTCCCCCATTTCCTTCCTCGTCCTTCCCACCCCCCTCATCTCTCCCCACGCTGTCACCTGCAGCGCCCACGTGTCCACTCCTGATTCGCTCAGAAAAAGCCCCGCTCTCCCTGTCCGCAGGAAAATCAGCATTGGAGGGGCTAACTCCCCCAACGCTAGTTGCTGCTGCGCCTTGATGTGACAGTGGGCCGTGCGAGGCGTTGTGTGAGGCACTGTGTGAGGAGCGAAGCAAAAACTTAGCTTCGGGAAGGCGAGAGCCGTGCTTGAGACAACTCTCTATCCATGCAAACTCCACCACTGTCAGCTGGCGGTGGCAGGTCACGATAAGAGGGCGCATGGGGAAGAAACAGGAATATCAGGAATGGTACGAGTGGGTTACGGGACATCTGAAAGAACGAGACCCGTGCTTGAGACAGGTAGATCCACGCGAACTCCACCACTGCCACCTGGTGGTGACATGTTGCGGGAGCAGCACACACACGGGGAACGAACAGGGGAATGAGGACTTTTGAGTCGACTCAGAGAAGAGAATGTCAAACCGAGTTTGAGGCAGCTCTCTGTCCACGTGAACTCCACCACTTTCACCTGGTGGCGACAGGCCAAGGGAGCAGCGCAGCGCACACAAGAGAAACGAACGGCAAAAACAGGTTGAGTCAGCAGTTTGTTCTGGGGGTAAGAGAACAAGTGCGAGTCCTCCCCTCACAATGATCCAGAGTTATAAAAATGACGAGCCATTCAGACTTCTAAGGACGCGGTGAAAGTAGACGATCGATCGTCAGTAGCGATCGATGTGCGGATCGGTTACCCTATTAACTTTGTTGTAACCATGCTACAGTACGCTTTCTGGCCAAATTTTTTGTACAGTGTGCGAATGCGACTGATCACTGTTCGCGGGAAATCTGTCAATTTTCAGCCGCGATCGTTACAACATCGCGTCGCCACGTCTCGCCAAACGATCTGCCCACTCGATTGTGGGGATCGATATATGCAGACGATCCTGCGATATTTGCACTTTCAACGCGTCCTAAAGACGACGAGCCATTCACCCTCCACTCTCATTCCACTCATTCCCAAAGTAACACCTTGGGATTAGCTCGGACTAAACCCGAGATTCTCAACAAGAATCCACTCACTCACCCCTGGTGGAGGGACCTGCCACGTGGTTGCTTGCTGCACTTTCCGCCAATCAGCAGCCAGCACGTGCGTGACACATGGCTCCGTGGCGCTTGCTGCGACTCCCCCCCTTAACTGCACAAGCTTCCGCTTCCACACCTGGCGGAAGGGTGCCGTAGCAGAGGAGGAGAAGGGGGAGACGGAAAAGACGGGTGGAGGATGGAGAGGGAGTGGTGGGGAGAGGGAGAAAAGAGGGGGAGGGGTTTCTCTTGAATGTTGTCGTTGCTGAAGTTCTCATGCTATGAGCGAGTTCATGCAAACGCTAGCTATCGAACACGGTCTGGTTCCGAGCAAAAGCTAACAAACTGAATCGATAGTCTGATTCTGAACCTTAGACATGGAACTCTGCGCACTCCGTTTCATCTCCCAGCCAGGCTCTTTTTTTGTTTTTTTGTTGTTGTTGTTGTTGTTGTTGATGATTTTTTTTCTTTCTTTCTTTCTTTTCTTTTGACAGTCGGAAAATGCCAACGGTCCGAGGGTGCAACAGCTTTTTCACCTGGATCCGCGCCTTGTGCACTCCTCCCTCTACGAAGCACGCATGCACGCCCTGAAACATGAGATTGAGAGCACGAGACGGACCGAAGGGCTTGGTTACAAGCTCGCGAAGACGAATTCGATTGAATTGAGAAGGTCAGTGGAAGCCGTGGTGTCTGTGGGTAATGGAACGCAGGATTTGGATAAGCGATCTTGGGAAGGAATTGCTGCTGTTGGCGTCATGGTGACGAGGAAACCCTCTGCAAACGAACCCATTACACGCACTTGTACTGCAAGCAGTGTCTAGCTCTAAAATATATTAAAAAAATCGTGAGCCACTGCTGGTTTGAGCCCTTGGGGAAGGGGGGAAAAGGTTTAATTTCTCTCATTAATATTATCATGTTATCTCAATATTTTCATCTTCTGCATATTATGCCTTTGGGAATTATATAGCACAAATGTTCTTCATCTATGCATTGTTAGCTCATACCAAACAAAATGAATTATTTTCCGATGTTTACTCTTGGATCGAACGTCCGACATTGTTAGCTCATACCAATACAACGTCTACTCTTGTTGTAGGGTGTAGACGAAAGCGTGCCCGAGCGTTATTGGGTGCAAACCTGACACCAAACTGCCTAGGGTAATATCCTTCGGATGGTGGGAAGAGCTCAACTCTTTGATATTATATGCCAGGCGGTGGGCTCGCCATGTCAGCTTGTCTGGCAAGGTGGTCTATGTGGCAAATGTATTCCACGTCATAGCTATTCTGCCCTGAACCTCTCCACGTCCCCAGATCATCATTCACCTATCCCGCCTTTCTAGCCCATCATCTCTCGCCGGCTCTTCCACCACTCCTTCGCCAATACCCCCAGCTTCCACCATCTACTGTCAATTGACCTCATCACATTTCATCATCCGTTTTCTGCGGTCTTTCACTCGCAGCTCCAGACCTTTCTTCCTTGTCCTAATTTGTCTAGTTTTCTAGCCAACCATGGCCTCCCTCGCCTTCGTTGTTGCCCCCACCGCCCCTTGCGGCCTGAGGCGGTCAACTGCCTTCTCTCAGTCCGTGAAGAGCGCCGTGACCGTGCGCGCTACTCCTGCCCGGTCATTGAAGGTCTTCGCTAGCTCGCAACCTGAGCTTGACAAGGTCATTGAGGAGAAGATTCAGGAGGCCAAGAACGTCTGCGCAGACCCGAACTCGGGAGCTGCGGAGTGTGCTGTGGCGTGGGACGAGGTTGAGGAGATCTCTGCCGCCATTTCGCACAAGGAGGCCCAGAAGTCTTCCGACCCCCTTGAGCAGTACTGCGACGAGAACCCTGATGCTGACGAGTGCCGCATCTACTCCGACTAGATGTATTTAAATTGAGTACGGGTTTCCCTGTGTTTATCCTTAACTATAGTGGAACAACCTTCGCAATATCTTTTTTTCCATCCCGCACTGGTCTCACCGAAGGAGTCTTGACATTGATAGGTGGCAGCTCCCCATATCTCCTTGTGACAGCCTTTACATTGCTAGATGTCAGCTACAGGTGGAATAGACTTTCAAAAGAAGCAGGGCAAATAATAATGAAATATGTACAGACTTACAATATTCACAAAACATTGCTTACAGCATTTGTAGCTGAACTAATTACAGCAAATGAACATCTTTTAATATACACTATTTACGGCACAGTGCCCACCTCTGATACTTCACGAGGAGGCTGTCTGTTGGATGTACTGACTGAAGTTGGCCTTCAACGAAGATCGCATATGCATCTGCAACATACCTGGTGAGTTCGGCAGTGTCAGTCTAATTGAGAAAATCGGTGAATTAAATCAGATAAGGCAACCCACATACGTACCTGTCAACTCCTGGGAGGTCAGTTATCTGAGCCCAGTTTCCTGATGAGAATTCTCGGGTGAAAATGAACAAGTTCTTAGCACAGCTCTCATGAAAGCCTGCACTGCATACTATTTGTTGCAGTGTTTGGATGTCAGAAGATAAGACGTCATTTGCTGAGGGAAGATTTTGAAACAACCTCCTTACTCCAAGCCGCACCTGCCATAATATCCCACACTGTTAGTTGCCTTGCATGCTATGACATTGACCAAAACGGACTGACGAATGCAGAACATACCATGTGAGAAGGATGACCTTCCAGCAGCATCGATGCAACCAGGAGCTTCCAGGGATCATGAGTGAGCCCCTCTTGGATAAGGTTGTAAGGAGAAGCACTGGGATTTTCCGGATTCCTAACCATTCCACGTGGAAGCTTCATATGACGACGAAGTGCAAGGTCAGAGGTTGTGTTGTTCCCCTCCTTCCCTGCTTTAGGTGGAGACTCATCAGTGCCAGGACTTGCTTGGCAGCGCCCTTCAGAACAGTCACTAGACGAACTAGATGTCTTGAAAGAGGACCCTGACCCAGCAATCTCAGGTACGCACAGTCTCAATGCTGCCGCAACAGCAGCTGCAACTTTCTTGTCTGAATGCATCCTGTCATGAGTACCCAGAGCAGCGAGTCTGCTGGTTGAAGGACCAGCACATACACTGTACGGCTCTGCTTTCAACATGCGCGGTGTCCCAGGACTTGTTGATGCCTTCCTGTCTTCAAAAAGCCGTAACTGTACATCTTTTGAGAAGGACGAAGTCGCGTCATCATCCTTGCTGCGACCAGGTCGAAGTGTCTCCAGCTTCTCAATGGAGACTTCGCTTGCACAATGCTCATCAGATTCCAAACCAGCAGCTGATACACTCATTCTATGTTGACTATTTACAGGAGGCTCAGCTGCTGTTCGCGGAAGAACACATGGGCTGACTGCCTTGCATGGGGAAGATGGCTCAATTAGAGGGCTGAATTCAATGCCCGAATCACCTCTTGATGGGATGCCTTTGCGAGAAAGCTTTCGTCGAACTGGAGTGTGCGGAACAGACGCCGAGCGAGGGGAGATCGAATCTTGCAGTCTTCCAACAGAAAATAAGCGCTCATTAGCAGGTGAATTACTCACATCTTCCCCCATGCCATATTGAAATGCGTCTGCTGATCCGGAAAGCCTCAGTCCCGGATTGGATTGCCCATCCTTATGTCCGACTTTTGAACGGCAACCCAGAGTGCTATCCTGCATCTGGTATGTAAAGCTTCTGGATCCACGAATCCCAGGAAATGGCAAATGGCTGTCATGCAGGAACGTTGGTTGCTGCTCCTCATCAACAGAGTATCTAGGCAGCTTGTGCCTTAATGGAAGTTCCAAGTTCTCTTCAACTTCTTGTGGCACAGCACGCACATCCTGCAGGGAAATAGAAATAAGGGTATGAGATGTTGTTCAAAAGAAATAAAAACGACGGATATATCATGAAGTCAAATCGTACCGTCACTTTTTCTCTTCGAGCAAAGGCTTGTGAATGGCACTCTTGAAGAACGTCCTTGGATCTAGCTGCTGAAGAATCGCGCTTGAAAGCCGACCTGCTCTTCCGAGGGGTCCATGGCAGCTCAGTGGGAGACAAATGTTCGTCTTTGTCCTCAGAACTATTAACGGCTGGTTGATCAGCTGATGCAGGGAGTCTTGGATCTTGAGAGGTCCCAGAGCTTTGCTGCTGTGGAGGCGTTGGCACATCACTTGAATCCGATGGCGAATGGGAATGCGAATCCTCCTCCTCTTCCTGAAAGTGAGAAATGATGTAGTGGGTTAGTATGATAGCTGAGTCAAGGGGTGAAGCGAACGCATCCAGAAATAGCACCAAAGGAACAACCTTCTTTAGGATAGCGCACAAGCCGAGAGCGCCTTCATATGCTTCATCATCTTGAGGAATGCCTGCCAGCGGAAGCGAGTCAGTGAGAACGTGTATTTCAAAATAAGACGGTCATGTCTCACCATCACCCACTTGATGAAGCTCTTCCGCTGTGCGACACCCCAGGAGTAGAGTCGTCATCAGCATGCGAGGAGCCACTAATATGAAGGTCTTCAATTCCCTTACCGAACTCGAATCCACTGGCTCCCTCCCTGCAGGACACGGCAAGAAAGCTCGGTTACATCACCTACGGCAAGTCCGACCATGCGCGGGTACTGCAAACACAGCTGAGACAAATGAGAAATAACCTGGGCTGGTTTTTCCCTCGTCTCTGCCTTCCGTCCTTGCTTCTTCTCTGAACACATTTGTTGCAAGGACACACGTCGTCACACCTGGCCACAACGAATACAGGAAAGAAGCATTATGGCATGAAGTTGGTAATAGGCTAGGAAGCAATACTAACTCCTCAAACATGGTGGATCCCGTGGAGCGCAAGATAACGAGGCATAGTGAGCTCTTCTGGATATGTTAATTTACCTTGGACATCGCCAAGTCCCCCTTTTGGCTGCCATAGATGCTGCTGCTATAAACGACAGGTTTTTGTGGAGCTTTGTGAGGATGCACCTATGGCACCACGGGCCATGTTTAGCTCCACCTTCACCTTGCGACGCTCCACATGGAATTAGCTCAGCGGTTGGTCTCTTTTGCCGGCAACAATGACAATGCTTTCCCAGGCCCCTAGGAGCAGCATGCCTCACCATTTCTACCTATCTTAACGTATTTCTACAACGAAGGGACGCGAAGCGTGGTTAACGCAGATGACGGAGCCTGGAATTCGAGAAGAAGCGAAAGCATTACTATCATACCGATGCTCGGCAACGTCCAAATGACGGCCAGTGTCTATCGAATTAACCCAGTCTACACTGGAATCATGGAGCCTAGCCAGCTCTGAACACCCTGGTTAGAGGGTGTGCCTGGTCCATCGATCAGGCTGACCATTGAACCAGATAAAGAAGCCTACCCACAACACTCCTCCAGCACTTCCTGAAAGAGCAAACCAGGGCTGCATGAACAAGAGCCATGTGTCATCCTTCAGATGATGAGAAAGGCAGCAACCGCCTTCGTTTCCGGCCGTGCGGTAGACCATCGTCTCGAGAGGATTCCTCGACTTCTCGCCTCTTCCTGCACCCAGAGCAAACACCGCAGTGGCTCCAACAGTTGGTTATGGGCAAAAACCTGGGTTTGGTTTGCCTTCATCAGCCTCGGAGAGCACGTGGCCGGCCTTGGTGCACTTTGGTTGTGCTGGGCTGCCCGTCGAGGCAAAGATACCTGTGCTGAGAGATGGCATTGGTTGGGGTTAGTCGAATTCTCTCAGTCTCGTTGAAACCATACCTCAAATGAAGCTTCGGCAGTAATCTAGACCAATCTGAGAACTTTAAACCCTCAAGCCCTGGAAAACAACACCCAATCAAATAACCTCTCTGGTATGGTAGTGGCATGAGCTTGGCGAAGCTCAAACGGTGACGAGAATTTGGCCTCAACCTCGCCCTTCCAAGCCGAGTTCTCCGCTTTGGCATGTCGGCCCAAGCAGACAGGTCTGATGCGTGTGAACGAGCGTCGCCACGTCAGTGAGAGGCTTTTCTTGTGTGAGGTGACGTCAAGGCATGGCGGAGCTGCTCCTCTGACTGGCCAGGAGCATGTTGATCTGCCTGGAAGTGTCACCATCGTTTTTGGAACATCCACCAACTTTCATCCTCCATGGCATCGATGACAGAGCAGCATTCCCTCCATGTATCTCTATCGTGTTCATATACGTGGGATTCAAGCAACACAATTTATGCTGGTATTAGCCAAAGTTGTCCCATGGCTGTGGTGTCCATTCGATATCCCCGCGCACATTGTAGACTAGATTCCCTAGTTCCGATTAACGTTTTCTCTCTGTTTTATATTTTTCTAGTGGCGTGAGCGTCTCTGTGGCGTCTGGTGCGTATCCGTCTGTCGGTTCATTCCCTTCATGACTAAACCTTGAAGAATGCAAAGTGCGTCGTTTCATTCTTGCTTAGGCACATATCAACTCCTGATGTTGTTTCATGCGAGAACTCAGCTTTTTCAAGTGAAACCACTTTTCTTTGGATCGCTCACTGGATTGCGGAACGCATCACTGGGCGTTGCAGTGGCCCCTAGGTCGCCCGCATTTGCCTCGTTCAAGCAATTCGCCTGCATGGCATTCCGTGGCTCCATGGCTCCGAATGTCGACGACTCATCTCTGAAAGCCGCATCAGGGGACATGCCTGATGAATCTTACGCCGACCGAACGTCGCTTTCGGGCGTTGGCGGAGGCCGTATTCAGCAGCAATTGGGTGGTTTTAAGCAGAAGCTGGATACTGAAGGGGGTGTCATCGAGAGCAATGGTCGTGGTGGCAGCAGGAGAGTGGCTGTGGCACAAATGACAGCAGTTGGTGATGTTGAGAAGAACTACGCTACGTGCAAATTGCTTGTGGAGGTAAGCCGCATGACTGTGACGTGAGGAATCCTTTACTGCTTATCATAGTTATCATTATTTTGTACTTCCTGCTTCACTCTTACTTTACGTTTACTCTTACTCCTCTATCACTCCAGCAAGCAGCTGCAGCTGGTGCAACCCTCCTGTGTCTCCCTGAGTGCTTTTCCTTCATTGGTGAACGGGATGGAGAAGCTGCGGCAGTTGCTGAGCCACTTGATGGTCCACTCATGAAGAAGTACTGCCAACTGGCACGGTACGTTTCATACCACGACAATGTTGAAAATATCTCAAAACCAGCAACAACATTGGATTCATGCAATCAAATCTCTGCTGGACAAGCAAGCATCATCTGCAGTCGCCCTTTATGCCTGCGCCGCCTGTACGCCGTTTGTTTTTGTGGCTTGCAGAAAATTTTCTATCTGGCTATCTTTGGGAGGATTTCAGGAGGCAGGAGGTCCTGACGCAGGCGGACGTTTCTTCAACACTCATGTTCTTGTGGATGACACAGGGGCGATTCAAGCAGCTTACAGAAAGATTCACCTGTAATGGAATCCTCAATATCTTTTGGCAGTTCGGATTACCTAGTTTTCCTCTGCTGCATTCTGTGCACGTGTACCTCCCTAACATAACTTCATGCTGCTCAACCAGGTTCGATGTGAATGTTCCAGGGGGCCCAGTCCTGACGGAGAGCAACAGCACACTACCGGGATCAGGCGTTGTTTCTGCTATGTCTCCTGCTGGCAGACTTGGTTTAACCGTTTGCTATGATTTACGTTTTCCAGAGCTGTATCAGCGGCTCCGGTTCGATCATCATTGTGATGTAAGTCCGAACAGTCAAGCAGTTGGCTTGTGTGGTAAGGGGCACATCAATGAGAAGTGTGCTCTGTTTATTGAGCAGGTACTTCTTATTCCTGCCGCGTTCACCCAGAAGACTGGAGAGGCTCACTGGGAAGTTCTTTTGAAAGCACGTGCTATAGAATGCCAATGCTATGTGAGTGCTCTGTTGTCTCCAACTGCTATTGCTTGGTATAGCACTCGGCTGACAAGCTGGGCTTCCACGTGGCAGGTCATCGCAGCAGCTCAAGCAGGCCGACACAACGATCGCAGAGACAGTTATGGTCATGCCCTTGTGGTAGATCCATGGGGTAGAGTTGCTGCTCGTTGCAAAGGTACGTAGTGCTACCCTGGCAACTGTCAGCATGATACAAGGAAGCTGCTCTGCAATTGCCTCTCTTCTGGTTGCTGTCTACCTGCAGATGCAGTGGCAACAGGAATTGCAACAGTGGACATTGACATGGACCTTATTGTGTCTACGAGACAACGTATGCCAATCCATCAGGTATTGTACCGGTAGCCCCAGACAAATGTTCCTGATTGCAGCACTTCACTTACCGGTATTTCTACTGTCAACATCATTGTGTTCGGGGGTGCAGCACCGCAGAGTTGATGTGTACCAAGGTGCGCACGGAATCTCCAGTGATTTCAGTGACTCCAAGCTTTGATGGGAATTGGGACAATTCATTCTACTTGCAGCATGCTGCGCTCAGACTTTGATATTACCGTGAAATCATTAATGTCTTCACATTATTGTGTCCTACTGCAGCACACCAGAGTCGACGTGTACCTTGGTAAGCATGGAACATTCAGTGGTTCTCAGTGACACCGAGCTTTGACGTGCATTGACATCCGTTTGACATGCAGCACGTAAATGCTGCTGGTGGATGTCAAATGGTACCACTACTGCTTCAGCATGCTCCTCTCAGTAGCACGGTACTAGGATTCCTTACCATGTCTATACATTGTCGTATAGCACCATGCTTGATGTGTACAACCATGGTGCAAGCAAATGGTACTTGCAAGCGATCCGAAGCTTTGGTGCGCATGGGTTTGGTAGACATGCAGCAAGATCCGCATGGGCTTGGTTAATATTGGGAATTGTTTAAATTAAGAATTGTATTTAAGACGTTTCATTATCTATTCTTGGAATGTACAGCATTGGTAGCGCTTAGATCACGCCGATGTACTTGAGGCCAAGGGCGATGCCAATGCCGATGCCGTGGCCGACAACTCCGAACGCAAGCACATCAGTGCCAGTGAAGCCGGCAGGGTCGTTGGTGCCAAGGCCAGTCTCCCTCTCGCTCAACTTCAGGAAGGCGCTGGACTTCCTGTTCGCCGAGGGGGCAAGGCCGAAGCGGCCAGCGACGAAGCACAGAGCGATGGAGCTCACCATGATCTGGAAGAAGAGAGGGACAAATGAAAGGTAGACAACGGATTTGAGTCGAAATGAATACGGCGAGATGTCTAATAGAAACCAGCACAGAGAGGAATCGTAAAGAACAGAAACATCTAACGTAGTGAAAGCGGGCACGGACCAGGTTGGTGGGGGAGCCAATGTAGTCGCAGCGGGCACCAAGGGCACCCTTGCCCTTCAGGGGAGCGAACTTCACCACCCGGCTGGGGGTGGCGCTGGCGCGGAGGCCATCGAAGCTCTTGATGGAGCTGGGGGCAACAAGAGCGGAGGTGGACACGGCGGCCATGGCGTCAGCTCTGGTTTAGCTGAAGGGCGTTAGGTGAGTAGGATGAGCTTGCTGGAGCGAAGTCTGGCAAACTGAGGAAGTGGGGTTGTGTGATTACATTACTGGGTCAGCCAAGGGCATCCGCGAAGCCAACCGATCGGCTTCTGGACGTCGCACTGGGATTTCAGTTGCCAACGGATTGGACAGGTCTCACGGAAATGGATTGGGCAATGACTCACAACCAATCAGAAATACGTCGTATGCTTGGATGATTCGGGCCACGTGTAATGTCGACCCAAGCACTGTGCGTTTACCAGCCCACTGCACGAGTGAATGCTCGCAACAATCACTTCAAAATCGAATGAAAGGAAAGTGTTGGTGCTTCTTTACACACAATATGTATGCTAAACAGAAAATGCTTCTACTCTGGTTAACTCTTTAGACTATAGAGATACTTGATGCATTTTAAGGATTTTCAAAACAAGTGTTATAAGGTTTTGAATATTATGAAAAGAAATCCAAAACAAAACTTAAGTTCATGTATTTGTTGGCTTATTACATTTTCAATATTTGACTTACCACCTATATGTCCAGGCTTGTTTGTGTACGCATAATTCTGCTGGCTGGGATTGTATTGTTATCTGGTGACAAAGTGGATGCAATATTACAACAATTCAACCAATCCATCGTTTCATAAGCACCCACCCATCCACCAACCACAAGATCCTGAACTGTAGACCCACACACATCCCTATGCACATACTCAACTATGACGCTGATGGTAGGGGAGGTGGAGAAAGTGGGGACAGGCATCAGGGGGCTACCGGCTCCATCAGGGTTAAACCCGCTCCTCTTTCGTTCACCACCAATACGGTAGAATTTATGACACCCTTCTACATTTATACACCTAGCTACCGGCATTACACATGTTATTTGTTTGTTGTATGCCTTCAAAGGTACAGAAAGGTGGAGCCTTTTTCTTTGTTTTGTTTCTGTTGTGGCATTTCACTATAGCAACACACCTGAAGGTCACAATGCAGAAACTCACCCCCTCCCATAAGGGTGATATTGACTAAGCCCAGGAAACATTCCACCTCTTTCGACTTGAAAGCCTGGATGTACAGGTGAAGGTGGCGGGGGGGCATACGGACCAGCAGGATATGCACCATAAGCCCCACCTACGTACGTCCCTCCCATTGTGTAGTCTGTGGGCGGACCTGGTCCCATTTGAGGGTACCCTCCAGGAAAATTAGGCGGGGCATATCCTTCACTGGGTTCTGCATACTGGAGCCCAGCATTAGGCAAATAAGCGCTGGCACCTGCTGCTCCACTGAAAGGACTATTTGCTTGATATTGGCCTTCCCCGCCGTAAGAGTCCCCGTAGCCAGGGTATGGCCTGTAGCCTGCACTTCCCATGTACATTGCGGGGACACCGTAGCCACCTGCATAAGCAGGGCCATAGCCGTAGTCGCCTCTGTAAGCAGGCATGGGGGCATCTCCATAGCTCCCCGGAATCCCGTAGCCTCCCGAGCTGTACTCTACACCATGACGACGACCCCTTACTACACCGAAGCCATCATTTCTGCCAGGAGCATCCATTCTCCTGGGCTCCGCTTTTTTCACCTCAACCTGCAAACGAAGAAATGGTCAGGCAGCGGGTCAATGTAGGAGGTGCGCTTATTGAAAAATAAAAAAAGAATCGTAAACAAAATCGGGCCGTGACTTACCTGTTTGTTTCCAAGTTGATGCATTTTTCCTTGTGCAAGGACATTTTCAACGGATTGCTCATTGTCAAAAGTGACGAAGCCAAACCCCCTAGATCGACCAGTGTTATGATCCATCATTACTTGGCGATCCACCACATTTCCGAAATTCGAGAAGTACGCGGCAAATTCCTCTGCAAGTAACAGGAAATACATCAGCGATTGGCAATGCAGTGTTTCAGGGAAAATGGCGGACAGGGAAACACATTCAAGTCACCTTCTGTGGTGCTACCAGCAAGGCCTCCGACGAATATCTTCTTCGTCCTCGGACCACGTCCTGCACTTGCATTTTGTGGAACTGACTTCTTGGCTTCCACCTACACGTAGAGCCGGAAAGACCGAAGTCAGCATGAACGAATTTCGCGAGTTCATGAGACGCCACTATATATCAATGGACAATCTCTCTTTGCAAACTACCATGATATTGGACGTTGACGCCACCTACCGCTCGGCCGCCAATGACGTGTTGATCCTCCACTACTTTATCACACGCTGAGGGATCCTCAAAAGTGACAAATCCAAATCCACGTGGTCGGCCGGTTACCCGATCCTTCATAACCACCGCATCCACAATGGTTCCATACTGCTTGAAATGCTCGATCAAGTCCTCTGCATATCAAGGAAGGGAAAAGCTTGACGATTCGCGGGCATGTGAAGGACAGGACTACCTTGAAGGACGAAAGCTTGACTCGAGTGGTGGGATAAGAATAAGAGGATATCTCTGCGCACCTGTTTTCGTTTCCCATGAAATGCCTCCTATAAATATCTTTCCTCTGCATTGAAACATTGCACGTGTATCAGAAAATTGGTCCCGATGAGCGGTTACATTCTCTGATGAGGTACATTTTCGAAATTAAGTTAAATTCTGGAAGCACTGACCCTGATCGGGAAGACGGAGCGGGTTGCTGAGAATCGGTAGCGTGCGAATCTGCTGTAACCCTCTTCTGTTGATACTCTTTGTCCTGTGGATGGTTAGATTCCTCTGGAACAGCGGCGTCCGGATTAGCAGACGCTTCCATTTTTCCTACTGCCATCAACGCCAGCACCGCCTATGCGGCTGGATGGCCCTCTGACAAATAAAGTATAGGAAGCGCTCTGTGGAACTAATGAGCTAGTTTCGGGATTGCACTTTCAGCTAGTTTCGGCCTCATGAAACAGAGAAAAGGCGACCCAGTGCAGTCGGCTCAAGTGTGCCAAGCAGCATCAGGTAAGCTTGCCTGGCGTTCATATCCCCGTGAAATACTCAAAGGGCACAATCGTGCTGCTCGTGTCTTCTGACGAGGTTTGTCTGGAAAGACCAATTTCTGGCTTTCCGAAGCGGCCATTTCATTCTTCCACAGTTTGCCGAGGCACGGGTACCCGTGCTTAGAAAGCTGGTTTGGCTGCTTCCGCGGCACGTGAACTCTACAGCCAGACCAAATACATAGCGATCGGATTGGTTGCCTGACTTGGGGAAGCCTGGTTTGAGGCCTAAACAGTATGCCAGACCCAACCACGTTCGAGAACAAGCTTTGTGGACCAAGCGCGGCTGCCCGGCGAATGGCTAGGGGGCCACAAATCCCCGCAGCGACCACTTCGCTTAGCTAATCAGCGAAGTTCCCGCGTAACACCCTTGAGCATTTCCTGAGGCCTGTGGTGTGCTTCAGCACCCCTTTACGCGTGGAGGGAGAAAAGGACCAATGTGAAAGCAGCGAGAGCATCCTTGCTTGAGGCCTGTGTTGGAGGGAAATTCACTTTTCCCTGACAACCCGATCTCCTGGCGTAGAGCTCAGTTGTGATTGGCGAATGACACGTTTTCGCCTCGCATTGTTTGGATATAAGAACAATTTGCCCGAACGACTTTCCGCCCATCAATCGACTGAAACGTTGAAATGTGCATTAGTGGAAGGTTTACACCCGTAAAAGAATAAACATCACGCATTATTTTCTACTCATGCCAACCCAATTTTCATGACGGAACCGTGGTATGTCTTTAGCGGATTTCTTCCAACAAGCACCACAGCACATCGCATTCTAGGAACAGCATATCGCACGCATTCAGGTATCGACCAATGCAACTGTTGCGGATTTGACTCGCCACGCATTTAGCGCAGCGGGATTCCCACGGACGCTTATCCACCGCTCCCCACGCACGTCCGCATGAATGGCTTCTCCGCGCGTATACTTCCCCGCCTCATCTCCGCGCAGCTTCGCGCCAACCACCCCCACTAGCCAGCTTCTAGGGGACTCCTCCATAGCCCAAGGATCAGGAGGTGGCAGTTCGGTAGGGTTAGAGGAGCTTCAAGATGCTTACTTGTCGGAGCTGCTCTCCTACAGCCTGGATCGATTAAACAAGGTGCGACAGAGATTGGGGTTGTAAGGGATTAGGACTTCGGATAATCATGGGTAGTCATGGTTCTTGAAAGTTTCGGGGAAAAGATATCTTGGAACTTTCGGTTTGGATGTATGGATGGTCGTCGCTTTTCTCATGTGAGACCAACCAATCAGAAACACTGATGTTGGCATTCTTGCCACTGGTCACTTCATTGCCACGTCGTCCTTTTCCCCGTCCATAACGCTTCGCTTGCACCAGGAGCCAGAGCTGCTGCGCGCCGATGCGGAGAGGGTGCAGCGGCAGATGCAGGAGGTGGCGGTGGCGCATTACCGAGCGTTCATCACCGCCGCTGACGCCATCCGGTCCATCCACCGCGAGATTAACTCCGTCGACCAACACCTGGGGTCTCTGGTGAGAGGCAACAGTCTGACATTGCATCATGTATATTCTTCCAGTAATAATGTATCACCATCCAATCATTTCATAATGTATCACCATCCAATCATTTCATCGTTGTGATTATGAACGTCGAGTCAGAAACTCAATCCTTACTTTGTATCACAACATGTTCGGCTAACATTCAATCAACACGTCACGAGGTGACATTGGAGGCTGCATCCTTATAAAATCCATCATTGTCAAGAGCCGTTATTGTCAAATCTGACATAGCTTCATGTTCATCAACGCATCTGGCATCATATCAGGTAAAATTATAGCGGATCTGACATCAGGTGGCGGAGTTCCCTATGCTGCTGTATATTTCTATCATCACATCTGATCAAATCCTTTCCACCCTGATCTGGCATCAGGTGTCGGAGATCCCTAAGCTCACCACCGGGTGCAATGAGTTTTTGGAGGAGGCTCAGGGGGTGATGGAGAAGAGACGGCTGAACAAGACAATGCTTGCCACCCACCCCACGCTCATGGACCTTCTAGAGATCCCACAGCTCATGGACACGTGAGTGCTGCTACACATGGCCACGTGGGTGCTATCTCATGACCACATGTTCTGCCTGAGCGGACTTTTCAACACTTGCTGCTATTTCCACAGAGCCATTGCTTCCGTCCTCGAATGCCTCCTTTGACACTGCGGATGAGACTAATGACCGAAGCATGGATGTGACAAGCCATGAGGCAGGAATGATTGCATTTCCCCTCTCTCGTCTCCTCTCTCCACCTCTGCTCCTCTTCTCGCCTCTGCTCATCCTTCCCCGTGCAGCTGTGTGCGCAACGGCAACTACGACGAGGCCTTGGACCTGGAGGCGTTTGTAGCTAAGCTCGCCACCATGCATGCCAAGTGCGTCGGGGGGGGGGGGGGGGGGGGGGGAGGAGTCAAGTGTGCGAGGAAAGGGGGAGTCAAGTGCATGGGGGGTACGTGTTGGGGGAGCTGTGAATCAAATGCGTATGGGGGGGGGGGGAGATAGTGAGAGTCAAATGCGTGGGTGGCGGAAAGAGATCTTTGAAATCGACTCAGTATTCGTTTATTACAAAGTTACATGCACCTGCCACCGCCCTCCCATCCACGCACATCCCATCCGTCATGCATCGCCCGCAGCACCCCCCCCATTCCCGTCACCCTGTATGTGAATCAGCGGTTGGCAGTTGAAATGATCCACTCTATCCAGACCATGCTGTCCCTCCGCTCCTCCCCTCTTTTCCTCCCCTCACCGCCGCACCCACCCCCATCAACCCACTTATCACCCCACTACACACCACCCCCCCACCCCCCACCAGGCTGCCAGTGATTCAGCAGCTGGCAGTGGAAGTGAGGCACACCACGCAGGCCATGCTGTCACAGCTGCTGCTCCGACTGCGATCCAACATCCAGGTGAGAGAGCGGCATACCGTTCGAGTGAGGGAGCAGCGTGACCTTCAAGGAGTAAAGCAGCATTAGCAGAGGCCTGGGAATGGCTGTGGTAGTCTTCTTTCTCGGTCAAGCTGTGTGTGTGATGCAGCTCGTAGTCTGGCATCCCGAGACTCGTTTATTTAGAATCCCCCCCTTTGTCCTCTTCCCTTTGGCCTCTTCCCTGAAGCCAATTTTCTATCTGTCTGTCATCCCAATCGTCCCTCTTCCTCTTACTAACCTCTGATATTTCTCGATTTCCCCGTGTCTCGCACCACCCACTCCTTGCAGCTGCCCGAGTGTCTGCGTGTGATTGGCTATCTCCGGCGACTGGCGGTGTTTTCAGAAACAGAAATGCGGCTCCAGGTGAATAGCGATCTTGAGTAAGTAGCAATCGTTCGTGCGTTTCACAACAAGTCTGTGCAAGACCACAGATAAAGCTGTATGTGACATTCCCATATCCTCGTCATTCATACCACTCTCATGCCCCTTACTCCTGATGGTCCATTTCTCCTTTACCCTCAACTTCTTATCGTTTACCCCCACCTGACCCCGTCCTCCCTCCCCCCTCCTCCCCTCCCTCCACTCAGTTCCTGCGGTGCAGGGAGGCGTGGCTGGGGGAGGTGGTATCTGAGCTGGACCCGGCCTCCCCCTACGACTATCTGAAGCGCCTCACCGACTGCCACCGCGTGCACCTCTTTGACGTCGCCACGCAGTACCACGCCATCTTCGCCCACCACTCCTCCTCATCCCCAGATTCATCGAACCTGGACGAGGATTCGGCTGCGCTAGCCGCTCTGCTAGGGGATGGGGGAGTGGGGGGAGGAGCCGGGGGAGGGGCCGGGGGGGTGTTGGGGAAGTATGGGAAGGGCAGGGCGGGAGGCGGGGCGGTTTTGAACGGGTGGGGGGGTGGGGGAGCGGGTGGGGATGGGGGTTTGGTGTATGGGTGGGCGATGCACCGAGTGGCTGTGTATTTAGCAGCTCTCGCTCAGCATCTGCCGAGGATCGAGGATGGGGGGTCTCTGGCAAGTGTTCTGGAACACTGCATGGTGAGACGGGCACATGGGCACTGCGTGTTGTTCCACATGCATCATGAGTGTGATGGAACGTGTGGAGGGTAGAGTGACTGAAGTGACTCTTTTTCCGTTTGTTTCCCCCCTCCACCCTCCTTGCTGATGCTGTATCCCCTCCTTTCTCTGCTTATGCCTTATACCCGACATCTACCCTGCTCTGCTTATGCCTTATGACCTGCCTTCTCTACCTGGTAGTGCCTTATCTCCTCTCCTCGCCTCGCCCCTATGTCTCCAACCCCTCTCCTCCCTGGCAGTACTGTGGCATGAGTCTTGGCCGAGTAGGGCTGGACCTCAGAGGCCTCCTGCCGCCCCTCTTTGAATCGTGAGCCACGCGTGCCTCTGCTCGTGCTGCATTCATGTGCTTATGTTGCTGCTATTGTCACGATTGCTTTGTGTGCTGGTAGGTCGACCATGGCTCCTTTTATTGCTGTTGACTTTTGGTCCCGACCCCACTTCCTCCTCATCATGTTATCACTATCACCATCTGCACTGCCCTCAGTACCCTCTGATCCTTCCCTAATCGTTCATCCATCCACCCCGCTCAGGTGTGTGCTGCGGATGTTCCAGCGCAACATCTCCTTTGCGGTCGACTCCTTCCATGTGAGCCATGCGTTACACCTTGACTGAAATGAGTTGAAAGCGATGACCCATGCATGATGTGATGTCATTCCTCTCACCCATCAGAGATGGGTGCCGCTCCCTTCCATGGGCTCTGCTGCTCGTATGCACCTGGGCTTGGGGGGTGACTCCCTTTCATCCCTCTTCCCTCCTTGCCACCCCCCTCCCCCTCTTCTTCGCCCCCACCCTCGTCTCAGCATGTGTTGGAGACACACAGATGGGTGCCGCTCCCCTCCATGGGCTCGGCTGCTCGCATGAGCTTGGGACTGGGTGGTGACTCCTTTTCTTTTTTCCTCTTCTTTTCCCTGCTCCCCCCCGCACCCCTCACCCGTCTCCCCTCCCCTCCCTCCCAGCATGTGTTGGAGACACACAGATGGGTACCTCTCCCCTCAATGGGCTCTGCTGCTCGCATGGGCCTGGGAGGCGAATCTCTTGATGACGTGGCGCCGCCCTATTCGCTCATGGAGCACCCGCCACTAGCCGCCTTCGTGAATGGTGCGTGCCAGGAGTGGGGTGAGTCGTGCTGACGTGGCACAGGGGGGGGTGGTTTCGTGCTGATGTGGAACAGGGCTGGTGATTATTCTTTGCTCATCTCAGATCGAATATTGAGATGAGATGACAATGGTGGCCAGGGGGGTGGCATGGCCGCTGAGTGACTAGCATTCGGCGGCCACATGTGCACACCACCAGCACTCAATGGATTGTGGCACTCTGCCTCACCGTCTTTCAAACTTTAACTCCCATCCTCACCCCATGCCCCGTTCCTTGTTGCCTCCGCCTCTTCCCTGGTCTCTCCCCTGCTCCCGGTCTTCTTCCTCTCAGGTATACTGGCAGCGCTGAACGAGTTGAGGCACTGTGCGCCGACGGCCCTGAAGCAGCAGCTGGCAGGGGAGGTGGAGAGGGCGCTGGCAGTGGTGGCTGGGTCGCTGGGTCGCTACAGTCACACACACATAGTCAAGGACTCCGAGGCGGCGCTCTTTATTAGCACATGCAGGGCGTTCGTGGAGGTGAGTGTGGGAATGTGGTCGTAGTTATGAGGGCTTGGTGGCCACGGCCCGCTATAGCCACACTCACATAGGCAAGGACTCCGAGGCAGCTCTCTTTCTAAGCACATGCAAGGCGTTCGTGGAGGTGAGTGTGAGGGCGTGGGTGGGTGGGAGTGTGTGTGTGCAGAGGTGAGTGCACGGGCAGTGGTGGCAGGGTCACTGAGTCGCTACTGTCACATGGACACACATACTCAAGGACTCGGAGGCAACGCTCTTTATCAGCACTCGCAGGGCGTTCGTTGAGGCCCGTTTGCGAGTGTGTTGGTAGAAGTCTGTGAAAGCTTGGAGTGGTGGTGTGTGGATGATGTGGTGGTGTGTGGATGATGTGGTGGTGTGTGGATGATGTGGTGATGTGTGGATGATGTGGTGATGTATGGATGATGTGGTGGTGAGTGGATGATGTGGTGGTGTGTGGATGATGTGGTGATGTGTGGATGATGTGGTGATGTATGGATGATGTGGTGGTGTGTGGATGATGTGGTGATGTATGGATGATGTGGTGATGTATGGATGATGTGGTGGTGTGTGGATGATGTGGTGGTTCTTTGCCAACCAACCGAAACACTTTCCAGACCCTTCATAACATCACTGATACCTGCCATAGCACACATTTTCCATTATTTCATTGCATCTGTTCTGTCATTTTCCCCTCGTCCACTTCTCTCACTCCCACACTTCTCCCACCCCCCCGTTCTCCCGCTGCTACGGCTCCCCTGCCACACTCGTATCCACACAAGCAGCGTCGCTTATCCCACTACCACAGCTCCCTTGCCACTCTCGTATCCATGCAAGCAGCATGCGAACCCGTGTAGGAACTCATTCTCCCACTCCTTAACTTCCCCCCACCCCTCCCGCCCCCCTCTTGTGCAGGTGGTGTGCCCGTATGTGGCTGTCTGCTTCTCCCGCTGCTACGGCTCCCCTGCCACTCTCGTATCCACACAAGCAGCGTGCGAACCTGTGAAGCAACTCATTCTCGCCTCCATGCCCCCTGCTGCCGCTGCCGATGCTGACGCTGATGCCGATGCTGCTGGGGTAGATGAGGGGCAGGAGGGTGAGGAGGCGGGAGAGGGAAGGAGAGGAGATGGGGAGGCTGGGGAAGGAGAGGGGGGTCAAGAGGAGGAGAAGGTGGGTGAGGGTGTGAGGGGTGGTAGTGGAGGTGAAACTGTTTCTAGTGATGGTGATGTGGCGCCTAGTGACCAATCAGAAGCAGGAGGAGGAAGTAGAGGAGAGGGGGGAGCGGCAGGAGGTGAAGGGACATCCGTGCAAGGGTTGAAAGCAGCTGCACCTGTAGGTATAGCAGCAGATGAGCCGAGATGAGGGATGAATGCAGCTGGACTGGTTTAGCTGGTCATGGTGGAGGCGGCGCGCTTGACATAAAAAAGTGGAGTTTATGGGACGAACTGAACAGTAAAGCATGTGGAGGTCAACATCTGGGGGGCATTGTAATGAGATATGTCGAGGTGCTCACATAGTCGAGTTGACGTGCAGGAATGGAAGAAGTACAAACAGATTATTTCTAGTCCCCTTTAGAATTCTGTTGGCTTTATGTCGTAATGCTGTTTTCCTGTAATTATGGATTCAAATTAACGCATTCTTCTTGACGTTCGAGTCTAGCACAAAACCTGGCAGACTATGTGCTGCCGAGGCAGGTCCTCAAATCACAGCCCTGCTTCACTCACTGCTTTGCAGCTTCGACAAGAAAAGGAGTTCCCAATAACCAAACCTACTCGATTTTATTCAGGCCACGTGATTCCCCGAGGGGATCGGGGGCGGAGGTTTGTTCGGGATGGCTGACTTGATTGGTAAAGAGTACCGCACCAAAGAGCACAAAAACGTGCAAAACCACTCTGTACAACGCGGAGGCTGTCTCGACGTTAGTCGAAATTGCTGTTTCAGTTCAAATCAGTTCACCTTGCATACTTAGGTGGCCAGATAGCTTTATTTACGATACTCTCCTACTAACTAGCCATTAGCGACACGCGACAATGACGTCATAGTCATTCCACCGCTTTATCGCCGTCGGTACCCTCCTTTCTTGTCGTCATTGCGTTCGGCCGGTACTCTTGTTCCCTCAGTCGTCTTCGATCAGGTGGTCAGTGCGCAAGCAACTGGCCTCGTAGTTTTTCGACTCGCGATCTTCAGTTGCACATAGTTCCGCTCCGATGAGACGTTAAACTTTAAACAGGCGAAATGGAGGAGCTAGAGAGGCGTCGTCGCCTTCGTTAAAGTCTTCGTGCGTTAGTGTTGTGCATTTCCGGTCAGGGTAACGAGCAGGCCCCTTAGTGGGGCCTGACTTATCAGCAGCCATGAGCCTTTTGGAGATTAAGTATGTCCCGCGGCCTCCGGCAATTGGACAGGGGTGCAATCTGGATTCCATGGTGAGTGGCTGTAGTTCTTAATACTTCACCGCGAACTAGGTTACGGTCATAGCAGCTTCATGCGCTTACCCTACTGCGAAAATGCAGTTTCCTATAGCGGTGGCTTTTGTGTACGGTTTTGTTGGGTGCGATTTCGGATACCAGGGCCTTGTACGCGATGATAATTTAGTCCGCTCATTGTTGGCTCAGCGATTCCACGCGGAATGCTGCTCACTGAGAAGCGTCTCGTTTCGCGTCGGTAATTTCCAGTTGCAAAATTCCACACGGAATAACGGGTTGGCCTTGGTACAAGTCCTTTTCTGAATTTCTCATTTCGAGCCATTGCTTCCCCTTCTCCTCGTCTCTCAACCGCAACCACCCCTTCCCCCGTCCGCCTTCGCCTCCCCTTCGCTTTCCATATTCCTCCCCCTCCTCCTCCCCACCTCCCCCCTTCCCCCCTCCCCCCCACTCCCTCCTCTCCTAGATTCTGCCGGAGGCCGAGGAGGTGCCCCACTTGCGCGAGTTGGACTTTTGCGTGAACGCGGATTTCGTGCACATAGAGAACAAGTACGGCACCTTCATCTGCGAGCCGCACCTCTCCTTCCCCAACCAAGTCTTCCCCTCCAACCCCTCAGACGCCCCTCCAGGTGAGCACTAGAGGGAGTGGGAAACGGGAATTTGCGAGGGGGGGGGAAGGGTGAGGGAAGGGGAGTTGGGGGGGTTGCATGCACGTCAGCGTACGGGGGCAACGGCTTGTGGGGGTTGCATGCTGGCTTGTGTTTATTTATGATTCTCAAAAGTCTGCTGCAAGAACATCGTGCACATAGAGAACAAGTACGGCACCTTCATCTGCGAGCCGCAACTCTCCTTCCCTAACCAAGTTTTCCCCTCCAACCCCTCAGACGCCCCTCCTGGTGAGGATCAGAGGGAGTGAGAAACGGGTATGGTATCTGGGGGGAAGGGGGTATCTGGGGAGAAGAGGAGAGGGGGGGTGGTGCATGCATGCTGGCGTACGGGGGCGACGGCGTTTGGGGTTGGTGGATATGAGCAACTGAGGCCGTGAGAGACGGATATCTGGGAGGTGGATTCTGGCGTTCGGGATGCGGAATACGCGTCACTTGCTGTACCTCGCCTGAAACCCGCCCCTCCTTGCCTGCCTTCCCTACAGCGGGCTTCACCTCACCCACCTACCTGCCCGCCTTGCTACTCGCCGTGTTCCGTACCAACTGTGTGACGGGCTTGCTGGTGTGCACCACTTGCTGTTTTGAAGTTTAACGGCTAAACTTTAACCTCTACACTCACCACCTGCCCTCTCGGCGCTTCACTGCCTTCCATCCCCATGCTCTCCACCTCTGCTGCTTCCCTTGTCTTTTGATTTTCCGAAGCAGGGAGCTACAGGCAGAATGGAGGGGAGGATGAACCCGAGGACCCCTATGTCGGGGATAGGTCGATGGACGAGGTTAGTGCGTGGTATCAGCAGGCATCTGGAGTGATTAAACTCGTTCGGAGTGCTAGCTTTTTCTTGAAAATGTTACCTGACTGATTAATCTGTTGCCTTCACTGTCCTGCTGATTGATCACTGCCCTCCTGGTTGTCCCCGCTTGCCACTTCCCTTCGTCTTCCTCATCTCCCTTCTCCCCTCACACCCCCCCCCCCCCACTTCCTCCTCCTCCTCCTCTTCTTCCTCCTTCCCCTCTTCTTCTTCCTCCTTCCCCTCTTCTTCTTCCTCCCTCCCCTCTCCTTCTTCCTCCTTCCCCTCTTCTTCTTCCTCCTTCCCCTCTTCTTCTTCCTCCTTCCCCTCTTCTTCTTCCTCCTTCCCCTCTTCTTCTTCCTCCTTTTTCAATGCTGCTTCCCTCAACCACTTCCACGGGCTGACATGGCATGGCATGAGTTGATATGGGGCGGCATGGGTTGGCATTGGGTGGCATGGGTTGACATGGTGTGTGTGGCGGCGGCTGCATGGGCATGGGTTTGGCATGGGCATGGGCATGGGGGTTGTCATTGACATCGCTGTGGGGGTTGCTGTTGCTGCATGGGCATGCGCATGGTGGCTGTGATGAGAGCAGCACTACGGGGGGTCAACCATAATGGCGTACGATCCGCTCTTCAACTGGGACTCGGAGCGTGCTGCTGTCATCGGCCACCGCCTCCCCATCCGCCCCATCACCTCCTCCTCCGTGTAAGACAAGCGTTCGGAGGAGACACATGCATGCACGCATGCATGACACATCACATCCCAAGCAAGCGCCATCGGTGAATGGCACACTGCCCTTCCCCCACTAGTGCACGACCTGTCACTCCTTCTTATACCCTTACAATCAGAACTCGCATCCCCACTCTGACCCCTCAAATTCTATCTCATCCTCCCCACTGTTTCCCCAGGGGCACGCGTTTCTCAGTGCGCATCTTAGGCCTGACGGTGCAGGCAGGGCTGGTGGAGCCAGTGAGCGGCACCATGTGCCTGTACCACGCCGAGCGCCGTGAGAAGGCCTCCGAGGACTTCCACTTCCAGTTCCTGCCGGCGCAGTGGGAGGGCGAGAGCACGTCGCCCGACACAAGAGCCATTTTCTCGGTGGACAAGGAGTCGGCGGCGCTGTGCCTGCTGGTGCAGCTCGACAAGGCTGCGAGTGAGGAGAGTTTGAATGGCATCAAGCCCGCTGTTTACACCCGCAAGGACCCCGTGAGTTTGGGGTTAGGGTGGGTGGTTGTGGTTGCTTGATGTGTGTTTGTGTGTTTGTGTGGTTTTGAGTGGACTCAAGAGTGAGGAGAGTGTGAATCGCATCAAGCACTGTGTTCACCCGCTGTGAGTTCTTTTACTGGGTAGTGCGGGCGGGAAAGTGCGACTTGCGTCACGCTTTCTCGCTGACGGTTCTGTGATCTCGGAGAGACTTTTGAGTTGATCACTCAAAGTCACCTCGGTTCTGTGATCTCGGAGAGACTTTTGAGTTGATCACTCAAAGTCACCTCGGTTCTGTGATCTCGGAGAGACTTTTGAGTTGATCACTCAAAGTCACCTCGGTTCTGTGATCTCGGAGAGACTTTTGAGTTGATCACTCAAAGTCACCTCGGTTCTGTGATCTCGGAGAGACTTTTGAGTTGATCACTCAAACTCACCTCGGTTCTGTGATCTCGGAGAGACTTTTGAGTTGATCACTCAAAGTCACCTCGGTTCTGTGATCTCGGAGAGGACCACCTTTCCCTTTTTCGCCTCTTCTTTCTTTCTCCTCCCTCCCACTCTCCCCCCATTCTCCCACCCATCCTCTCCCCCACCCTCTCTCCCCCTTGCAGCCCACCCTGACGGACAAGGAAGCAGCGCGCCTGTCAGAGTGGGCACAAGTCATGCCCTTCCGAGAGCCCCTCGCGTGGATCACCATCCCCCTCTTTGATTCGTCTGTCACCGGCGGAGTGGGGGGCTTCGGAGCCTCGGGAGGCGGCAGCTCAGGGGGAGGGTCGTCAGGGAGCCTGGGGGGAGGCGGGGGCGTGCTGGGGGTGGAAGGGGGAGGCATGGGGGGAGGGGCGGGGTCGAGTCCGGTGGTGGATAGCAATGGGGTGCGCGTGCCGGCTTATGAGCTGGGGGGGCCACCAGTGCAGATTGACATTCCCACGTTGAATCGCGCCAAGGAGTGTTATACTGATGACCAACTGCTGGTGAGCCTCCGGCTTCTGGCTCTCCGTTACTTGTAAAATTCTTCACAAGGAGTGTTATACTGATGACCAGCTGCTGGTGAGCTGCTGACCCTTGGCTCTCAGTTACTGTTTTCTAAGTTGACAGAATTGGTGAAGGCTGACTTCCCCTCGTCTTCCCCCCTTTCCTACCCTTCAACAGCCCCCTTTCCCCCCCAGGACCCCAAGAAGAAGGCGCAGAAGCCAGTGCGCGTCTCCATGCACTTCGAGGTGGAAAGACTACCCGGGGCGAGGACAATTGGAGCCCATTCCCCTCTCATCCACCACTTCAACCACTTCCGTTTTCCACTCTTCCCTTCTCCCTCCCCCTTGGTCCCCCACTCTTACAACCCCAGGACCCCAAGAAGAAGGCGCAGAAGCCAGTGCGCGTCTCCATGCACTTCGAGGTGGAGAGGCTACCCGGAGGGGCGGCAGGGGGGGCGGCAGCGGGCGGCAGTGTGACGCCGCGGTCCCTCAGCAGCAACGCGTCACAGAGGGGGGTGAACCGGGCGCGGTCGCAGGACTCCATGACCTCAGACCTGGACGACGTCAACATGGTGCCAAGGAGCCTTTCGGTTTCCAGGTTCCTCACCGGGGTGAGTGCTTTGTGATTCGTGAGTGCCCTGCATGCCCTTCATTTCTTGGGGGAAAGGGGGTAGGTTGGGATCAAGGGGGTGTGAGGTGTGAACCGGGCACGGTCGCAGGACTCTATGACCTCAGACCTGGACGATGTCAACATGGTGCCTAGAAGCCTTTCTGTCTCCAGATTTCTGACCGTGGTAAGTTCCCCGTGAATTTCCTGCATGCGCTCACCCCAGTTCCAGGCGATAGACTTCACGGACATGGTGAGGGCGGAGCCCTTCACACGCCTCGTGCATCTGCTCTTTCCCTCCTTCCCTGCCCCACCTCTGCAGCTCAAGTGACTTCTTTCCCTTCCACTTCTCCCTCACCTCCCCCTATCCCCACCCACCAGTTCCAGGCGATAGACTTCACGGACATGGTGAGGGCGGAGCCCTTCACACGCCTGGTGCATCTGCTCTTCGTGTATCCGCAGCAGGTCGCGCTGCCCAAGAAGCTCAACCTCTTTGTGCGCACCGAGCTGCGGGCTGATGACCTCGACATCCAACGGCCGTCAATGGAGGTCAGTAGAGATCCAACGACTGTTTGTGGAGGCAGTGCCGATCCGACGGCTGTCATTGGAGGTGAGCGGCGGTCCCACGGTGCTCAGTGGTGGAACATGCAGCAAGTCAGCCAGCCCCGCAGCAGCAGGTGACGCTGCCCAAGAAGCTCAACCTCTTCGTGCACACCGAGCTGCGCTCTGATGACCTTGACATCCAACGGCCGTAAATGGAGGTGGGTGCCAGTTCGACGGCCGTGAGTGCAGGTGAGTCGCAATCCGACGGCTGTGAGTGGGCCATGCAGCAAGCCAGCATCGCAGCAGCAGGTGGCGCTGCCCAAGAAGCTCAACCTCTTCGTGCACACCGAGCTACAGGCCGACGATCTCGACATCCAACGGCTGTCCATGAAGGTGAGTGCCGATCCGACGGCTGTCAGTGAATGCCCATCCAACGGCCGTTGGTGTGAGGTGGGTGCTGATTCAACGAATGTCAGCTGAGATGAGATGAGAACAGATACTGCGCAGCTGGCAGGGCGGATGAGGGAAATCCACAGTTGTTAGTGGAGGCGAGTGGCGATCCAACAAAGCGGTGTTTTCCGCATCGCAGCAGGTGGCACAGGGCATACTGGGTGGGGACGCATCGTCTTCAAGCCCCCCTTCACCCCCCTCTACCCGCTCTTATCCCGCCTCCTCCCCGCTTCCCGTTCCCTCTTCTCTTCCTTCTCTCCCCCTCACCTCACAGGCCATCTTCCCTAAGGAGCGCAACGGGCCCATGCTGCGTACAGCCTCAAATCAAGTGGTGCAGGGCGCACGGCCCGCTCTCTTCCATGACGAGGTCAAGATGCAGCTGCCTTCCCACTCTGCCTTCCCTCCTCCCTCCCCCTCCCCACCCCAATACAGGCCATCTTTCCCAAAGAACGCAATGGTCCCATGCTGCGTACAGCCTCAACTCAAGTGGTGCAGGGAGCACGGCCGGCTCTCTTCCATGACGAGGTCAAGATGCAGCTGCCTTCCCACTCTGCCTTCCCTCCTCCCTCCCCCTCCCCACCCCAATACAGGCCATCTTTCCCAAAGAACGCAATGGTCCCATGCTGCGTACAGCCTCAACTCAAGTGGTGCAGGGAGCACGACCAGCACTGTTCCATGACGAGGTCAAGATGCAGCTGCCCGCCTCTGTGACGCCCGCACACCATCTGCTCTTCACCTTCTTCCACATCGACCTCTCCCTGCGCTCCGAATGGCCCAAGCCGGTGAGTGGGGGTACAGAGCACAGGGTAAGCTTGTAAGGGGTATAGATTGGAAATGCAACTGCCTGCTGCTGTGTCGCCCGCACACCACCTCCCTAGTTCAGCTCTCTCTTTTGATCTGTGTAAACCTTTCCTTATCTGTGTGCTGCTGCATTTGTTCTATGCAGGTGGCAGTGGGATATGCAGTCATGCCTCTTGCTGCTGCTCTACAGTACGTTCTTCTGTCCAACTTAGCTTGCCACCACCACCACAGCGGTTCATAGCAAAATTCTGTGCAAGAATCAGCAATCCTGTAGCGTCACTCCTTATGCCGCGTGTTTCATTTGCTATTTGTTACGATTTAACTGACATGAATTTCATCTGCCATGGTTCTTATTTCCTTGTGCTTGCGTGGCAGGGCGTTCAAAGCGGAGGTGAATCTGCCCATATCCAAGGACCTGCAGCCGCGCTACCTGCAAGAGAGCACCAAGGTGAGGCACAAATGGCTGCTTCATTGCGTTTTTGCATGATGGTTGCATGCGATGTGCATCTGACGAACTGGGAGGGGCGGCTTTCCATGCTGTCCTTACTCCTCCTGCCTTTCCAACCCAATGAGCTGCTCTTTTCTCTCCACACCATGCTGGAGGCACCTCTGCCCCGCGAGGACCTCCTCCTGGGTGGGGCAAGAGGTGCCTCCAGCACGGTGTGGAGAAAGGGGCGCGCTCAAGGTGCCCCACGGCAGAGGTGCCATCAACGCGCTCAAGAGGGCGGCCCTTGTCGTGCTCATGGCCCCACTCTCCGCCTCTCATCCTCCGTTCCTTTTCCCTGAAACCTACCCTCCTTCCCCCCTCCCCACCCCCCACCAGTCGCGCCTGACCTACTGGGAGGAGGGCCGCCCCATATTCCGCGTGCGCACGCGCCTCTTCTCGTCCCTCCTCCCGCTCTCTGACCGCCTGCGTGACTTCTTCCACCAGTTCGACCGCCACATGCTGGAGGCGCTCCTGCCCTGGGAGGGAGGGCCTCCTGGATTCACCTCCTTTTTCTCCCGTTTCACCCAAACCAACCCCTCCTCTTCCCTCCCCCCCTCCCCCCACCCTGTACCAGTCGCGGCTGACCTACTGGGAGGAGGGCCGCCCCATCTTCCGCGTGCGCACGCGCCTGTTCTCCTCGCTGCTCCCGCTCTCCGACCGCCTGCGCGACTTCTTCCACCAGTTCGACCGCCACATGCTGGAGGCGCCTCTGCCGAGAGAAGATCTCTTAGAGGCCATCAACGCGCTCAAGACGGTGGATGTGGTGGTGCTCATGCAGTTCCTCTACCCGCTGCTCAACATGCTGCTCTGCATGATTGGCAACGGCGTTGAGACGCTCCAAGTAGCCGCCTTCCGAGCCATGATCAACATTGTGTCCAGGTGAGCCTCCCTCGTACCAAGAGAGCGCCGCCTAGAGGCAATCAATCAACGCGTTCAAGTCAAGACGGTGGACGTGGTGGTGCTCATGCAGTTCCTCTACCCACTGCTCAACATCCTGCTCTGCATGATCGGCAACGGCGTTGAGACGCTCCAAGTAGCCGCCTTCCGAGCCATGATCAACATTGTCTCCAGGTGGGTACTAGATACGAGTGCATAAGCGTACCCTTCCCCCCTCCTCCCTCCGCGTATGCCATCAACGCGCTCAAGTCAAGGTTCACTCTCTCCTTTCCTTGTCTCATCCGCCCATGTCTCTCATCTCTCCTCACCCCTCTCCTGCGAGCAGAGTGCAGTTGGAGTTGGCACCGCAGGCGGGCTCGGCCCCCATGGAGCGGAGTCGCTTCCTCGTGCACTTTGTGGACTACAACTCTTTGACTCTCTCTCCCCTCCTTTTGTGACGTCTCACTCCTCCCCATCCCCACGTGCGTGTTCCCTCCCTCCTCAATTCCCCCGAGAGCAGAGTGCAGCTGGAGTTGGCACTGCAGGCGGGCTCGGCCCCCATGGAGCGGAGTCCGCTAGCGCCACAGGCCGGGTCAGCCCCCATGGAAGACAGTTGCTTCCTTGTGCACTTTGTCGACTTCATTCTTGATGATCTCGGTCGCAACCAGCCCTATGTGTGTGCTCCCTCCTCCCCAGCCCACCAAACAGAGTGCAGCTGGAGCTAGCACCACAGACCGGGTCAGCCCCCATGGAAGACAGTTGCTTCCTCGTGCACTTTGTCGACTTCATCTCCCCCCTCCTTCTCGTCTCACTGCTCCCCATCCCTACCCGTGCGCCACTACCCCGCTCCCCCTACTCCCCCCTTTCCCTCTTTCGAGAGCAGAGTGCAGCTGGAGTTGGCACCGCAGGCAGGTGCAGCCCCCATGGAGCGGAGTCGTTTCCTCGTGCACTTTGTCGACTTCATATTTGACGATCTCGGTCGCAACCAGCCGCCCGTGTATCCGGGTCTCAGCAACGTGTGGCGCAGCCTGGCACGCAGCAAGGTACGCGCACCTTGCTCCGCAACGTAGAGTGAAGGCAGACGTGCGCTTCACGTTTGACTGCTTGAGCCGCAACCAACCTGCATCCTTATCCTCTGGTTTCGAAGGGCTTCGATTAAATCTGGTGTGTGCTGAGGCGCATGGCATGGCATGAAACGCATCTCCTGCCTCCCCTCTCTGCCCACTCCCCACGTTTTGATCTCCTTGCCTCTCAGTCGCGAGGGTTCCGAGTGGGGCCGGTGTATGCAGAGGCGCTGCAGATGGCGTGGTTTGTGCTGGAGCTCATCGTTAAGTCCATGGACCTGGAGCTTGCTCAGGTTCCGCAAGGTGAGCTGCGGTACAGTGTGGTGAAATGGGATACTGCATGGTGAGGTAGCAGTTTTTATTGCTGTCTGCGCCGCACTGCGCTGCAGATGGCATGGTTTGTGCTGGAGCTCATTGTCACCTGGAAATCGCCCAGGTGCCGCAAGGTGAGCTGCAATGTGATGCGGTGCAATAGGATACCATACGGTACGATGAGGTAGCAGGTTATTGTGCAGTGCAGCAAGCACTACAGGGAGCATGTCCTGCGTCCTCATGCACCTCCGCCCCGTTGAGGCTGGAGGACGATGTGTTTCTGTGCATTCGGCAGCTGTTTGAGTCTGTGCTGGCCGCTGTGCACGAGAATGCTGTTTCCAACTAACCCCCCTCGTCCATTTTCCCCCCTTCTCCACCCCCCCGCCCCCAACTCCTCCCTCTCCTCCCCCCATCCCCCGCGCATAACAACACCAGGGGATGAGATTGCGCGCCTAAGGCTAGAAAACGAGGTGTTTCTGTGCATCCGGCAGCTCTTTGAGTGCGTGCTGGCCGGCCGAGGTGCATGAGAAAGCAGTTTCCAACTATCCCCTCTACCCATCCTCCACCATCTCTTCTACCATTACCCCTGTCCTCCCCCGCGCATAACAACACCAGGGGACGAGATTGCACGTCTAAGGCTAGAGGACGAGGTGTTTCTGTGCATCCGGCAGCTCTTTGAGTGCCTGCTGGCCGAGGTGCACGAAAAGGCAGTCTCCGACCCACCCCTCGCCAAGAGCCTCAGCTCCTCCATCTCCTTCTTCTGCTACGACCTCATCTCTGTCGTGGATCCGCCGCAAGTCTTTGAGCTGGTGAGCAGCCCTTCACCCCTTCCTCCACCCACCACTCCGCTACCCCCTTAAGAGTGTGTTTTTGAAATCAAATAAAGGACATCGTTATGGACCTCAAACCTGCACGTCAAACCTGCACCTCAAACCTGCACCTCAAACCTGCACCTCAAACCTGCACCTCAAACCTGCACCTCAAACCTGCACCTCAAACCTGCACCTCAAACCTGCACCTCAAACCTGCATCTCAAACCTGCACGTCAAACCTGCACCTCAAACCTGCACCTCAAACCTGCACCTCAAACCTGCACCTCAAACCTGCACCTCAAACCTGCACCTCAAACCTGGCAAGTTTTAACAAACTCGCAAGACATTTGACCTACCAGAAGGGGGGTTCAAATGGTCAAGATTGAACTTCGTTTTGTATTACCTGACATTTCGGCGCTAGATCCGTGGATATCCGGCATTTCATCGCGCTTATCTGGCACTATGGGTGGCCGGCAGGATGCTTCGAGTTTTGCTCGACTCGCTCGAGTTTTTCCAAGGAAACTCACGAGTTCAGAAAAACTCGACCATATGGTCGAGTTTCGAGAGGGGCTTGAGCCAAAAATAACTCGACGAGTTTTACTCGACTCGACTCAAAGCGAGTCGAATAAAACTCGACTCGTCATTTGCCCATGTATTCGTCCCTCCCCATCACAGGTCGGCCTCTTCTTCCTCTCGCAGTTCGTGGGCGTGTGTCCGCCCATGCAGCACATGTTCAAGCTGCACTTCCCTTCCTCCCTCTCCATCTTCCCCTTCCATTGCCCTCGGCCTACCCTCATTCACTACAGGTGGGTCTGTTCCTCTCGCAGTTCGTGGGCGTGTGTCCGCCCATGCAGCACATGTTCAAGCTGCACTTCCTCCGCATCGTCTGCGACCATGACCTCTACATCGAGACCCCTGGTCGCGGCCCCACTGAGAAGTAAGTTCTGGAATGGCTTGTGTTGTGATTGTGAGGACCCATCTAGAAAGAAGTACAGTCTTACGGCACCGTCCTAGGTATTAGAATCTAAGGAATTGAGCACCGTCCTGCTCCAAGCCTAGATGCAATTATCCCATTTTGCTGTTCCCCCTTGCCGCCACCATCTTTCTCTCTGCAATGTCCGCTTGCCTCTGCTAACTTCCGCATTTCCTCCAACCACCACCATCACCACTCATCACCACTCATCATCACCACTCATCACCACTCATCACCACTCATCATCATCACTCATCACCACTCATCACCACTCATCACGACTCATCATCATCACTCATCACCGCTCATCACCACTCATCATCACCACTCATCACCACTCATCACCACTCACCACCACTCATCATCATCACTCATCACCGCTCATCACCACTCATCATCACCACTCATCATCACTCATCACCTCTCACCACCAGGAATTATCTGACCACAGTGCTGCTCAAGGACCTCTTTGTGAGCCTCGACCACGAGGACCCCAGTCAGCGATCGCTGGTACGCCCCTGCCTCTTTGCATGCTCTTGAGTGCACTCTTGAACGCATGCATGAATGGATGATTGAATGCACATTCTTTTATTGCACGCTCACGCTCTCCATTGCGTGCGTGCTCGAGGGACCATACGACAGTATGTGTTGACGATATGACAGTATCGCAATCCGTACTCAATACGCCCTCTCCTTATCCTTCACCCTTTCACGCCTTGTCCCTTTTCTCTTATTCCGCCACTCCCAGGCTGCGCGCATGCTGGCATTCCAGGTGGCGAAGCACGAGCACTGAGTTGCACCTCAACATTCTCTGCTTCCCCCCCCCCCATTACGCCCTTCCCCCCTCCCCCACCACGCCCTTCTCCCCCCCCCTGCCACTCTCAGGCTGCGCGCATGCTGGCCTTCCAGGTGGCGAAGCACGAGTACGATGCGCGGTACCAGCAGCCGGAGCTGAAGCTGTACATCGCGCAGCTCTACATGCCCATCGTCAACATGATCCTCGACGAGGTCGAAACCTTCCACACTCTAGGGGTCATTCAGAGGAGGCAGATCCTCGTGGTCATGCTCACAGTGGTGCGGAACTTAGATAATGAGACGCTGCTCAAGGCGTGGAAGCAGAGCGACGTGCGCACTCGCCTCTTCTTCACGCTCCTGCAGCAAGCCCTCGTGCTCTTCCAGGTGAATTCTCAGGTGCCGTGCCGCCTCAGGTGATTTCTTTCTTAGGTGCGGTTTCTGGTGCTGCTTCAGGTGATTGATTTGTGGCCTTGCAGCTGCTTTGCATTTGCTTCTCCTCCCATCCCGCTATCACCTCATCCATCCCATCCCACCGCTCTCAACTCCACACTACTCCACTCACCCCACCTCCGTCCCTCCCCCTCCTCTTCCCCCTCCTTTCCCCCCTTCCCCGAATCACCCACAGCACCCGCCCCAGCTGACAGCTGGCAGCAAGCCCCGCCCCACCGCCACCAAATCCAGCCCCGCCACGTCAGCACCCGCCGACGCCACGCTGGCAGTGGAGCCGCCACCAATCCCGATGTACTCGGACCGAGTCTCCCTGGCAACCAATGATCAGCTGGACGAGATGGCCCGGGCAGATCCCAAGGCCTTGCTCGAGAGGGAGCAGATAATCCGAAAGGTCACGGGCGGCGCCGTGTCGGGCGGCAAAGGGTCGGCGGTGTCGTTGAGGGATGTGCTCGCCCGATCGAGAATACCGCCCAAAGATGCCATGGCTCTGATGAGACAAAACCTGCCGCCCAGCGCTTCTGGGAAGCTGGTGAGTTTGTTGGGAGGAGGGAGAGAGGGGTGGGGTCGGGTTAGGAGGAGGTCTGTCTGGGGGAAGGGAGTCTGTGATGTGAAGAAGCTATGTTCATCCATTCTGTGCCCTCCCATTCCCGTCTCATGCTCTCACTTCATCCGTCTTCTTTCCCTCCCACCAGCTGATATGGAAATCCAGTGTGGCAGCATGGTGTGGTGTGCATGCAGGGGAGGTGGTGGAGAAGCTCCCCTTGTCCCATTCCCCCTTCCCCTGTTCCCTCATTCGCTCTCTCCCCTTCTGCCCCCTCCCATCTCCAGCTAACATGGGAATCGAGTGTAGCGGCATGGTGTGCGGTGCAGGTGCTGGAGGTGGTGGAGAAGTTCAGCGACATGGCTGCTGATGGACTTGTTGCTGCTGCATCAACTCACTCTCTTTTTTTCCCCTCTCCCATTCTCCTGTTCTCCGTTCCCGTTTTTCCCCTAAATGCGTATCCACTTGTCAGCTAACATGGGAAGCCAGCGTGGCGGCATGGTGTGCGGTGCAGGTGCTGGAGGTGGTGGAGAAGTTCAGCGACATGGCGGCTGATGGGCTCGTGGCCACCGACTACCAACCCTCCAACCCTCTTTTCTCCCTTCCCCTGATCCCCTGTCCTTGTTCCTCCATTGCCCCGTCCCCCCACCAGTTAACATGGGAGGCAAGTGTAGCAGCATGGTGTGCGGTGCAGGTGCTGGAGGTGGTGGAGAAGTTCAGCGACATGGCTGCTGATGGGCTCGTGGCCACCGACTACCAAACCATGGACTGCCTCACTGGCCCTCTCTCCGTCATGCTCGCTCTGCCCCAGGTGGGTAGAACGAGCACACAACCACACACACAAGCACACACACAAGCACACGTCATGCTCGAAATAAATGCTCACGTGCGCCACCAACCACATGCCTCACCACCGACTATCAGATCTTGGACTGCCTCACTGGCCCGCTCTCCGTCATGCTCGCCTTGCCACAGGTGGGTGTGCTTATATTCCACCCACCCACACACCCAAACACTGACTCATAATCACACGCACTCACACATATATGCAGCCCCTTTTCACACAGTCTACGCACACATGTATCCGCCTTTCCAACCCCCCTGCCCCTCTTGTCTTCCAGACCATGAGTTTCTGGGAGCCCTTTGTGCCAGCCTTTGCCGAAATGCTGCGCCTCCATGGCAAGGCCATGCTCGACGGGCCGCCCTCTGCTGCCCTCTCGTGCCTCTCTGCCCCTCTGATATCGCCTCTTCCCTTCCCCCATCCGCCCGTCTCCCCCTCTCCTCCAGCCAATGAGCTTCTGGGAGCCCTTCGTGCCAGCCTTTGCTGAGATGCTGCGCCTGCACGGAAAGGCCATGCTGGACGGGCCGCCCTCCCTCTCATGCCCTCCATGGCCCCCCCGCACTGGCCCCTTGCTCCCCTGCGTTGTGCGTCTCCCCCCTTTTCCCCCTCCAGCCCATGAGCTTCTGGGAGCCCTTCGTGCCGGCCTTCGCTGAAATGCTGCGCCTGCACGGCAAGGCCATGCTGGACGGCCCGCCCTCTGCTGCCGCGGCGGACACTGCTGACAGTGCCGGGGCAGCAGCTAAGGGGGGCGACGTGTTGCTCAAGGGCCTCTTTGGCAGCCTGCTGAAGCAGATGGCCCTCCGCCCCGAGTTCATCAGGAAGAGAGCTCTGCTCTGCCTGCTGCTTCTCCTGCGCGTGCGTATTCCTGTGCCGGATTTCTGATATGGCATAGTTGATAACTCTGTTGATGTACTTACAGCCCTCACTGCTGTGCCCTCACTGCTGTGCCCTCTCCCTGCAACCATCCCTTCGTTTGTTTTCCTTCTACACCCAATCACCTTTCCCCATTCCTCCGCTGAACGCCCTGCATCCTCACCGTCACTCTTTATCCTCCCACACACAGAACGCCCTGCTGCACATGAAGGACGTGGAACGGGCGAGAGTCATCCTCACAGTCGCCCTCTCAGAGGTCCTATCCCACATGCGCCTCCTGCACGCACCCTCGCCCTCCACCAATCCCCCCTTTTGCCCAACCTCCCCTCCTCATTCTGTTTCTTCCCACTAACAGAACGCTCTGCTGCACATGAAGGACGTGGAGCGCCTCAGAGTCATCCTCACAGTCGCTCTCTCAGAAGTCCTCTCCCACATGCGCCTGCTGCACGCGCCCTCGCCCTCCCCCGCCCCCGCCTCTCGCTCCTCCAGCGCCTCTAGCATCGCTTCTGCTGCTGGCGGTGCGGGTGGGGGCGCTGGGGAACTGGTAGAGTCCGCAGAGGTTGAGAAACTGAGGCTTTCGCTGGAAGAGCTTGGGACGGAGGATAAGTGGTTTCAACTGCTGGACGAGTGCGGATTACCGTCGATCTGCCTGGAGATTGTGGTGGAGGAGGATGAGGAGAAGGAGGAGGAGGAGGACGAGGAGGACGAGGAGGAGGAGTATGAGGAGTGGGATGAAGGGGGGAGTGTGATGGTGGGGAGGAGGAGGAAGCGGGAGAGGGACAGGTGGACGTGGTCGAATGTGGAGGAGACTCAGGATATGCTGCTCACCGTGGTGGATGCAGCGTCGCAGCACGAGCAACTGGTGAGTCTTGAATTCTGGCTCAAATCTGAAGTTGTCTTTTTGCACCAGTAGTGAAGTCAGGACATGCTGCTTACTGTGGTGGATGCCGCGTCACCGCATGAGCAACTGGTAGGTCTTGTTTTTTGCCCACCTTGCACGGTTGCCCATGTTGCATGGTTGCCCATGTTGCATGGTTGCCCATGTTGCATGGTTGCCCATGTTGCATGGTTGCCCATGTTGCATGGTTGCCCATGTTGCATGGTTGCCCATGTTGCATGGTTGCCCATGTTGCACTGCTGTTCAACAGGGCACATGCCTGATCGCAAGGCCTTCCCATCGTTCTCCCTTCACTCCGTTATGCCCTCCCTTTTCACTCGCAGATGGAGGGGCTGAAGACATCCAACGACAAGTACGCCATAGTTGAGAGTTACTACATTCTCGCGCAGGCATACGGGCACGTGCCAGACCTGTACATCATGTGGTTAGGGAACACCTCATCCCAACCCAACCCCTGAATCTTCCCCATCTTCCACCTCCTCATCCACCTTCCCCTTTCCCTTCCTGCCCATCCCTCGCAGATGGAGGGGCTGAAGACATCAAACGACAAGTACGCCATAGTGGAGAGCTACTACATCCTCGCACAGGCGTACGGACATGTGCCCGATCTGTACATCATGTGGATGCTGCACCTGTGCGACGCGCACCAGGAGATGAACCAGTGGGCCGAGGCCGCTCAGTGCGCCGTTTCTGTAGCTGGCATTGTCATTCGGGTAAACCCAAGGCCCAAGGGATGCTGCCTACTGGGGTTAAGGGGCCAGGGGTCAGGGGTCAGGGGTTCACTGCTGCTGGGGTTCCGAAGTGAGTGTTTGCTGTTGGGGTTGAGGGATTAGGGTTCAGGGCTGAGTTGCAGAGAGGACTATTTGATGTTGAGGGTGAGGGGCAAGCGCTCTTCTTCCCGCCAGCGCTGAGGGATGTGTGGTTGTCGCTCATTCAGCTAGGAGCGTAGCGTCCCCTCGTACTCTCTGTTTCCTCTTCCAAATCCACCTCCTTGTCGTCATTTCAGGATCTGCAAATTGCGCCGGAGGAACCAGTGTGGGACGAGGAGCATCTGGAGGTCCTCTGGAGCATCTGCCCCTTGGCCCGCCACCAGTGGCGCGCGCGGGTCACACTCACACCAGCACTACCCCTTCTCTCAATGCGTCCTCTCAGGGTCTGCAAATCGCATCAGAGGAACCAGTGTGGGACGAGGAGCACCTGGAAGTCCTCTGGAGCATCTGCCCCTTGGCCCGCCACCAGTGGCGCGCGCGGGTCACACTCACACCAGCACTACCCCTTCTCTCAATGCGTCCTCTCAGGGTCTGCAAATCGCATCAGAGGAACCAGTGTGGGACGAGGAGCACCTGGAAGTCCTCTGGAGCATCTGCCCCTTGGCCCGTCACCAGTGGCGCGCGCGGGCCTTCTCCTCCCAGTCGGGGTTTGGGGCGGCGAGGGTGACGGTGGAGGGGGCGGTGCAGCACGTGCAGCGGGCGAGCAACCTGTTCTACAAGGCGGAGCTGTTTCATTTCTGCGCGCTCATGCTCTCGCTGCTGCTGCCGCTGCACCGCTCCCGCCACGACTACAAGCAGGTGAGTGGCTTGCGAGGTGGAAGGAGAGGGTGAGTTTGAGGTGAGTGGGGAGGGGATAATAGACCCTGCCGCTGCACCACACGCGCCACGACTACAAGCAGGGTGGACAAGCAGGTGCGCGCGAGTGCTGGTAATGGGGGGCAAGGGTGGACAAGCAGGTGCGCGCGAGTGTTGGTAATGGGGGGCGCAGAGTGGACAAGCAGGTGCGCACGAGTGTTGGTAATGGGGGGATCGCCTCATTACCATTACCATATCGCCTCATCACCATTACCACATCGCCTCATCACCATTACCACATCGCCTCATTACCATTACCACATCGCCTCATTACCATTACCACATCGCCTCATTACCATTACCACATCGCCTCATTACCATTACCACATCGCCTCAATACCATTACCACATCGCCTCATTACCATTACCACGTCGCCTCATTACCATTACCACATCGCCTCATTACCATTACCACATCGCCTCACTACCATTACCACATCGCCTCATCACCATTACCACATCGCCTCATCACCATTACCACATCGCCTCATTACCATTACCACATCGCCTCATTACCATTACCACATCGCCTCATTACCATTACCACATCGCCTCATTACCATTACCACATCGCCTCATTACCATTACCACATCGCCTCACTACCATTACCACATCGCCTCATTACCATTACCACATCGCCTCATCACCATTACCACATCGCCTCATTACCATTACCACATCGCCTCATTACCATTACCACATCGCCTCACTACCATTACCACATCGCCTCATTACCATTACCACATCGCCTCATTACCATTACCACATCGCCTCACTACCATTACCACATCGCCTCATTACCATTACCACATCGCCTCATTACCATTACCACATCGCCTCATTACCATTACCACATCGCCTCATTACCATTACCACATCGCCTCACTACCATTACCACATCGCCTCATTACCATTACCACATCGCCTCATCACCATTACCACATCGCCTCATTACCATTACCACATCGCCTCATTACCATTACCACATCGCCTCATTACCATTACCACATCGCCTCATTACCATTACCACATCGCCTCATTACCATTACCACATCGCCTCATTACCATTACCACATCGCCTCATTACCATTACCACATCGCCTCATTACCATTACCACATCGCCTCACTACCATTACCACATCGCCTCATTACCATTACCACATCGCCTCATTACCATTACCACATCGCCTCATTACCATTACCACATCGCCTCATTACCATTACCACATCGCCTCATCACCATTACCACATCGCCTCATTACCATTACCACATCGCCTCATTACCATTACCACATCGCCTCATTACCATTACCACATCGCCTCATTACCATTACCACATCGCCTCACTACCATTACCACATCGCTTCATTACCATTACCACATCGCCTCATTACCATTACCACATCGCCTCACTACCATTACCACATCGCCTCATCACCATTACCACATCGCCTCATCACCATTACCACATCGCCTCATTACCATTACCACATCGCCTCATTACCATTACCACATCGCCTCATTACCATTACCACATCGCCTCATTACCATTACCACATCGCCTCACTACCATTACCACATCGCCTCATCACCATTTCCACATCGCCTCATCACCATTACCACATCGCCTCATTACCATTACCACATCGCCTCATTACCATTACCACATCGCCTCATTACCATTACCACATCGCCTCATTACCATTACCACATCGCCTCACTACCATTACCACATCGCCTCATCACCATTACCACATCGCCTCATTACCATTACCACATCGCCTCATTACCATTACCACATCGCCTCATTACCATTACCACATCGCCTCACTACCATTACCACATCGCCTCATTACCATTACCACATCGCCTCATTACCATTACCACATCGCCTCATCACCATTACCACATCACCTCATCACCATTACCACATCGCCTCATTACCATTACCACATCGCCTCATTCCCATTACCACATCGCCTCATTACCATTACCACATCGCCTCATTACCATTACCACATCGCCTCACTACCATTACCACATCGCCTCATTACCATTACCACATCGCCTCATTACCATTACCACATCGCCTCATTACCATTACCACATCGCCTCATTACCATTACCACATTGCCTCATTACCATTACCATATCGCCTCATTACCATTAGGGTGGACAGGCAGGTGCGCGCGAGTGTTGGTAATGGGGGGCGCAGGGTGGACAAGCAGGTGCGGATGGGAGTGGGCTGGCAGTGGGAGGTGTGTTGAGCGGAAGAGGCAGAGCAGGAGGAAGGCAGGTTGCGACTGTGAGCACCGGAAAGCGGACAGGTGGCTGCCCTACTTCTATTGGGTCTTGGCATGGTAATCGACGCGGGTGACGGTGGAGAGGGCGGGTGACGAGTCCTCAGCTGCCCCTTATCTCCTACCCTCCTTCCTCTCACCCTCCCCCTTTCCCACGGCCCGTCCCTTCCCTTCCCCGTCCCTCCCTCCAGCTGACCAAGACGCACAACAAGATCTCGTCCATGTATGAGAACGTGGAGCAGCAGGAGAGCAGCCCATAGCTGCACCTTAACTCTTTCCCTCCTTCCTCTCACTCCTCCCCCTTCCCACCTTCCCCCACTCCCCGCATCCGCAGCTGACCAAGACGCACAACAAGATCGCGTCCATCTATGAGAACGTGGAGCAGCAGGAGACGAGCCCCATCCCCTTCAAGGACGCCTGCTACTATCGAGTCGGCTTCTATGGGGAACGATTCCGATACATCGATGGCAGGTGAGTGGGCTGACGACACATGCAGGGCAGGTCACTGGTCACAGGTCACTGGTCACAGGTCACTGGTCACAGGTCACTGGTCACTGGTCACAGGTCACTGGTCGCTGGTCACTGGTCACTGGTCACTGGTCACAGGTCACTGGTCACTGGTCACAGGTCACTGGTCACTGGTCACTGGTCACTGGTCACAGGTCACTGGTCACAGGTCACAGGTCACTGGTCACAGGTCACTGGTCACTGGTCACAGGTCACAGGTCACTGGTCACAGGTCACAGGTCACTGGTCACTGGTCACAGGTCACTGGTCACAGGTCACAGGTCACTGGTCACAGGTCACTGGTCACAGGTCACAGGTCAGTGGTCACAGGTCACTGGTCACTGGTCACAGGTCACTGGTCACTGGTCACTGGTCACTGGTCACAGGTCACTGGTCACTGGTCACTGGTCACTGGTCACAGGTCACTGGTCACTGGTCACAGGTCACTGGTCACTGGTCACTGGTCACAGGTCACTGGTCACTGGTCACAGGTCACAGGTCACTGGTCACAGGTCACAGGTCACTGGTCACAGGTCACAGGTCACTGGTCACAGGTCACAGGTCACTGGTCACAGGTCACAGGTCACTGGTCACTGGTCACAGGTCACTGGTCACATGTCACAGGTCACTGGTCACAGGTCACAGGTCACTGGTCACAGGTCACAGGTCACTGGTCACTGGTCACTGGTCACTGGTCACAGGTCACAGGTCACTGGTCACTGGTCACTGGTCACAGGTCACTGGTCACTGGTCACTGGTCACTGGTCACAGGTCACTGGTCACTGGTCACTGGTCACAGGTCACTGGACACTGGTCACTGGTCACTGGTCACTGGTCACTGGTCACGGGTCACTGGTCACTGGTCACAGGTCACTGGTCACAGGTCACTGGTCACTGGTCACTGGTCACTGGTCACAGGTCACTGGTCACTGGTCACTGGTCACTGGTCACAGGTCACTGGTCACTGGTCACTGGTCACTGGTCACTGGTCACAGGTCACTGGTCCTTTCCCTGCTGTCTCACTCCTGGGTTAGTTACCTCTTTCTCTCATCACTCTCTCCTCTCCTTGACATGGAGAGTGCTCAAGGTGCTCAAGGTGCTCTAACATGCGGTCTCACGTGATAAGGATCCGCCTTCACTATACCCCTATTCCTGTCCCCTTCCCTGCTCCTGCCTTCTCACTCTCCCCATCCCTCCTCTCCCCTTCCCCACTATAGGCAGTTCATATACCGAGAGCCACGAGACGTGCGGCTGGAGGACATAATGGAGAAGCTCAAAGCACTCTATGATGCACGCTCACCCGACGAGGAGCCTCTTCAAATCATCCAGGACTCGCGCCAAGTGCACCCCGCCTCCCTCAAGCCGAGGGTCCACCTTTTCATACCTGCACGCCCCCATGCCCATCCCACTCCCTACTCTTCCTGCACTGCTGTCCCCGTCCCTCGTTTCCCCCACGGCAGGGAGTTCATATACCGAGAGCCAAGGGACGTGCGGCTGGGAGACATCATGGAGAAGCTCAAAGCACTCTACGATGCACGCTCGCCCGACGAGGAGCCCCTGCAGATCATCCAGGACTCACGCCAGGTGGACCCTGCCGCCCTCAAGCCGAACCTCGTCTACATGCAGATCACCGCCGTCGAACCTGTGGTAGGTGCGGGGGAGGATCGGTGGCTCGGCAGACCTCTCGAGCCTCCGATTGCCGGGACTCCCACGTTCAGTTGTTTCTTTTTTGACACGCCGTTTACGCCGAATGGGAAGCAGCAGGGGCGGATGGAGGATCAGTGGAAGAGACGAACGCTGCTGTACACGCAGAGCACGCTGCCGAGCCTGATTAGCCGGCAGCCGGTGGTTCGGTCGGAGGTTCGGGAGTACTCCCCGATCCAGTGCGCTGTGGAGATTATTGAGTCGCGGTCGTTTGCACTAGAGGCCGAAATGGCCAGCCAGTTGGGGGATTCTGGGGCGGCAGGGGCGGCGGGAGGGCCGGCTGGAAAGAAGGATCCGGCAGCGGTTGTAGCGGCAGCAATGGCAGCAGGGTCGGGGCCGCTACAGCTGCCGCGGTTACAAACCCTGCAGCGGTTACTGCAGGGGAGTGTGGCGCTGCAGGTTAACAGCGGTGTGCTGGGAGTGTGTATGGCGTTTTACCAGGCGAATCCCCAGGGGGCTAATCCAAGAGCCAAGGATCCAGAGAAATTGCAGCCGTCGGAACTTGAGATGTTGACGTCTGCGATTGTGCGGTTTGTGGTGGTGTGTAAGCGGGCGGTGGTGGTGCATGGGAGGGCGGTGACTGAAGAGGATAGGGATTTCCAGGAGCAGCTGGAGCAGAGCTTAGAAGACCTGGAGAAGGAGATTTCTGCCTTCATTCCAGGGCTAAGGAAACGAGCATCGGCTTACTGAGATAAAGTATTCATTGTCTCGTGTGTGTTGGCTAACACTTAGTGGTGATCATCTGCTAGTGATGCTGCAAAGGGTAAAAGTGCATAATTATTGCCATTAGGGCTGACCGTTGAGGCAATTCTGCTTAGTCAATATAGCCTCACTAATGACAGGCTAGGCTTATTCACATCATGTGGTGTTAACCATGCAGCAATTGCATGTGGAACATTCTCTAAATATGTAAACCATGGGGGCATTGCAGTGTACCAGGATTTCGTGGTGGTGGACCACGAAGATATTTTGGCTTTTCAGCACACGTGATCCACAGCACTTGACCAGACTCAAGATTCCACAGAGCTGCCAGCTCATCCCCCGTTCAACCGAACCTAACCTGACCTAACAGCCGGCATCGCTGGTGTATTTCTACGAGAGCTAATACTCGTTAGAGGCAGGTTCGACTGCACGCTTAGGAACAACCTACTGCACTGCGCTGATATTTTCACCTCCAATGCAGGAGCCATTCTTAGTAGCAGCGAGCAGCTGAAGCTGATTCTCCCTCATCTTCGTGTTGCCATGCCCATGTAACCTCAAGCTCGAGCTATTTCTTCTCGCTTTTCGTCCAGCACTATCGCTGCTCGGACTTGCATAACTTGTTTTCGGTGCTTCTGCCGCCTTCCGATTCTTGCTGGAGGCTTGAAGCAGCGATTTTCATCAGCCGTGTACGATCTACTCACTCAGTTAACCTCTGACATCCATTTGCGATGGCTTTCCTTCGGGGGATCGGGAACGTGCTGAGGAGATCAGTCACACAAGGCAGCGCCGCCAATGACGCGCTCGCCGCGTTCCACGCGCCGCAGCCGCACTTATCGCTGCTCCCCACCGCCATGACGCAAGCCGTCCGGTTCATGTCCGGCAACAAGCTCTTCATCGGAGGTGCGTTACCGCTTTCGCCACCACTTTCGTTCTTACTTTCGTCACCCACTGGTCCATCCGTTTTTTAGATCTGATAAACCTACCGTGGTACGGATGTCTTTTCTGGAAATGAGGCACGCCGTCCGATGCTCGTGGGGAACACGCAGCTTATCGGAGGCGCGTTCCTCGCTTCCTGTTTCCGTCTCCGACTCCGTTCTACCGTTGCCACGTGGATCCGTTGAAGCCCACGCCGTTCTTTAGAGTATAGATCTGTCGCATGTCCAGATCCAGGGATGACTCGTGGTCACTTTTGAGTCGACTCAAAAGTCACCTCGAGCCTAGATCTGTCGCATGCACAGATCCAGCAATGATTCGCGTGGCAGACGGCGACGGCTATGTTCGTCGCGTATCAGATCCGGCAGGAAAGAGCTTTCTTGCCGGCAGTGAACCACGCGTGTCTCTCACGCCTCTTCCCTGCCGTCACGCTTAGGATGCAATGATGTTTGATTTTTTTAACACCACTGATTGGACATGTGCGTGCATTTGTGACATATTGGTCTCTTTACCCCAACGCGTGTGTCTCTCGTTCCTTTTGTGCGATCGGTTGAGCAGGGCTCGCATGGGAGGCCGACGAGAAGGCCTTGGCGGATGCTTTCTCTGCCTACGGAACCGTCGAGGAAGGTGCGCCCGCTCTCTCCGCTGCATTTCCGCCGTCCTCCCTCCGCACCCCGCTCTCCGCCCGCCGCGCTCTGCTTTCCGCTTTCGGCGAACCCCCCTCCGCCATCCACCATACTCTATGAGCCGCCTGTGACCCCAGCTCTCTTTGTGCAAATCATTCATCTTCTGTTACCAAGATCACCGCTTATACCCCTCCCCCCTCCCCCGTCCCCTTTCCCTAAACTTACATCCTTGCCCATCGCCCAACATTGACTTTCCTTTTCGCTTTCAGCTCTCGTTTCGCTTGCGCGGCTTTTTGCTTGTTTTGATTGTAATTCAAAAACTTCTGCCTCCCAATTTCTCGTCCTTCCGTTTCCATTCCCTGTCCGTCCGTTCCCGTCTCCCGTCGTTTCCCTCCTTCAACTTCCAGCCAAGGTGATCAGGGATCGGTTCACGGGTCGGTCGCGCGGGTTCGGGTTCGTGAGCTTCGCGTCGGACGAGGAGGCTGCTAGCGCTTTGGAAGGCGTCAACGGCAAGGTGAGGGGGAGGAGATTTTACAGGAGGGTGGGTGGGTGGGGGCAAGGTGACGGGGAGGGCTTAACGGCAAGGTGAGTATCTGGGCTTTAGGGGCAAGGGGTCAGATTAAGTTCAGCCATTTTCGGCAGAGAGTAGATTCACCAGTCTCAAAGAGGTTAGGGTGATCATGAATCAAGGTGCGCGAAGGTACCATTTATATAAAAATCAGGGTTTGTGACGTAAGCCTCGTCGCAATTTTCACGCAAGCCCCGATATCCACTCTCCATGTCTTTTTTTGCCGCCATTTTCACTTGACGTGGGAGATCAGTCTGGTATATTGATCTTCAACAAGATATCCACCGTCCGTACCCTTTACCCCCCTAACACCCACACCCCAACCCCCACACCCAAACCCCTCACACTCTCTCCTCTCCCACACTCTCTGCCCCCCTCTCAGACCCTCTTCTCACAACCACTTTGCACTCCTTGTCCCCCGCCATGCCGTGTAGCAGCTGAGTAGAAGGACAAGGACAGTGCACGTTTATTATGCCCCCTGGAGAGATGAAGAGAGGCCTAAACCCCACCTTACCACACACACTCACACACACTCACTCACTCACTCCCACACTCACACTCGCCCATTTCTCCTGTCACCTAACCCTTGCAGGAGCTGAGTGGAAGGACAGTGCGCGTTGACTATGCCTCCAGCAGGACAGAGAGAGCAAGGGATGGATAAACTCCTCCTCACACATCCTCACACACTCCCTTCACCCCCCTTGTTGTCGCCCAACCCTTGCAGGAGCTGAGTGGAAGGACAGTGCGTGTTGATTATGCCTCCAACAGGACAGAGGGCGGAGGAGGGGGAGGGGGAGGCCGCAGGGGGGGATATGGTGGTGGTGGATACGGGGGTGGCGGAGGGCGGTACAGTGGTGGTGGTGGCGGCGGTGGGTATGGGGGAGGAGGGGGTGGGTACGGCGGTGGAAGGTATGGGGAGGGAGCGGGTTACCCTGGTGGCGGTGGGTCCCAAGGCGGATACGAGCAATAGAGGGGATAGAGTTGGTCAAAAGGCTTGTTTCTTGGTCTGAATTAGCCTTGATGCTGCTCTAGTTTGCCTACTAGCCTCCATACTGGATTGTCCTAGTAAATCAGAGTTATTTTTACCCCCCTCTGTCTACGGTACTTTCCTGATGTTGGCTTGTGCGGACTAACTTAATCCTTTTAGAGAAATATAATGTATACAGGTAATGGCTATCTGCTTCTTCAAATATACAATGACTGGAAAGGTTTGCAGTAAATGGCCACGTACTGTAAGGCGTATGAATTCACAGATTTGGTGCTTTGGATACAGGCTGCAATTTCGATGAGCTTGTTGGTGCGGTTATGTTCAGTCATGCCCGTACTTCTCGCCGCGCCGCCAACTCTATCTCAAGGACTCTCTCAAGGATACCGCTACCATCCCACACCCCGTCCCCACGCCTCCTCCTCATCGCGCCACCGCTTTCGCCTCCCTTTGTCGTCGGTCATCCCGCGTTTCATTAACGCGAGTTCTTCCTCCCTGCGACGTCGCACGCGTCGCATGGCGTGCGACGATTCGAGTCGCAGCCAGGAGTCGCCCGCCGTCGCAGCGGTCGCGGCGGGCGAGGGAGCGCAGAAGCAGGGCGGGGAGCAGCGGCGGCAAAAGCTATGGGCGATGTACGATCGGATGCGGGAGAAGCTGTTCCAAGACGTAAGCTGTTTATATACATATGGCAACCTCTGAGCCGGTTCGTACGGATTAGCCATGGGCGATGTACGACCGGATGAGGGACAAGCTGTTTGCTGACGTAAGCTGTTTAAAGTTGTGACTTTCTAGCGGGTTCATGCGGAAAAAGCTATAGGAGTTGAACGATCAGATGAAGGAGAAGCTGTTCCAAGACGTAAGCCCTGTGCCGGCGCATACGACCCTTCCGATACGTCTCACAAGTCGTTTCACGGAGAGACTACGGGAGACGTAGGATCGGACGAAAGAGAAGTTGTCAAACGAGGTGTTTTTGCTCGTACCGTACAATTGGGTCAAGAAGGTCGCGTCTGAGCTGCGGCATCTGCTGTGGCTGCCCTCTCATTTGTTTTCCTACCCTCCCTCCCATGTCCCTCTCCCCGTTCTCCCCATCCCCCTTCCTCTTCCTCCCTTCGCCAGGCGCCTGAGATGGGCGTTTCTGGGCTACACCGGCAGCTGCTGCCCCCTCACCAGTTTCCTCCCTTCCCGCTCTTCCTTTTTTTCTCCCTCATCTCGTACTTTGCCTCATCCCCGCGCCAGGTGCCTGAGATGGGGGTGTCTGAGAGCTGCACCGCTGATGCGTCCCCCGCACCAGCTCACCCCCTCCCCCTCTCCCCTTCTTCTCCCCTCATCTCCATGCCAGGTGCCCGAGATGAGTGTGAATGAGCTGCTTCAGCTGCTAAAACTACCCTCTCACTTGTTCCCCTGCGCCATTCATTCCCCCCTGTTCCTTCAATCTCCATCCCCATTCCTCACTCCGCCAGGTGCCCGAGATGGGCGTGACTGAGTTGCACCAGCTGCTGCTGGCGCAGCAGGCAGCAGGTGGGGGAGAGGGATTGGGGACGAACGGGGAGGCGGATGGGGGAGTGGGGAGAGGGGAAGTTGGGGAAGGGGGCGTGAGAGGAGAGGGAGGAGGAGGGGAAGCAGTGGGAGGGGGAGGGAGTAGGCGGGGCGGGCGGCGGGTGGTGGTGGTGGACACACGTACAGAGGAGGAGGTGGCAGTGTCGATGATTCGGGGCGGCACACTGAAGCAGAGCGACTTTGAGCGGCAGATGGGACGATTCAGCGATCACCAAATCGTGTGCTACTGGTGAGAAGGTGGGATGCGGAGGGGTGCAGAGGGGTGCAGAGGGGTGCAGAGGAATGCAGGGGGTTTCAGGGTGGTCCACAGGTGCTTGGGGGGAGTGGGGGTGGTAAGAGTGGAAGGAGGTGTGAGAGGTAAGGGGCGATATGGAGCAGGGAGCAACAGGTAATTCTTCACGGCATGCACTCAGTCCTCCTCCATCGCCGCGGCATGCACTCAGCCAACCTGGGGAGCTCCATTCACCCTTCCACTAACTCCGCCCCGCTTCCAATACACCTCTTCCTGCCCCTCTCCCCCTCGCAGCACCATAGGCTATCGCAGCGGCAACTATGCCCGCATGCTGCGCTCACACCACAGCATGCACGCGGCCAACCTCAGGGGCTCCATCCCTCCTTTCTGTTGCTCCGTCCTGCTCCTATTGATCCTTTTCCATCTCTCCCTTCCTCTCTCCCACTCCCCTCCATTTCGTCCTCATCCCCACACGCCCCTCCCAGCACCATAGGCTATCGCAGCGGCAACTATGCGCGCATGCTGCGCTCGCACCACAGCATGCACACCTCCAACCTAACGGGCTCCCCCCTTCCTCCTCTCCCCCTCCTCTCTGCCCCTCCCAGCACCATAGGTTATCGCAGCGGCAACTACGCGCGCATGCTGCGCTCGCACCACAGCATGCACGCCTCCAACCTAACGGGCTCCATCGTCCCGTGGACCCACCACCGCCTCCCCCTCACCTCCCTCTGGCTCTGTCCCGCTCCCCCTCCTCTCTGCCCCTCGCAGCACCATAGGCTATCGCAGCGGCAACTATGCGCGCATGCTGCGATCGCACCACAGCATGCACGCGAGCAACCTCAAGGGCTCTATCCTCGCGTGGACCCACCACCGCCTCCCCCTCACCTCCCTCTACCACCCTGAAACTGGCTCTGGCCCGCTCCCCATCCCTCATCACGCCAACACTAGCACCAGCACCAGCAGCAACACCAGCAGCAACACCAGCAGCAACAGCAGCACCTCGCATGAGGCAGCAACCCAGCATCAGGCGATCGCCGAGCATGAAGCATCAGGAAAGGGAGCAACGGGCTCTTGTGCTGCCACGGTGTTGCCAGTGGTTCCCTTGGGAGGTACCACGCGGGTGCATGTGTACTCGCCCAAGTACGAGCTGCAGGCAGACGGGTACCAGCCGGTGAGTTGACATCTTGGCACACATTACAACTTTTTTTTCTTGGATATCCAAGGTCTGATTATTGTTTACTTTCATGCAGGTGCACTTTGCGAGTGGTGTACCATGGGTGTCTGCCGTTTGGAGTGACATCATTTTGAGGTTGCCCAAGTGGGTTCGTTCCTTTACCAATCCTACTGATCCACCTCCAAATAACTAAGACGTGCATTGGCAGGTAAGGCACATGGTCCAGTTTTGCGCCAGTGGTGATGTAGCATTTGCTGCGATTCACGCTAATTCCTGGGATGAAAATGAAGCGAAATCGTCTTTTTTTTCCGGCGACGTGGACGCGAGGTGAGGAAGGGCGTGCTCGCGTCAGGCACCGCTGTCAGCGTGCACGATGACAGAGGCGGAGAGGGAGCGCCGCTGTCAGCGTGCACGGCGCACAAGCAGTCTCCTTGGCGCTCCCGCTGCAGCTGCCGCTCCCCCACTCTCCCCCTACTCCCTCTCCGCCTCCCCCTCACAACCGCCCAGAGCAGCAGCGGGGACATGGTGGCGCAGCAGGGGAAGGGAAAGGGCGGAAAGTGAACGGGGAGGAACGGTGGTGGTGGTCCCTCTGACGGTCTGCCCCGCATGTTCCAGCTGGTGAAGGCCAGTGCTTCTGCTGGCCGGGTGGTTCACATTCCTCGGCACCTGGGAGAGGAGAGGCGGGTGGGAAGGAGAAGAGCGGGCAGGAGTCAGTTGTCATGACACGTCAGCAGTGGGAGTTGGTAGTGCAGGTGGATGGCGGTGCTCGGCCGGTTCCCGTGCATGTGAGACGAGTGGGGTCGGTGGGGCCATCCATTGTGGTAGCTCCGCATGTGCTCTCCCCCAACACCACTGCCTCGCTGCCCAACCTGCCCCCGCCCAGCTGACTCATGCTGTGAATCACTCCCACCCGTGGGGTACGATATCCGTCGCACATGCCGCAAGGCTGCCTTCACTTCACACACAATGCGTGTGGTACACAGTGTATGGAGTACTGATTGATTGGTCTATGCTTCATGTGATGAGATGTACTAACAAGAATAGGTAACATTTTGGGGATGACCCGTTGTGGAATGATTGTGCATTGTGAGTAATTGCCCCTCTGAAAGTGTGTTTGAAGAGCCTCACACTATTGCATGCAAGACCAGAAACTCAGGGCAGGCTGGCCTCAGCAGAGAGCCAAGCCAAGCTCAAAGCTCTGCTTGTTCACAAGTCAGGCCGGGGCCCGGGAGTCTTCTAAAAACACTAGGGAGGCCAATACCGTATGCCGCGGCTGGGATAGGTGGGTGGCAGTATGGCAGTATGGTCATTCATGGCTAGAGCTGGTCTGCATGGCAATCAAGGAGATGTCGCCACGCCACCACCAGCAGTTGTTGTGGCACATCTCCTGTTGCTGCTGTTGCTTCTGCGATGGTGGTGTAGGTTTGAATTTGAGGCCACAAGTTGCAGTGTGTCCCGTCCCGCATTGGCTAATTCACCTCAACTGAAATATTTCACGAATAACAGAACAATAAAGAAAAAATCCAACAAGGCAATCAGCCTCACTTTTGGGGAAGAGTTTGGGACTAGGTGTGAGTTTTGCAAAAAAACTGTGGATGGAAGTGTAGATACAATAGGTGGTAGCATAATCTCATTGCCATTTGGTTATACGGTACTACCTAGAGACGTCTCCAACATCTTGATGTGGTAGATGAGTTGATATCAATGACTAATCGATAATATGCTGAGCAGCGGCGCCTCCTCCTCACAGCCCCCCAGAGCAGCGGCGCCTCCTCCTCACAGCCCCCCAGAGCAGCGGCGCCTCCTCCTCACAGCCCCCCAGAGCAGCGGCGCCTCCTCCTCACAGCCCCCCAGAGCAGCGGCGCTTCCTCCTCACAGCCCCCCAGAGCAGCGGCGCCTCCTCCTCACAGCCCCCCAGAGCAGCGGCGCCTCCTCCTCACAGCCCCCCAGAGCAGCGGCGCCTCTCCCTCACAGCCCCCCAGAGCAGCGGCGCCTCCTCCTCACAGTCCCCAGAGCAGCGGCGCCTCCTCCTCACAGCCCGCCAGAGCAGCGGCGCCTCCTCCTCACAGCCCGCCGGAGCAGCGGCGCCTCCTCCTCACAGCCCCCCAGAGCAGCGGCGCCTCCTCCTCACAGCCCCCCAGAGCAGCGGCGCCTCCTCCTCACAACCCCCCAGAGCAGCGGCGCCTCCTCCTCACAGCCCCCCAGAGCAGTGGCGCCTCCTCCTCACAGCCCCCCAGAGCAGCGGCGCCTCCTCCTCACAGCCCCTCAAAGCAGCGGCGCCTCCTCCTCACAGCCCCCCAGAGCAGCGGCGCCTCCTCCTCACAGCCCCCCAGAGCAGCGGCGCCTCCTCCTCACAGCCCCCCAGAGCAGCGGCGCCTCCTCCTCACAGCCCCCCAGAGCAGCGGCGCCTCCTCCTCACAGCCCCCCAGAGCAGCGGCGCCTCTCCCTCACAGCCCCCCAGAGTAGCGGCGCCTCCCCCTCACAGCCCCCCAGAGCAACGGCGCCTCTCCCTCACAGCCCCCCAGAGCAGCGGCGCCTCTCCCTCACAGCCCCCCAGAGCAGCGGCGCCTCCTCCTCACAGTCCCCCAGAGCAGAGGCGCCTCCTCCTCACAGCCCCCCAGAGCAGCGGCGCCTCCTCCTCACAGCCCCCCAGAGCAGCGGCGCCTCTCCCTCACAGCCCCCCAGAGCAGCGGCGCCTCCTCCTCACAGCCCCCCAGAGCAGCGGCGCCTCCTCCTCACAGCTCCCCAGAGCAGTGGCGCCCCCTCCCCACAGCCCCCCAGAGCAGCGGCGCCTCCTCCTCACAGCCCCCCAGAGCAGCGGCGCCTCCTCCTCACAGCCCCCCAGAGAAGCGGCGCCTCCTCCTCACAGCCCCCCAGAGCAGCGGCGCCTCCTCCTCACAGCCCCCCCGAGCAGCGGCGCCTCCTCCTCACAGCCCCCCAGAGCAGCGGCGCCTCCTCCTCACAGCCCCCCAGAGCAGCGGCGCCTCCTCCTCACAGCCCCCCAGAGCAGCGGCGCCTCCTCCTCACAGCCCCCCAGAGCAGCGGCGCCTCCTCCTCACCGCCCCCCAGAGCAGTGGCGCCTCCTCCTCACAGCCCCCCAGAGAAGCGGCGCCTCCTCCTCACAGCCCCCCAGAGCAGCGGCGCCTCCTCCTTACAGCCCCCCAGAGCAGCGGCGCCTCCTCCTCACAGCCCCCCAGAGCAGCGGCGCCTCTCCTCACAGCCCCCCAGAGCAGCGGCGCCTCCTCCTCACAGCCCCCCAGAGCAGCGGCGCCTCCTCCTCACAGCCCCCCAGAGCAGCGGCGCCTCCTCCTCACAGCCCCCCAGAGCAGCGGCGCCTCCTCCTCACAGCCCCCCGAGCAGCGGCGCCTCCTCCTCACAGCCGGCGCCTCCTCCTCACAGCCCCCCAGAGCAGCAGCGCCTCCTCCTCACAGCCCCCCAGAGCAGCGGCGCCTCCTCCTCATAGCCCCCCAGAGCAGCGGCGCCTCCTCCTCACAGCCGGCGCCTCCTCCTCACAGCCCCCCAGAGCAGCAGCGCCTCCTCACAGCCCCCCAGAGCAGCGGTGCCTCCTCCTCACAGCCCCCCAGAGCAGCGGCGCCTCCTCCTCACAGCCCCCAGAGCAGCGGCACCTCCCCCTCACAGCCCCCAGAGCAGCGGCGCCTCTCCCTCACAGCCCCCCAGAGCAGCGGCGCCTCCTCCTCACAGCCCCCCAGAGCAGCGGCGCCTCCTCCTCATAGCCCCCCAGAGCAGCGGCGCCTCCTCCTCACAGCCCCCCAGAGCAGCGGCGCCTCCTCCTCACAGCCCCCAGAGCAGCGGCGCCTCCCCCTCACAGCCCCCCAGAGCAGCGGCGCCTCCTCCTCACAGCCCCCAGAGCAGCGGCGCCTCTCCCTCACAGCCCCCCAGAGCAGCGGCGCCTCCTCCTCACAGCCCCCCATAGCAGCGGCGCCTCTCCCTCACAGCCCCCCAGAGCAGCGGCGCCTCTCCCTCACAGCCCCCCAGAGCAGCGGCGCCTCTCCTCACAGCCCCCCAGAGCAGCGGCGCCTCTCCTCACAGCCCCCAGAGCAGCGGCGCCTCTCCTTACAGCCCCCCAGAGCAGCGGCGCCTCCTCCTCACAGCCCCCCAGAGCAGCGGCGCCTCCTCCTCACAGCCCCCCAGAGCAGCGGCGCCTCCTCCTCACAGCCCCCCAGAGCAGCGGCGCCTCCTCCTCACAGCCCCCCAGAGCAGCGGCGCCTCCTCCTCACAGCCCCCCAGAGCAGCGGCGCCTCCTCCTCACAGCCCCCCAGAGCAGCGGCGCCTCCTCCTCACAGCCCCCCAGAGCAGCGGCGCTTCCTCCTCACAGCCCCCCAGAGCAGCGGCGCCTCCTCCTCACAGCCCCCCAGAGCAGCGGCGCCTCCTCCTCACAGCCCCCCAGAGCAGCGGCGCCTCTCCCTCACAGCCCCCCAGAGCAGCGGCGCCTCCTCCTCACAGTCCCCAGAGCAGCGGCGCCTCCTCCTCACAGCCCGCCAGAGCAGCGGCGCCTCCTCCTCACAGCCCGCCGGAGCAGCGGCGCCTCCTCCTCACAGCCCCCCAGAGCAGCGGCGCCTCCTCCTCACAGCCCCCCAGAGCAGCGGCGCCTCCTCCTCACAACCCCCCAGAGCAGCGGCGCCTCCTCCTCACAGCCCCCCAGAGCAGCGGCGCCTCCTCCTCACAGCCCCCCAGAGCAGCGGCGCCTCCTCCTCACAGCCCCTCAAAGCAGCGGCGCCTCCTCCTCACAGCCCCCCAGAGCAGCGGCGCCTCCTCCTCACAGCCCCCCAGAGCAGCGGCGCCTCCTCCTCACAGCCCCCCAGAGCAGCGGCGCCTCCTCCTCACAGCCCCCCAGAGCAGCGGCGCCTCCTCCTCACAGCCCCCCAGAGCAGCGGCGCCTCTCCCTCACAGCCCCCCAGAGTAGCGGCGCCTCCCCCTCACAGCCCCCCAGAGCAACGGCGCCTCTCCCTCACAGCCCCCCAGAGCAGCGGCGCCTCTCCCTCACAGCCCCCCAGAGCAGCGGCGCCTCCTCCTCACAGTCCCCCAGAGCAGAGGCGCCTCCTCCTCACAGCCCCCCAGAGCAGCGGCGCCTCCTCCTCACAGCCCCCCAGAGCAGCGGCGCCTCTCCCTCACAGCCCCCCAGAGCAGCGGCGCCTCCTCCTCACAGCCCCCCAGAGCAGCGGCGCCTCCTCCTCACAGCTCCCCAGAGCAGTGGCGCCCCCTCCCCACAGCCCCCCAGAGCAGCGGCGCCTCCTCCTCACAGCCCCCCAGAGCAGCGGCGCCTCCTCCTCACAGCCCCCCAGAGAAGCGGCGCCTCCTCCTCACAGCCCCCCAGAGCAGCGGCGCCTCCTCCTCACAGCCCCCCCGAGCAGCGGCGCCTCCTCCTCACAGCCCCCCAGAGCAGCGGCGCCTCCTCCTCACAGCCCCCCAGAGCAGCGGCGCCTCCTCCTCACAGCCCCCCAGAGCAGCGGCGCCTCCTCCTCACAGCCCCCCAGAGCAGCGGCGCCTCCTCCTCACCGCCCCCCAGAGCAGTGGCGCCTCCTCCTCACAGCCCCCCAGAGAAGCGGCGCCTCCTCCTCACAGCCCCCCAGAGCAGCGGCGCCTCCTCCTTACAGCCCCCCAGAGCAGCGGCGCCTCCTCCTCACAGCCCCCCAGAGCAGCGGCGCCTCTCCTCACAGCCCCCCAGAGCAGCGGCGCCTCCTCCTCACAGCCCCCCAGAGCAGCGGCGCCTCCTCCTCACAGCCCCCCAGAGCAGCGGCGCCTCCTCCTCACAGCCCCCCAGAGCAGCGGCGCCTCCTCCTCACAGCCCCCCGAGCAGCGGCGCCTCCTCCTCACAGCCGGCGCCTCCTCCTCACAGCCCCCCAGAGCAGCAGCGCCTCCTCCTCACAGCCCCCCAGAGCAGCGGCGCCTCCTCCTCATAGCCCCCCAGAGCAGCGGCGCCTCCTCCTCACAGCCGGCGCCTCCTCCTCACAGCCCCCCAGAGCAGCAGCGCCTCCTCACAGCCCCCCAGAGCAGCGGCGCCTCCTCCTCACAGCCCCCCAGAGCAGCGGCGCCTCCTCCTCACAGCCCCCAGAGCAGCGGCGCCTCCCCCTCACAGCCCCCAGAGCAGCGGCGCCTCTCCCTCACAGCCCCCCAGAGCAGCGGCGCCTCCTCCTCACAGCCCCCCAGAGCAGCGGCGCCTCCTCCTCATAGCCCCCCAGAGCAGCGGCGCCTCCTCCTCACAGCCCCCCAGAGCAGCGGCGCCTCCTCCTCACAGCCCCCAGAGCAGCGGCGCCTCCCCCTCACAGCCCCCCAGAGCAGCGGCGCCTCCTCCTCACAGCCCCCAGAGCAGCGGCGCCTCTCCCTCACAGCCCCCCAGAGCAGCGGCGCCTCCTCCTCACAGCCCCCCATAGCAGCGGCGCCTCTCCCTCACAGCCCCCCAGAGCAGCGGCGCCTCTCCCTCACAGCCCCCCAGAGCAGCGGCGCCTCTCCTCACAGCCCCCCAGAGCAGCGGCGCCTCTCCTCACAGCCCCCAGAGCAGCGGCGCCTCTCCTTACAGCCCCCCAGAGCAGCGGCGCCTCCTCCTCACAGCCCCCCAGAGCAGCGGCGCCTCCTCCTCACAGCCCCCCAGAGCAGCGGCACCTCCTCCTCACAGCCCCCAGAGCAGCGGCGCCTCCCCCTCATAGCCCCCCAGAGCAGCGACGCCTCCTCCTCACAGCCCCCAGAGCAGCGGCGCCTCCCCCTCACAGCCCCCCAGAGCAGCGGCGCCTCCTCCTCACAGCCCCCCAGAGCAGCGGCGCCTCCCCCTCACAGCCCCCCAGAGCAGCGGCGCCTCCTCCTCACAGCCCCCCAGAGCAGCGGCGCCTCCTCCTCACAGCCCCCAGAGCAGCGGCGCCTCTCCCTCACAGCCCCCCAGAGCAGCGGCGCCTCCTCCTCACAGCCCCCCAGAGCAGCGGCGCCTCCTCCTCACAGCCCCCCAGAGAAGCGGCGCCTCCTCCTCACAGCCCCCCAGAGCAGCGGCGCCTCCTCCTCACAGCCCCCCCGAGCAGCGGCGCCTCCTCCTCACAGCCCCTCAGAGCAGCGGCGCCTCCTCCTCACAGCCCCCCAGAGCAGCGGCGCCTCCTCCTCACAGCCCCCCAGAGCAGCGGCGCCTCCTCCTCACAGCCCCCCAGAGCAGCGGCGCCTCCTCCTCACAGCCCCCAGAGCAGCGGCGCCTCTCCCTCACAGCCCCCCAGAGCAGCGGCGCCTCCTCCTCACAGCCCCTCATAGCAGCGGCGCCTCTCCCTCACAGCCCCCCAGAGCAGCGGTGCCTCTCCCTCACAGCCCCCCAGAGCAGCGGCGCTTCCTCCTCACAGCCCCCCAGATCAGCGGCGCCTCCTCCTCACAGCCCCCCAGAGCAGCGGCGCCTCCTCCTCACAGCCCCCAGAGCAGCGGCGCCTCTCCCTCACAGCCCCCTAGAGCAGCGGCGCCTCCTCCTCACAGCCCCCCAGAGCAGCGGCGCCTCCTCCTCACAGCCCCCCAGAGAAGCGGCGCCTCCTCCTCACAGCCCCCCAGAGCAGCGGCGCCTCCTCCTCACAGCCCCCCAGAGCAGCGGCGCCTCCTCCTCACAGCCCCCCGAGCAGCGGCGCCTCCTCCTCACAGCCCCTCAGAGCAGCGGCGCCTCCTCCTCACAGCCCCCCAGAGCAGCAGCGCCTCCTCCTCACAGCCCCCCAGAGCAGCGGCGCCTCCTCCTCATAGCCCCCCAGAGCAGCGGCGCCTCCTCCTCACAGCCCCCCAGAGCAGCAGCGCCTCCTCCTCACAGCCCCCCAGAGCAGCGGCGCCTCCTCCTCACAGCCCCCCAGAGCAGCGGCGCCTCCTCCTCACAGCCCCCAGAGCAGCGGCGCCTCCCCCTCACAGCCCCCCAGAGCAGCGGCGCCTCTCCCTCACAGCCCCGCAGAGCAGCGGCGCCTCCTCCTCACAGCCCCCCAGAGCAGCGTCGCCTCCTCCTCACAGCCCCCCAGAGCAGCGGCGCCTCCTCCTCACAGCCCCCCAGAGCAGCGGCGCCTCCTCCTCACAGCCCCCCAGAGCAGCGGCGCCTCCTCCTCACAGCCCCCCAGAGCAGCGGCGCCTCCTCCTCACAGCCCCCCAGAGCAGCGGCGCCTCTCCCTCACAGCCCCCCGGAGCAGCGGCGCCTCTCCCTCACAGCCCCCCAGAGCAGCGGCGCCTCCTCCTCACAGCCCCCCAGTGCAGCGGCGCCTCTCCCTCACAGCCCCCCAGAGCAGCGGCGCCTCCTCCTCACAGCCCCCCAGAGCAGCGGCGCCTCCTCCTCACAGCCCCCCAGAGCAGCGGCGCCTCCTCCTCACATCCCCTCAGAGCAGCGGCGCCTCTCCTCACATCCCCCCAGAGCAGCGGCGCCTTCTCCTCACAACCCCCCAGAGCAGCGGCGCCTCCTCCTCACAGCCCCGCAGAGCAGCGGCGCCTCCTCCTCACAGCCCCCCAGAGCAGCGGCGCCTCCTCCTCATAGCCCCCCAGAGCAGCGGCGCCTCCTCCTCACAGCCCCCCAGAGCAGCGGCGCCTCCTCCTCACAGCCCCCCAGAGCAGCGGCGCCTCCTCCTCACAGCCCCCCAGAGCAGCGGCGCCTCCTCCTCACAGCCCCCCAGAGCAGCGGCGCCTCCTCCTCACAGCCCCCCAGAGCAGCGGCGCCTCCTCCTCACAGCCCCCCAGAGCAGCGGCGCCTCCTCCTCACAGCCCCCCAGAGCAGCGGCGCCTCCTCCTCACAGCCCCCCGAGCAGCGGCGCCTCCTCCTCACAGCCGGCGCCTCCTCCTCACAGCCCCCCAGAGCAGCAGCGCCTCCTCCTCACAGCCCCCCAGAGCAGCGGCGCCTCCTCCTCATAGCCCCCTAGAGCAGCAGCGCCTCCTCCTCACAGCCGGCGCCTCCTCCTCACAGCCCCCCAGAGCAGCAGCGCCTCCTCACAGCCCCCCAGAGCATCGGCGCCTCCTCCTCACAGCCCCCAGAGCAGCGGCGCCTCCCCCTCACAGCCCCCAGAGCAGTGGCGCCTCTCCCTCACAGCCCCCCAGAGCAGCGGCGCCTCCTCCTCACAGCCCCCCAGAGCAGCGGCGCCTCCTCCTCATAGCCCCCCAGAGCAGCGGCGCCTCCTCCTCACAGCCCCCCAGAGCAGCGGCGCCTCCTCCTCACAGCCCCCAGAGCAGCGGCGCCTCCCCCTCACAGCCCCCCAGAGCAGCGGCGCCTCCTCCTCACAGCCCCCAGAGCAGCGGCGCCTCTCCTCACAGCCCCCCAGAGCAGCGGCGCCTCCTCCTCACAGCCCCCCAGAGCAGCGGCGCCTCCCCCTCACAGCCCCCCAGAGCAGCGGCGCCTCCTCCTCACAGCCCCCCAGAGCAGCGGCGCCTCCTCCTCACAGCCCCCAGAGCAGCGGCGCCTCTCCCTCACAGCCCCCCAGAGCAGCGGCGCCTCCTCCTCACAGCCCCCCAGAGCAGCGGCGCCTCCTCCTCACAGCCCCCCAGAGAAGCGGCGCCTCCTCCTCACAGCCCCCCAGAGCAGCGGCGCCTCCTCCTCACAGCCCCCCCGAGCAGCGGCGCCTCCTCCTCACAGCCCCTCAGAGCAGCGGCGCCTCCTCCTCACAGCCCCCCAGAGCAGCGGCGCCTCCTCCTCACAGCCCAGCCCCCCAGAGCAGCGGCGCCTCCTCCTCACAGCCCCCAGAGCAGCGGCGCCTCTCCCTCACAGCCCCCCAGAGCAGCGGTGCCTCCTCCTCACAGCCCCCCATAGCAGCGGCGCCTCTCCCTCACAGCCCCCCAGAGCAGCGGCGCCTCTCCCTCACAGCCCCCCAGAGCAGCGGCGCTTCCTCCTCACAGCCCCCCAGATCAGCGGCGCCTCCTCCTCACAGCCCCCCAGAGCAGCGGCGCCTCCTCCTCACAGCCCCCAGAGCAGCGGCGCCTCTCCCTCACAGCCCCCTAGAGCAGCGGCGCCTCCTCCTCACAGCCCCCCAGAGCAGCGGCGCCTGGGGGCGTTCGTTCGTTCCGTCAAATTGGACGAAGTTCATGTTTTGGGGGCGAATATTTTTTTTGAACCTAAGTCGAATGGAATTCGACTTTCCTTGTAGCGAAGTTCGAAAATTGCGGGAATAACACTGCAAAGATGCAATCTCACACGCAAGGTCGAACACCAGAATTCGAACTTTATGTTTCCCGGTACATGCTCGCCAAGTCAAATTAATGCCATTGTATGTTTCGCGATGGAGTCGTCAATTTCGCATGGTGTTCGTACGTGCCGAAAACACACACGCTCACATGAACGTGCTCACGCACGTTCACAATGCCAACTCGAGTCATGTTCACATTTCAAGTTCGAACTTTCAGTAGTCCTGAAATTCGCGATGTTCGTCACACGCTCTTGACGAGATTGGCGAAAACTGTAACCACCTAAAGTTCGAACTTATTTTCGAACTTGGAAACGGAACGAACGCGCCCTTACACCTTGGATGCAATGTCCCATTCTTTCAAATTGTTCTACTAATATTGATATCACTTTGTGTCTCCACTTTGAAGGTATCTACTGCTCTGCTGAATGGTGGTCGTGTCGTAACGAGTACCACTACAAGCTTTCGTGAATACCATCTTCGCGAAAACTTTCGCCGCACGGCACAGAGCACTAGACACTCGGCACACGACAACGCTCGCGACAATCGGCACTAGATAACTGCGTCCTCATGCGCAGAATCTGCGCGGACTTTCGCGCAGAGTTCGCGTAGATAGGGGGAAGGGTGCCAGCGGAGCAGGCGGGCGCAAAGGGGCGCGGCAAATTCCAGAATTTCAGGTGATCGCTCACTAGCACTAACATCCTCCAGAATACTATAGCTGCCACAAAGTCTCTCGATTTCCTTAGCGTTCCTCTGTTACTCGAATCCAACGCTCGCTAACGACGTGTTTTTTACTAAAGCGTGCTTAGATGGCATCTATCGCAATCGCCTCGAGTTCCGTGTTACAAGGAATTGACGGCTTGGAACGAGTGCGAGATCCGACGGTCTCAAGATCTCGTCATCATCCACACCGTATAGATGCACCGTCGGATCGTCCCGCATCTACCTGCCATTTGGCAAATCAGCATCCGGCATTCCCGTTGGACCGTCTGCCTGACGACGTGCTCTCATTGGTCCTCCAGCATCTCTCCCGCAACTCCCTCGCGCACGCCTTTGTGTGCAAGCGCTGGTTCCGTCTCACGTGCCTCGCGCGCGTCTACCTCAAGGTTCCGCGCGCCGTGCACTCCGCGCAGCTTCTCTCCGCCGTAGACACATTCCCGACATTGTCACAACTCGATATAGCGGAGAACACCGTTCCGCACGCGACAGACGAACTCCTGCGCGGAATTTCCGCGCGCTGCCCCAATCTCACGCGCCTGCTCATCGGGTACCAGTTCCGCGCGCGCTTCTCCCCCGCAGGGCTCTCCGCGCTCTTCCGCGGGTGCGCACGCCTGCAGCAGCTCCGCCTGTTCTCCCTCAGCGGGATCTCCGCGCTACCCGCGTCCCTCACGCTCCTCTCCCAGCTAGAAGTGCTCGAGTTAGGGGACGACCCAGCCTGGCGCGGATTGGATACGTTCACGAAACTGATTGAACCCGATATAAGCCTAGATTCGTTAAGCTGTATGAGGAAGCTGGTTGTGAGCAGTCGCTGCTTTGAGAGCCTGCCGTGGAGCATCGGCGAGCTGACACGTTTGGAGCATCTAGAAATCCATTCAGAGGTCCTTAGTTCGCTGCCCGGCAGTTTCGGGCAGCTAGGGTCGTTGGCGGTGCTGAAGCTCGAGGCCAAGTCTTTGGAGGAGCTGCCCGAGAGCCTGGGCAGGTTGAAAAACCTGCAGCGATTGTGGCTGACAAACTGCGAGAGTCTGTCCAAACTTCCCGACTCGTTCGGGCAGCTTTCCAGCCTATCCTTCCTCAGCATACACCTCTGCGACCGGCTCCGGTCTCTCCCAGAAAGTTTCAGCTTCCTGCCCGCTTTGGAAACCCTAAAACTGCACGAGCTTTCGAGCCTGCGCACGCTGCCCGAACTCTTCGGGCACCTGCCGAAGCTGAGAATCCTCGACATGAGCACATGCGGGGTGGTGCGCCTTCCCCTCTCCCTCTACCTCCTAGCCCGCTTGGAACGACTCAGCATTGCAGCTTTCCCGGACCTCCCCCACGTGCCCCCCCTCACCGCGCAACTCCTCCCTCCACCACCCCGCCCGTCCCACGAATCCCTTCCGCCTGGCACCGCCTCTGCATCGCTTGCGCCTCCCTCCCCTTCCCAAGCGCCTTCGTCGGTTGCTCGGGGAGGCGTTTTTGGAGGATCCTTTTCCGTCCCCCATCAGAATGTGAGTCAGGAGCAGGGGCAGGATCAACAGAGGAGGGCGCGGCCTATTGGGTTGCGTACTGGGTTGGGTGGGCGCATGCAGGAAGATGAGGAGGAGGAGGAGGAGGAGAGAGCGGATGAGATGCAGGAGGGGGTGGTGCAGCAGCAGCAGCAGCAGCAGCAGCAGCAGCAGCAAGAGGAAGGGAGGCCATGGGAAGGGGGGGAACAGCAGGAGGGGAATCTGGCAGGGAACTACTCCCACTGGAGTGTGGGGAGGCAGTTTCCTTCGTCCTCGTTAGGGCTGTCCTCGTTAGTGATACTAGAGATGACGGACCACACTGGGATCCTTGCCTTGCCCGAAGATCTAGGCTGCCTGCCAAAGCTGGAGCTTCTCAGGCTGGTCAGACTGGACAATTTCACTGTCCTGCCCGATTCTCTCGGGCAGCTGAAATCCCTGCGCAAGCTAATGCTTTCTCAGCTGCCCAATCTAGAGTACCTCCCTGCCTCTCTCCCACAACTGCCATCCCTCGAACTGCTGGTCATTCACCAATGTGCCAACCTGGCATCCCTGCCACGTGGCACAATCTCAGGCCTTCGAAACCTGTCCAAGGTGGCGCTTATCGAGTGCACAAGCTTGTGCAGTCTGGATAGCGAAGGGGGGAAGGCCAGCAGGGGTGGAACGGACACGCTGCGCCATGTGCTTGTGTTTGATTGCGGTATGAAGTCCCTTCCACCATCTCTTCTACATGTGGAGTCGTTACAGACTGTACACTTTCGAAATGGGGGGTGGTTTGGCTTTCCGGTGTTTTCATTGCCAGAGGTGTACGGGTTTTCTAGGTATTCTTGCGAGAGCGTGCAGGGAGGGTTTGTTTATTCTAGGAATTATAGCTACCCGTGTGTGCATTGTCGTGATTTTGTGTTAGCTACATGGGATGCATGATGGTATATAGTTAGTAGAAATGTCATTTATACATTGGTGTATAAGTTATAATGTCGTACCCCACGTCAACTTGTGGATTCAGTATGAAACGTTTTTGCATGAATCCAGTCCCCACAGCTCGCGCACGTCACCCTTTCCCCAGAATCAAGGAAGGGTGTAAGGCGTAGATTAGGAGGCACCCACCCACTCATCTAGTAGCCGATTTTCTCGCTTGCTGTATTCCCGCCATGGCATTCATCACCGCCAACATCAACGCTTTCTTCTCGCAATCCTCACCGTCCGATTCGCTTCCCCGCAGAGACGAGTCGCATGTCGGTCCGTTCCCCCTGGACGATCTTCCAGACGACGTTCTCGCGTTGGTGCTTCGCCTCGTCTCGCGTCGCTCGATCCACCTCGCCTTGCAGACGAATCTCGTGTGCAAACGCTGGTGCCGCCTCCTCCGCCTCTCGCTCTCCCATGTCACAATAACGAGGGAAATCACCCCGGCTGACCTTCTGTGCGCTTTGAGAACTTTCCCTACAATCACGTATCTAGATATTGCGGTAAATGTTATCATTCCACCGTTCGGTTCTCCAATCCTTCAAGACGAGCTGCTCCGTCGGATCTCTGACACGTGTCCGCATCTGAAGAGCTTCGCTCTCGCTCACCAATCTCGCGCGGAGGGCCGAGTTTCCGCCGCCGGACTCTCCGCGCTCTTCCGCGGATGCCCGCGCCTGGAGTCGTTGCGCCTGCTCTCCCTGAGCGCAATCTCCGCGCTTCCGCCCGCCGTCTCCCGCCTCACCAACCTCTCCGCGCTCGACTTGGGGGACAGTGGCGCATGGTGCTGGGGGAAAGGCGGAAAGCATGCGCTGGCGGGGGCGGAGGGGGGTGGAGAAGGCGGAAGGGGAGGCTGCGGGGAAGCGGAGGAAAGGAGGCAGGCGCAGGGGCAGAATTTGATGCCTTCAAGGGGTGATAGCGGTACCAGCCTGGACTTGATAAGTGCTCGGATTAGGAGGCAGCGGGATTCAGCTCTAACTTCGCTGACCACATGCGCTTCACACTTGAATTGTTTAAGTGCCCTCACTTACCTAAGAGTCAACAGCTGGTGCTTGCAGGCGCTGCCAGCTTCCCTTGGCGCACTGAAGATGCTTAGCCACTTGGAGGTCACCTCGGAAAAAGTTTCTTCCCTGCCCGAAGAGATCTGTGACCTGCCCCTGCTACAAGTGCTCTGGCTTAGACTGAGGAAATTGAGTCAGCTGCCCGAGAGGATGGGCAGCATGGCCAGCCTTCAGCAGCTGCGGTTGAGGGACTGCACGTGTTTGGTGTCACTGCCCGACTCTTTCGGGCAGCTCAGAATAGAACTTCTGGAGCTTCATAACTGTGCATCTCTCACCGCCCTTCCCCAAACTTTTGGGTCACTCTCCCAACTGCGGACCCTTCGCATGATCTGGGTGTATCATTTATCCAACCTGCCCGACTCCTTCGGGCAGCTCTCAAACCTCCGTTACCTGGAGCTGGAGCAGTGCACGGCTCTTCGAGACCTGCCCGGGCCGGTCGACTCCCCTTGCCAAGGCCAGATATGGCTGCCCGCTCTCGAAAGCCTTCGTCTGGTGGGACTCCGCCATCTGGACTCTCTCCCTCCACTCGGGCAGCTGAAAAACCTTCGCAGGCTGACCGTGTCACTTCTATCGAAGCTTGAGGAGCTTCCTCCGTCTCTCTCCCTGCTCTCCAACCTGCAAACCCTAGTCATCCATGGCTGCTCGCAGATCAAATCCCTCCCTCGCAACGTCCCCTCCGCCCTGCCCTCCCTCTCCTCCCTCGCGATTGTCTCCTGCCGCAACATTAAAGATGTGCAGTTTTCATCCTTTAGTGATGGAGCCATGGAAGCATGTGGTGAGGGTGGGGTGGAGGGGAGCGTGAACGGTGCAGCGGTGAAGTGCGATGGGTTACGGTGTGACAATGTGAAGGGGGATGCGGAGGTTGAAGCTGAAAGGAAGGTGCGCATGCAAATATGTGCATTGGCAGGCGATTTCAGCAGCTGCACTTCTGTCACCGCCCAAAGGGGGAAGATTTATCTCTTATCGGCCTTGTCAACCTCACTCCGCTCTGCCGTGAATTTAGCCAAAATTGAAGCTAAACCCTGCCGGGACCTTGGCTCCAACTCGTCTTTTCTCCCTTGCCTCTCAAGCGTGTATGCTATTGATACGGGCGTCAAGGTGCTGCCAGAGTCGCTGTGGTCGCTGCCATCTGTTCAGTGTGTGCACCACTTCAATCACAAGTGGATGGGGAGTAAGGTGAGTGGTAATCCTCCCAAGGAGTATCGTTTTGAGAAGAAGTCTTGCAGGAATGACACAGAAGGGAGGGTGTATGTGAGAGGTGGGTATGAAGGCGATCCGTGTGCTTGTTGCTTGTCAGAGAGAGCCATGAGCTATGGATAGCACATGTGAATGAAAAACCATGGTGTTGTGATTCTTCGTGGACCATTGGCTAGCAAAGGGGAACCCTTGAACAAGGACAAAGAGGTTGGGTGTGTGTACACTAACCTGTACATCGTACATTGTGTGTACCGTACAATTATCTGAAATCCTTGGTCCTGGCTCACAGCAAGCGGTTTTTTTCTTCCACCTCCCCCACACACCACCCGTACGCTCGCCTGCACGATCGGCATGCAAGACCAGCCGACCAAGTGCAAGCACCCTGTAGCCCTGAACAACCTGCCCTCATCAGCAACACAGCCAGCTGCAGCAACGCTTCCACAATCTGCAGAAGCACAAACAGAGCTTTGACATGCAGCAACCATCGCATTCTCCCTGATCGCACACCGGGAAGGCAATCAAGCAGCCATGGATCAGCGTCATCACCCACCCTCTCCAACTCCAGATGCTGCAGTTGGGGCAGCTGCCTGCTGGATAAGTCCAGGAGATTTTCCAGGTTGCCCAGGGAATGCAGGGTGAGCGTGTGCAGGGCAGGGAAGGAGAATTTTTCCGGGAGGGAGGAGATAAACGGGCAGTCGGAAACTTTTAATATGGTGAGGGAAACTAGGCCCGGGTGTTGTTCTGTGCAATTCTTTGCAGAATCAGAGACAGGGATAGATACACAGGCGGGGGCAGGGGGAGGGGCAGAGGCAGCTGCAACGTCAGGAGAAGAAGCAGGGGCAGAGGCAGAGGCAGAGGCAGAGGCAGCGGCAAAGTCAGGAACAGAAGCAGGGCCTGAGGCAGAGGTACCGGTATCTATGAACAGGAACACCAGCAGTGCGGCAGCAAGCAGCATGGCAGGATAGAGCCATGCACTGGACACCAGAGACATCAGCAGCATCACCACAACAAGAAGCAGCGATGCAACGACGACGACAGGGCTGCCACTTCTCGTGCCGGTGAAAGCTAGCACGGCAGCAGAAGATGGTGCTATGAGATCTCGCACGGTGAGCAGCGGTACGGAGATGAGCAGCATCACAGCAAAGACTGCAGCAGTGCAGAGTGCAAAAATGATCGCCTTTTCAACCTGACTCAACGATTCCAACCCACTTTCGGCACCTTCAGGGGGGTTTGGAGAGATCAGCGGCTTCAGAGACTTTATTTCGGAGCACGACTCGATATGGATGGACTCTAAACGAGTCAGCTTGTACAGGGAGGGAGGAAGATCTTTCAGTTGATAACAGTTGGTGAGGCTCAGCCTTTCCAGGCACGCTGGCAGGCTGCTTTCGAACAATCTCTCGGGCAGGTGCTGCAGCGTGGGCAGGTCTAGTTCGAGCGATTTCATCTGGGGTAAATTACCCAGGCTTTCGGGCAGAGCCCGGATATTATTGAGGGAGAGGAGCTTTAGGGTTTGCAGAAGGGACAAGGCGTCGATGTGGAGTGGGAGTGAGGTGAGGGAGGAGCAGGAGGAGATGGAGAGGGAGGAGAGAGGGAGGAAGCAGATGCTCTCTGGGAGAATCCCGAGGGAATTGCAGCTGTGGAGGGAGAGAGATTGCAGTTGAGTCAGCCCCGCCATAACATTTTCGGGCAGGCATTGTAGATTCTCTGATTGGATGGAAAGAGATTTCAGCCCGGTCAGCAGTTGGAAGGATTCCGGAATGCACTCGAGCCCGTCCAGTTCGATTTCTAGGGTTTCCAGCCGAGCCAAGTCGCCTATCGCGTCGGGAAGCCCCGTGACGGTTCTCGAGAACACGTTACTGATACTCAGCTTGCGGAGGTTCCTCAGGAGACCCACGCACTCCCCGAGTCCCTGGAAACTCGCTCCCGCGCTGATCCGCAACTCCCGCAGCTGCTGCAGCGCGCCGATGCTCTCGCGCGGCGAAACGAGCTCCTGTAACGAGTCATCGCCATAGAGAGGATGAGCGCACACGTGGAGAGTTTGGAGATCCGTGAGGAGCGAGAGGGACGGCGGGAGATGGGGAAGGCAGAAGGTGGTGAGCAGGCGGAATTCCCTTAGCTTGCGGCATCCATGGAAGAGCGACTCGAGACCGTCTACAGTAACCGCCATGAGAAACTGATGCTCCACCGTTAGATGGCTCAGGCTCGGACACGTGGCGGCCAGACATTGGAAGAGCGCGTCACCGTCGGCGGATAAGACGGAAAACTCGCCCAGCGACACGTGCGTGAGGGCGGGGAAGCGGCGCAGCGCGGACAGGAGGCGCGGGAGCGGGAGCCACGCAAGCTGCTTGTTGCGGAAATGCTCGGGATCATGCATCTCAATAATGGTAAAATATTTTGGTTTAGGTCCGCCATGCTGAATGGTCAGATGGGAGAGCGCGGACGTGGCGAGGCGGTACCAGCGCTTGGAAACGAGCGCGTGGCGGAAGGAGGTCTGCGCGAGCGCGCGGAAGACGAGCGCGAGAACGTCGTCGGGGAGGCGCTCCACGGGGAAGGGCGGATCGGCGCGCGCGGGTGAAGCCATGGCTTTGAGGCGGCTAAGGAAAGGAACCAACGCCATCGTTGGATGTGCGAGCAGCTCTGTTACCTAAGGAGTCTGGTCTGGAAGACAGCCCTTTTCTGTACTAAATGGATTCACTAGCAGTTGGAATTTAGGGGAACACGTGGCGAGATCGCGAGGCGGAGAGATTTTAGAAACGATTCAAAGGAGAACTGCGAATGAATGGCGGGTCCGCATCGGCGCGTGTGGTTGCGACAGGCACGGCCCGCCGCCGCGATTACCGCTCTCCGTAGGGTGAAATGGGCAAATTAGAAAATCACCAGGCGTAGGAGGTTTGGGTGAGGTTACACTCAGTAAAGCCCGTGCGTGAACGTTATCTTTATTCTGAATGTTATCCAGCAAACTTAATTCTCAATGTGGCCCAACATTTCACAGTAACAAATAAAATTAGTATAACATGTTTGATCATATTATTTTTTATTGAATATAGAAACCACGAAGATTTTCTGAGTGTGTTACGCTTTGTGCTTTATGGTTGCCCGCCTTTCTTGCATATGTGATAAGTTCTCTTCAGTTTTCACTTCTGTGGCTCTTGAGTTCCCGAAGCTGAGTCTATATCGAAACTGAATGTGGCATGCAAAATGTCCTTTCAGGACACTGCCAAGTTTCATTGACCACAACTTGTCTCTGCGCTGTTGTGCTTCATCAGCCGACTTTTCGTGAGAACCGTTCGTCCCCTCCCTCGTCCTCGGTACAACCTGAACCCATCTCTTCCGGTACAGAATGCATGGCAAGATTCAGATAATAACCACCCCAATGTCCACATTCGGAAAGATTCTTCATGATTCGTCCATTCCACATCCACCACACATTCCTCCACGCAATCTCAAACCGCTTCTTTTCACCCTTCGCAGGTCAGGCGGAATGCCAACTCGCTCATGAGCACTGTCTACAGCCTTGAATTTTGCACGCTGGTGTCATTCCCAAATCTCGGGCAATGCCGCAACTGGCGATACATCACAGTTAGGTTGTAGTACTGCAAGGCAACTAGCCTAGCTGTTCTGCGAACGTCGTTGATCAACATCAAGTCAACACGTGTAAACAACAAGTGCCACGCAAATCCATTATACAGGGTTAGTACACAAACCAGGTTACCAAGGAAATACTGTAGCTCATCGCGGTGAGAGCGGGAACCAACCGCACGCTTGAAACCACAAACAGCCTCGACATCCAGCCAATCACGCACACGCTCCAGAGACCAACGTTTCGTGCAAGGCAAGCTGTAGTCCTGAGTTAGGTGACAGAGACTCTCTCACGCGATCACTGGGTAGTGCTATATTCGAATGCAGCACTGCTGCCAGTAGTGCTTCCGATTTTTCTCTGAACAGACAACCCCGCCATATTCCAGGGCGACAGCAGATCTACCGCGCTTTTACCCTTCCCCTGTTCGGGGCCGTTCTCCGATTAGCGACGTCTCTTAACATCCATACGATGGCGTTACTATTCCCTCTCCTTAGTACGGCTACTACTACTACTAGCCGCACGAATGCCATCATGGTTTCACCCGCGCGCGCCGAGCCGCCCTTCCCCGTGGAGAGCCTCCCGGACGACGTTCTCGCGCTCGTCTTCCGCTCGCTCGCGCAGACCTCCTTCCGCCACGCTCTCGTTTCCAAGCGCTGGCTCCGCCTCGCCACGTCCGCGCTCTCCCACTTGACCATTCGGCATCGGGAGTTGTCGACGCAAGAAATACGCGATTCCGAGCACTCCCGCAACGCGCAGCTCGCGTGGCTCTCGCTTCCGCGCCTTCTTTCCGCGCTGCGACGCTTCCCCACCCTCACGCACGTGTCGCTGAGCGAATATTCCATCGTATCCGCCGACGGCGACGCGCTCTTCCAATGTCTGGCCGCCACGTGTCCGTTCCTGAGCCATCTAACGGTGGAGCATAAGTTTCGCATGGCGGTTACTGTAGACGGCCTCGAGTCGCTCTTCCGTGGATGCCGCAAGCTAAGGGAACTCCGGCTCCTCACCACCGACAGCCTCCCGCATCTCCCGCCGTCCCTTTCGCTCCTCACGGATCTCCAAACCCTCCACGTGTGCGCTCATCCTCGCTATGGCGATGACTCGTTTCAGGAGCTCGTTTCGCTGCCCGAGAGCATCGGCGCGCTGCAGCAGCTGCGGGAGTTGCGGATCCGCGCGGGAGCGAGCTTCCAGAGACTGGGGGAGTGCGTTGGCCTCCTGACGAACCTCCGCAAGCTGAGTATCAGCAACCTCCTCGGAATTTGTCTCGAGTCTTCCTCACGCGATCTGCGACTTGGCTCGGCTGGAAAGCTTGGAAATCGAACTGGACGGGCTCGAGTGCATTCCGGAATCATTCCAGCTGCTGACCGGGCTGAAATCCCTCTCTCTCCAATCCAAACGTCTGCAGCGCCTGCCCGGAAATGTTATGTCGGGGCTGTCGCAGCTGCAGTCTCTTTCCCTCCACGCCTGCGATTCCCTCGGGATTCTCCCAGGAAGCATCTGCTTCCTCCCTCTCTCCTCCCTCTCCATCTCCTCCTGCTCCTCGCTCATCTCACTCCCTCACCACATCGGCGCCTTGTCCCATCTGGAAACCTTAAAGCTCCTCTCCCTTGATAATATCCAGGTCCTGCCCGAGAGCCTGGGTAATTTACCCCAGTTAAAATCGCTCGAGCTAGACCTGCCCGCGCTGGAGCATCTGCCCGAGAGATTGTGTGAAAGCAGCCTTTCATCGTGCCTGGAAAAGCTGAGCCTGACGAACTGCAATCAACTGATGGAGCTGCCTCCCTCACTATACATGCTGACTCGTTTAGAGTCCCTCCATATCGAGTCATGCTCCAATATAAAGTCTCTGAAGCCGCTGACCTCTCCAAGCTTCCCTGAAAGCTCCGGAATTGCGTTGAATTTGTTCAGCCTGGCTGAAAAAGTCATTATTGGTGCACTCTTTTCCGTGATGGAAGTGATCTCCCTGCCATTGCTCACGGTGCGGGAGCTGATAGAATCCTCCTCTGCTGCCACGCACGCTTCTGCTGGTGCTGAAAGCGGCAGTCCTGTCGCCGCAGCTTTTCCACTGCTGCTAGTTGTGGTGGTGCTGCTGATGCCTCTGCTGCCCAGTGCGTGGCTCTATCCTGCCATGCTGCTCGCTGCTGCGCTGCTGCTGGTGATCCTGTTCCTACAACCCGTTGCTTCTACCTCTGCCTCTGCCTCTAGCCCTGCTTCTGCTCCTGACTCTGCCACTGCTTCTGCCCCTGCTTCTGCCCCTGCCCCTGCCCCTGTCCCTGCCCGTGCCCGTGCCCGTGCCCGTGCCCGTGCCCGTGCCCCTGCCCCTGCCGCTGCCGCTGCCGCTGCCGCTGCCGCTGCCGCTGCCGCTGCCCCTGCCCCTGCCCCTGCCCCTGCCCCTGCCCCTGCCCCTGCCCCTGCCCCTGCCACACATAGTGTACCTATCCGTGCCTTTGATGTTGCATCAAATGGCACGGAACAACACCCGGGCCTATTTTCCCTCACCATATTAAAGGTTTCAGACTGCCCGCTTATCTCCTCCCTCCCGAAAAACTTCTCCTTCCCTGCCCTGCACACGCTCACCCTGCATTCTCTCGGCGTTCCGAAAGATCTCCTGGACTTATCCAGCAGGCAGCTGCCGCAACTGCAGCGGCTGGTGCTGGAGAGGATGGGTGCTGAGGCTGACCCATGGCTGTTTGACCGCATTCCTGGTGTGCGGTCGGGGAGAATGCGGCTTTTTCTGCATGTGAAAGCTCTGTTTGTGCTTCTTCACGTGGTGGATTTATTGCTGCAGCTTGTTGTGTTGCTGATGAGGGCGGGTTGTTCGTGACTCGGGATAATTGTACTGCAGAGGTTAGTGTACAGTACAGAGAGCACAATAGAGGTGGTTGGTAGATATAGAACTTCCTGTCACATTCCTTCTTGTTAGTGATCAATATCCAAGGTTTGATCCATGCCAGCCAATGGCCAATGAGAAATCAGATCGTGAAGCTATATGGATGAGAAACTGTACACTCGTTGCATCTAGCATGTTGTCTTGGTTTAAGAGCCTCAGTGTCCAGCTTGATTAATGTGTTTGGTGGTACCGTACTCTTGTGTGGAACGTTCACCTTAAATAATGTGTTTGGTGGAACTGTACTGTATTGCATCATATTTCCCTTCTGTAAGGAAAATTCCTTTTCCTTACTTCGCGTCCCCGCTCAGTGCGTACACCACTGTAGCACCACAGTCAGCACCGTTACCACTCGCAACCCTCGCATCGACAATCCTCCCGCCACCTTCGCACGTCGCACCCCGACCTCACGGCTCGGCGGGTAACCCGCGCTCCGGGCCTCCGCTTCAACATTTTCCCCAACCCCAGTCCTAGGCCCGTCGCGCGACAACCACAGTGCATTACCGTTACCACTGTAGTTTCGCTATATGTTCTTCGTGTTAAGAACCTAAGGCAATGATGAATTAGGTGAAGGGTAGGGTACAAGACTAGGGTGTCGAGGAACTTTGTGTACCCCCTAGTGCTAACCCCCATACAGCCTAGCTAACCTAAACAGGTATATATATATAATTTGACACACCCCCATAGGCGAAATGGGGGATAGCCAGGGCAAGCAACGGTCACAAGACCAATCAAAAGAAGAAACAAAACACAGCTCAGGGTGGATCACAACGTCACCACGCAGTCTGAGCACAAGCAAAGGCCACAAGGCCAGTTCACATGCAGAGATATATATGTAACAACAACAGCACAGTGATCTCTACCTACTAGAGCAAGCATGCAGGTATATATATAGATCACAGTACAAACAAAGCCTACAGCAAGTGAGGAAAAGTGGGCACAAACCCCAGCATAGTGCAAAAGCGCTGATGATCACCAGGCTGAAGTGCCTTGGTGAATATATCAGCGGTGTTGGCCTGAGTGGCCACGTAACGCAGACGAAGCTGACCGCGCTGCTGCAGCTCTCGAGCCAGGAAGTAACGGAGAGCGATGTGCTTCGTTCTGTGCTCCAGTCTGTGCTCCTCACACAAGGCAATGGCAGCCTTGTTGTCGACGTACATCACTGGAGGAGAACTAGGCCGCTCTCCCAAGTCAGTCAGCAGGTAGGTCAGCCAGCGTAGCTCCTGTGCAGCCATGGCTGTGGCGTAGATCTCAGCCTCACAACTGGAGCTGAGAACTGAAGACGAGCGAGTAGAACGCCAAGAAACTGAACCAGAGCCAAGGCTGAAGGTGTAACCCTGTGAAGACCGCTGAGTAGCCTGGTCGTCAACCCAAGAAGCGTCTGAGTGCCCAGTGAGAACAATTGAGCGCCTCCCTCCAAGCACGAGCCCCATGCCTGACGTACTGCACAAGTAACGCAGTACCCTCTTAGCAGCATCCATGTGCACCTTTCGGTGCCGACCAGGAGCCACGTAGCGAGCCAGAAGGCCAAGAGGGTACGCGAGGTCAGGACGAGTGCAAGTCATCAGGTACATGAGGCAGCCAACTAACTCTGGGTAAGGACCACTCGGCTCTACGGACTCGTCCGAAGGTGGAGCTGAGAGTGAGTGACCTGTAGCCAGAGGAGTGGCCTGTGCCGAGGACCAGGTGAAGCCGAAGCGCTGAAGGACCTGCTGCACCATGTGTGACTGAGTCAGTGTGATGGTGCGGCGTGCTCTGTCCCGGGTGATCCGCAATCCAAGATAGCTTGTCAGCTCACCCAGGTCTGTGCACGTGTGTCTCTTCTGCAGCTCCGACTTCACGTGGGCGAGAGCCTCAGTGTCAGCAGCGGCAAAGACCAAGTCGTCGACGTACACGAGGATGTAGAACGGCGGCAGCGAAGTGTCGGTGCGCAGAAACAGCGACGGGTCAGCAGTCGACGGGGCAAACCCAAGAGCCGCAAGAGTCGTCCTCAGTGTGTCGTGCCACTCACGTGGCGCCTGGCGGAGACCGTAGACTGGCCGTCGGAGGCTCCACTGGGTACCAGGAGGGAACGACCCAGTGAAGCCAGGTGGACGGCGCAGCCAGATCTCCTCGTGCAGGCTGCCCTGCAAGAAAGTTGTGCTGAAGTCAAGAGAGTGAAGCTCGTAGTCACGCTGAGCGGCAACGTGTAGCAGCACCCGAAGAGTAGTCATCTTCGGGGTGGGGGAGAAGGTCTGGAAGAAGTCAACTCCCTCTCGCTGACTGAAGCCTCGAGCAACGTAACGAGCCTTGAAGACCGGTGGAGAACCAGGCGGCCGCTTCACCCTGAAAATCCACATGCCACTGCCGATGTTCGCCCCAGGAGGGGGAACCTCGTCCACGTACGTGCCTGTGGACTTCCAGGATGCCATCTCTGCGTCCATGGCTGTCTGCCACTGAGAGGAGTAGGGACCCTCGATCGCCTCAGCGTACGATCATGGAGTCGGGATGTCTGGTGCATCCGGGTCTCCCTCAGGGGCAAGCAGCATGGACACGAGATGAGGCGCAGCGGCTGCAAGACACTCAAGGTCCTCCTGCCTGTCCTCAAGGACGTCCGTGCTAAGAGCACACTCACCCCCGACGGACGGAGGACAGACAGACTCAGACTCAGCAACAAGACGAGCGGCGTAGTCTAGACGACAGTGAGCAGCAAAGTCGACAAGCTCAGCGACCAAGGCAGACGCACCAGCAGACTCAAACGACGGGTCGGCGACAACAGTGGCTAGCAGACGCGTGACAGTAGGGTGCTCAGCACGAAACCGGTCAGACTCAGGATCAGCAACGACAGGTAGAGCGGACGCAGGCGGAGACGGCAGGGGAACACGTGGCGGCGGAGAGGAAGGACGACGGACGACAAGGGAAGGGCCGGGGACAGCCGGCTGACGCTGACGAGGAACCCGACGACCGGAATGACCGGAAAGGGCAGGTGAGACAGGACGCGACGGAGGCTCACGACGCTCAGCAAGGCCCCCGGTCTGCTCAGCGTAAGGAGAAGGAGCAGGCAGAGGTGAGCCAGGCTGTAACGGAAGACCAGTAGACGACGGGAGGCTAAGAACATGGCGAAGCACGGAGCTAGGCGGGGGCAGAGATGACGGAGACGGCGGAGCAAAGAACAGGCGCGGCTGTGCAGTGCCTTCAGCACCAGCAGCTCCAGCACCCTCAGCACCGCCAGCACCTCCAGCAGCTCCAGCACCACCAGCACCCTCAGCAGCTCCAGCACCCCCAGCAGCTCCAGCTCCTCCAGCAGCTCCAGTACCCTCAGCAGCCCCAGCACCTCCAGCAGCTCCAGAACCCTCAGCACCAGCCCAACCTGGTGCAGCACCCCCAGAACCGGCACCTCCAGTCCCAGGGTCTCCAACCGCTGTGCCACCAGCAGCAGCACCCTCAGACACACCACCGTCAGCCCCAGCAGCTCCAGCACTCCCAGTACGAGCACCTCCGGGACCAGCGACACTAACACCTCCAGCAGGCAAAGGACCAGCACCACTCTCAGCTCCAGTGACGCCAGCAGAAGAACCCCCAGCAGTAGAACCCTGAGGTGCAGAAGCGCGACGCTGACGGCGACCGTACCAGTCGTGCAGCTGCTGGGAGGTGAGAGGCACACGCGGACGAAGACGGCTACTCCAAGGAGACCGCGGAACAGCAGTCTCAGAACCCTCAGGCGACTCACCCCCAGACTCAGTACCCCCAGGCTCCGCACACGCAGGCTCAGCACCCCCAGACTCAGCACCCCCAGACGCAGGACCTCCAGGCTCCTCACGCGCAGGCTCAGCACCCCCAGGCTCCGTACCCTCAGGCCCCTCACGCCCAGCGCCCCCAGACTCAGCACACCCACGCTGCAAACCCCCAAGCTCCACACCCCCAGGGACAGCACCACCACCAGCAGGACCGGAGTCACCAGTGACCTCAACAGGCGCAAGGACGGGAGGGTCTACCTGAGAAACACCTGAAGGAGCAGGACCTGGCGCGGGGAGGGGGTCTACTTGGGGAGGACCTGGGGCAAGAAAGAGCGGCGAGAGAGGGCGAGGAGCAGTGCGGTAGGGGAAGAGGCGGTAAAAGGGGACTGACTCGTCAAAGGTGACGTCCTGGGACGCAAAGACACGGCGCGAGGCGGGGTCGTAGAACTGCCAGCCAGGCGCGTCAGGGACGAAGCCAAGGAAGACGCAAGGAATGGCACGAGGGGAGAGCTTGTCCGCGGTGGTATCGCGAACAAAGGCACGAGCACCCCAGACCCGGAAACGCGACGCGTCGCCAACCTTCCCCGTCCACAGCAGTGTGGGCGAGGTCTCCGGCAAGGAGACACGGGGCCAAAGGTTGAGCTGATGCGCGGCGTACCTGACCGCAAACGGCCACAGAAAATGGGGGGCAGCCGCATGGATCATGGAGGTACGAGCGACCTCCATGACTAAGCCAATGCGGCGCTCAGCAACCCCATTCTGCTGCGGAGAGGCCGGGAGCGTGAAAGTCTGGCGGATGCCGTGCTCCGCACAGAAGGCGGCCAAGAGGTCGGAGGAGAACTCACCACCTCTGTCAGAGTGCAGACGCAGGACAGGAAAGTCCGACTGGAACCGCTCGCGGAGCTGGAGACGAGTAGCGCGGATCCAGGGGATCAAAACATCAGGGACATCCCCCTTGCACTGCAAGGGGAAGACCGTGGTGTAGCGCGTGTAGTCGTCGACAACCAGCAGGAAGTACCGCTCGTGGCCCTGTCCACGGACGCGGGCTGGGCCCCACACGTCCAGGTGGAGAGTCTGCAGTGGAGCCTCTGTGGGAGGGAACGAGGAGGAGTGAGGAGCGGCGCGCTGCCGCCCCTCGACGCAAGGAATGCAGGGCGGCGCAGGCGAGGGAGGGAGGGCAGGCAGAGACCTGGGAAGACCAGAGACCAGAAAGCGAGAGTG